AGGGTGGTGACGTTTCGAAAATATACCATTTATTATCAATACCTGTAATTACCACCTTAGACATTTTCATCAAATTTGACATACACAGGGTGGTGACGTTTCGAAAATATACCATTTATTATCAATACCTGTAATTACCACCTTAGACATTTTCATCAAATTTGACATACATATATGTACTATGTATCAAGATACATTTTAAATGTTCCAAACTTTTTTCGAATTGCGGTTCGTATGCCTATTCAGGCAGACATTGATTGTATGCCACTGTTTCCTCTTAAAATGCACATTATCCTTAAAATCCCCAATCACTTAATGTGATCGCCCGTAAAGCTACCCTGGAGTATTTACACTCACCATTAAGAAGCACTTTGTATATCTAAAAAATAACCTCAAAGGATAGTAGAAAACATAATGTGCCCTATGGACACCTTATCGATATGCAACCATCTGTACATCCCTCTATAATAATAAAATTATGTGTACATACATGTAGTCATTTAATATTAATTTGCAAAAGGAGGGATCAATTATTCAGCGATAGTATGAATATTTAAAAAGGGCTTTTGCTCTTGTTCATAAGTTGCAGTACACAGTGCCGGATCTACGATCTGTGGAGCCCGGAGCACAACGTTCGTATGTGACCCCTCTATAGTTGAAGAGCATGGCAGAGGGGGGAACGTGATACACAGGAACGCCACGTTTTAGAGGAATAAACTTTACTTACACCGATGCCTCATAAGCCGTGTTCTGGGGTGTCCATGAGTTGCAATGTTATCATGTAAAAACCTATACCAGGTATTTCAAATTCGACCCTCACCATTGGGATCTCGGAAACGGTAAGAGCAACGAAGTCACTTGGATGAGGGCAAAGTTTTTATTTAGGTAACAATCAACAAAATTCCGTTTAGAATGTTTCGTAACTCAAAGTACTACCGGAGAAACACAAAAAAACGATTTTTTCCAAAATGATTAGAATTTCAATAGTCTCTTGTCCTTTATCATTAAGTTTATTCTTTCTTATAGATGCCACCTTTGATTCCTACACAGGTGAATAAAGTTCGTATCTCTAATTACAAAATTGAATAACACGTCATACATTAACATTTGCCAAACCTTAGTTATTTCAGAACAATATAACTTCCTAGGTAGGCCTTGAAATTGTCAGATAGTCATTTACTTTGTGTACCAGATCATACCTCAAAATTAACATAGTAACAGAGTTTGAAAGAGTACGAAGAAATAAACTAAGCAGTGAAAAATGTACAGGCCTAACCTACAAAACAACAAACAACAACGGTCTTGAACATATACTATGATTTACCTCTGCTTATTTATGGTTATTATTGCGATTACCATCAATAAAATTGTCATTTCGTCTTCAGGTTGACTTGAAATATACGAGCCCCTTCCCACTTCAGTTGTCCCACATCAAGATCTGTACCAAAATATGCATTTATAAATAAACATGACGAAACTATTTACTACTAAAACAATTTATTTTCTCAAAAACATTTTAGATACACTCTAGTCGTAAAAAGTACATATTTGAAATCAATTAGACATATAACTAATAGAACATCTGAACAAATAAACAATGTGCGAATAAATGCGCAAAGTTAATAAAGCAACAATTGAAAGATTACCATTGGGTAACATCACCTTTATTTTTTATTACGGCTGAAATTCTTTGGGGCATAGTGTTAGGTAACCATAGTTTGGCAAAAATTTCGTGTAAAACACTCCCATATTTCTTGAAGCTTTTGTCTCAGTTCGGTGATTGTAGGAGCAGGATGTTGTCGTAGAACCTTCTTCATCTCGTGCCACAAAGTTTCAATAGGTGACAGATGTGGACTGTCAGAATCCCATTTCAAAAGTGGTACATTATTTTCTTCCATCCATTTTATAGCCTTTTTTGAGGTATGGCATGCTGCACCATCTTGCTGAAACACAAAATCTTGGCCGGATGTCAAACATTCTTCCATCACTAGTAAAAAAGAGATTCTTCTAAAATTGCCAAATATTTGTCTGTATCCACATTTCCATCAATAAAATGAAGTTTTCCTACTACTTTTGATGACGTACTGCCCCAGACCATAGTGGATGCTGGAAATTTCTCTTTTCTCTTCATATAGTCAACATGGAATGCTTCATTTTTTTGCGAATAACTGTACTGCGACTGTCACCAACACAAACTTCGAATCGGGCCTCATCATTCCATTGTATTGCACACCATTGTTGAGGTGTCCATTGTCTATGTTCTTTAGCCCATCTAAGCCGATTTTTCTTTTCCAGTGGAGTTAATAGTGGCCTCTAAACAAGTTGTGCAACTTTAGGGTTTTACTTGACTTTTTTTTGTAAGAAAACTTACCTTGCAAGTGCTAAATCCCAATTTGTGGGCCTCTCTATGAGTTGTGGACCTCCAAATTCTCCTTCCAACAGCGTCACTCCACAGAGCACTTAATTGTAAATAACTGGCACGCCTGCTTTCACGATTATTCTTTTCTATTCTACTTTTTTTCACATATCCTGGCTTAATATTAACTGAACCATATATATATATATCTTCTAACAATATTTCTCACGCTGTACCGCGACAAGTCTAACAAAGTTGCAGTTTCTCAGTTTGATTTCCCAGAATTAAAAAATTTAATTATCAGTAACCGAATTTTCTCACTAATAACCGTTCCTCTACCCATTTTAAAAACCTTAACTACCCAAAACTATTTTAAAGATATTCTGACAGCTGTGATTAATAAAAACAATTGTAATGTCTTTTATTTTTCACAGCCACCTATGCGTTATAGAGTTATTTTGCATTAAAATGAAAATAGGTTGATATGCTGTAATTGCAACATGTGTTATTTTTATGCTGCAAATTCGATTAGGGAGTAATAAAGTTGGTGTTTTCCACTATATATTATCAAAATATTCATTGTTAATATTTTAAACCTATAACACGCTGCTACATTTTTATTGTTTGTGTTTGATAAGGAAACAACTAAGATTTCAATAGTTGGGCCAACTGAAGTGGGAAGGGGCTCGTATGACTGAAAATTACATTTGAATGTTTTTTTTTAATAACTTAGGTTTGACAATGTCAATTTATGACATATACATTTTTGGGATCAGAATTGAAAACTCAATTCATCTGTGCAAAAATCCAACATGGCATCCATATGAAAAAGTAAAGTTGGTGCTGGAGGACAAAAGATAAAACGTCATATTGAAATTCAAAATGTCAGGTAGTTCAGACCTAAATAGTGTCATAAAAAATATTCAAGTTACATACGTCAGATCCGCTCCTGGCAAATCCTAAAAGCTGCAATTCCCTGTATGATCGAGGGCATGTTAGCTCGTTCTAAGGCTGCGGAAGGTGCATTCAAAATACGGAATTAACATATCTCTAGGGTAAGTGCGGTAATAAAGCCGCTTCTTACAGACATGGCAACGTTTGGAGGAGAATTAGAGCAAACAGGAAGACAGAGTGTAGTTACTTAGGTCTATGTTGCATTCATGCTAGGCCTTTGTTAACATATATAGGTGCTTAGTGAGGATTTGTGTGCTAATAAAATCTGTGAGATGTATGCAAAGCTAAAAATTCCAAATGAGAAAAGAACATCCCTGGTTGGTGAAGCATTTGTATATTACAACCAACAGATGAGAATATATACCTCAGACAGGAATATTTATAAAACGTGAGAAAGTTATTACGTTTTAAATAATTAATTATTTTTAGTCATATAACTTTTATAGAAATTTATTTTGCGATGTCAAGTAGTGTGTGTGTGTGATGCGTGATTCCTGATTTTTCGGTAATTTATAACTTTGAATATAACCTTTTCTCAGAAAGGACAACACAAATAAATCGTCTGGTACAGCTAATAGATATAATTCAGTAATAACTTTCTCACATAGCAAATATCGCTGATTCTATACACATACAGATCAGTACACAAAATCACCACACAATAATCCAGATGTAATGTTGCTACTCTGCTACTTAACCAATTTTCTTGGTCATATCGTCTCAGAGATATACTCTACAGACTGTCTCGGCATTCTGCAACCAACAGAGCATGCTGTGCATATCGTTGAGTGATTCCTCCACAGATGACGCTCAAAGAGCTCATACAAATAGCGCACTTGGAATTGTCTATTATTTTATCGCCTTTTATCGACATTATATAGGTCTTTTACGTAATAATCCTGCAGCACGCATCCTGTTGATCCTGTCAAAAGTCAGTGTGACACGATAACAAGTTGTATACATAACTTGTTTGGGAAGAAGTATCATACTGAATCTAGTTTTAAGACCCCCCGGGGGTAATAAGGCCCATTGTTATTATCTCTCAAGTTTATGTGATAAAATGATTTTTGTTGACTTTAGCTGCTGAAAAATGCCAAAAATTTTGAGTTTTGTTGGTAATTTCATAAGAAAGAAATATTTTATTTTCGGGCCTTAATTTACTGTGGTAGTTTAATACGGCCCATGGCAAGGGTTTTTAATAATTGTTGTGTTCATTTCCATGCTGATTTCTGTGTTACTATTTATCTTTTATTCTTATCTTAAATAAAAAACTTTCTACCTAACTACGTTTTTTCAACTTTTTTGATATAATTCCTGAGATTTTTAGCTTTAAAGTTAGGTGGGCCTTATTCACCTTAGGCACCTTGGTATTTCAAAATCGGTCCAGTGGTGGCGGAGAAAAAGGCCAAAATGAAAAAAATGAAAGTCTGCCAATCTTCCGTTGACGTTTTTTTATTGAAGGTTCGCTAAGGATTGTCTTTGAGTTTTCAGAGAAGTTCTGCCATGTGGTGATCAATAACTAGCCTCTCGCCAGGGTGATTTTACAGTCCTTGCATGTTATTTTGTCTAGATTCATGATGTCATTTATGTCATCTGCCATCATTGCTTATTTTATGTAATCATTGTTATCATAAACAATCGCAAAAGCAAGAATATCCGTTCTGTCACTAAATCTTCTCTTTTTTTTCAGATGGTAAACTTGGGTCCAGGAACAGACATAAGAGGCATGTTCTTGACGATACCCTTCGCCCTGACCTTCAAAGTGTACCTATTCAACATAACGAATCCTACGGATGTACAGTACTTTGGAGCAAAACCTATAGTTAAGCAGGTTGGGCCATTCTGTTACGAGTAAGTTCCTTGTTCGTTCTATTTATCGTTTATCACGTTTCATAGCTATCAGAAAACTTGAAGAGGCGCTTATGGTCCGCCTGCAGGTTAGGAAAGTATATTTTTTCAGGCAAATTAATACTTGGAATAGTAAAACTAGACAACAAGTATAACCTATGGTCTGCAGCTTGATAGATTTGCCAGTAAAAGTAATCTTGGGCTCATTAAAAGACTAAAAAATATGTACCTTGGTATTAGAACGGTAACAGACAAAGAGGGATATGAATAGCTTTCCCATTACCCGACGCACCCAACGGTGAAACAAAGCAAAGAGAGTCGACTGTTTTGGTGTTACTGTACTGGGAAAAGCAAAATGCCTGTGACGTGGTTGCGTTTAACAAAATGTCTCACTAAAGTAAAAACACAATCCGAAAATTTACTGGTAGTAGTGATATTTCCAGAAAATTTATATACAACTTTACACTCTTCTTTTCACGGAAGCCCAAGCTTATTGACTACTGCTAAACTCAGCGAAATATCAACGAGGTACATGGTGGACTATCTGATGTTTCTGACCTGAAGTAGCAGGCATGTCGTAACATATATATTGAGTTTCATATTCAAAATTTACGCAATTGGACCATCCAATGCGTTTCCGGTTCGCCCAATGGGTTGAAAATTACTTGGCTGATGATGAGCATTTTTACCAACAGATCATATTTACAGATGAAGGTCGTTTTCGTCGCGAATGCTATGTGGATAAGTAAAACTGGGATCAGACAATACTGTTTAGTGCGGCTTTTGGTCCATTAGCATTTTTAGGCAATTTCTCTTGGGAAATGGAGAAAAGCTGCCATTGTAGTCAATATCGATCAACAAATTTCTGCTCACAAAAGTTAAAGAGTATGTAATGCATGAACAATCAACTAATGTCAATTGCCCAACTCTGAGCGGCGATTTAAACCTGTTAGACAACATTATGTGGCAGATCATCAATGATAAATATTAAGCTAACCGTCGAGAAACGACTGAGGCATAGAAACATGAAATCGCAGTTGCCATTTAAAAATTCCAAGCCCAAATAATTGAAAAAGTATTTGGAAACTGGGTTAATCGGATAAGGTGCTGTCGGGTCAGCGGTGGTCATCATTCGTATCCTAGACTCAAAATAGCTGTTAGCCGCGACTTCGTAAGCATGAAATAATCAACATTTTCAAATTGACACAGACCTGCATCCTTAGGAGCAATTTTAAGCGATAAACCGTGATGAATCGCTGTTATTCTTTGGTTATGCCGCTAATTATTCTGTCAGTTGCCCTTGTGGCACAGGAATAGGGTTTGATACAAGTCAATATTTTGTTGCCACACGTCAACGATTAATAATATAATATAAATATTTAAAGTGATAATAACCCCGCATCTAATCACTGTTTAAATTCTGCATAGAAAAAAATATGCATGACTCAGTAGTTCTATGCCGATTGTCATCTGATATCGTATTTTTTTCAGACAAGCACAAAAGAAATAGGGAAGGGTGATTTTATAGCCATGGGTTGACATTTAAATTTCAAAACCGCATAAAAAACACCACCTGTGCAAGGTTGTTAATGGACTTAACTGTCAGTAACAGTAAAGTCACGAAAGGCCAGTTCGTGACGTCATAATTTGACAGATGTTACAAACTGCATCGCTTAAAATGAAAGTTAAAACCGAACATGGCCAATTATGATTGATAGAACACGTAAAATTGCTTGTAGCTCTGGACAAGCCTAGAGAACCTCATTGTAGCGAATTTTATATATCTAATAAAAAAATTCAAATAACTTTAAACAAGTTCGCCAGACCCTTGAAACCCCTTAAAAGAGCTCCTCCGGTCAAATTCGTTCTTAACTAACATTTACTGTCTACAAACTACTTACCTACCAAATTCTAGGCTTATATTAGAAAGACAAAGGACCTTTGTCTGAGCATGTGCATGCTTCTATTCCCCTTTCATACGACCCTGTAGCAAAATCCTTAGCTGGCATCTCGTGTTCGTAAGCTACCCTTCTGCCAAATTTCATGTTTGCAGGTCAAATAGTTTTGGAGATGTTGTGACTAATGTATGTATGTAAAGTTCCTCATGTTAACTCCGCTTTACCTTTCGGGGGTACAACTTCCAACCCCTCTTTGCGCCTGCTCTTATACGGTGTCAGCAAAAAGGGTGGAAGGTGGCCTAGTTGCCAGGTTTTGTCTCTCCACCACTAATACTACTACAACTACCTGCTTAAAGACGATACATGAAAGACTCAATAATAAAACTCCATCCTGTATCCCTTACTTAAAGAAAAATAGTAGCTATTCCCAATATTTCAACTCATAAAGTTTGATTTCCGCAATGAAGGGTAGCATACGACTGTCTCCAGCGTCTGTTCTATATCTGTGCCAAAATTCGTAGAAATAGGTTCAGGCCGTTTGCGGTGAAAAGTGAGCATGCAATACTAAGATCCAACGTTTCCAATAAAACCACAAATTTTAAAAAGTGTCCATACCTTTTTTATATCCGATAAATTCCGCATCATAAATCCCTTAAATATCCCAATCCTATTAAGAAATCTAACCCTACAAACAGTTGCTGAATTGTAATTAAGGTGTTTCTGATGATGATGAATCCGATTATACAGCCTCTATTGCTTTTTTGGCAGAATCATCATTAACCTTCCTTGTCACTCAGTATATAAAGTTCTTGGATAATACTGGACCAGAACATAGTGGTCATTCCCAAATTGTATAAAATATCCATGTAGTTCAAATCGTTTCCACGAAGCTGCCCTCCTCTCATCGAAACACCCTGTATGTAAACTCTAAGGATGCATAAAGTTGGGTGAGCGAAGAGAGATGCGGTTAATCCGACTTCTTATTGCCTCCTGGCATCTGGAGCAAATGGAAGGAGTAGATGTCTTACCCCCATAAGATGTGGCGTTATCGCTTGCATTACGTAATGCAATTTGTTGGAAACGGTAAATCCTAGTTTGCAAGTAGGTCAGAAATCAGCTCAATCCTCAGACAAGGGAATGTAGAACATATGTACGTTCCCAGCAGCGTTTTGGTCGCATCTAGCATTACAAACCCATACTAGACAGAAATCACATCCACTGTGTGTGATGGTTGCTGTCTCGTCGGTAGAATGCTGAGAAAATGATGTATCTGAAAGTGTTTTAAATGAACATTGCAAGAAGCCGCATGGCAGCACTGAAAATAAAGGTTGAAAGACCTTAACAAATGAAGCTACATAACCGAAGAAGCAAAAGGTTCACGTTCCTTTTCAGGATGTGCGTTACGATGGCCTTGACCGTTGGACTCTTGTGATTATTCCATGATAAGGTGCACTAAGTGCAATTTATTTCTCTGTTTTGAGCCTAACAGAAACTATTTTAAAACATTCCATACAAACGATAAACTTAATTATTACGTTCATATATCGGCAACGTTGGCTACGACCAACATGCCCTAATTTGCAATAAAGCTCTTTTCATACCCTTAGATAGGGCATATCTTATGCTTTACTTGGATGGTTATCCAAATGTATTCATTTGAAATTCAATTCCAGCGTATGTCAGATAAATGGTTTATAACCCAGGTTTGCCTCGCAACAGCCTGGTATAGCCTAAGGTATTAGCCTGGGCCCTCCAGCTGGGAAAATTCACTCATCGCAAAGATCGCAACTGTGATTGCAACGTTGTCGGATGGTCGGTAGAGAATTTTAGATCACAAGGAGTGGAATGTTTAAGACAGCGTTGTGCGAAAAGTGCAGAATCAACCTACTTGACGCCTTTTTCTGCATGATTTCTGACCCCGAGGTAAAAAACTAGGAAATGGATCGCTTTTTTCAATCGAAAGTCTTAATACGAAATTCACATGAATGTGATATGCTGAGTTCAGGGTAACATCGTGTATGAAGGGCAAAGATGGATTTTTATTCTCCCGCAGAACGTCAACATCTATTCCGATTAATTTTTATGAAATGATTCCGCATTCCCTTTACTTCATAATGTATTGCGAATTCTCCCACATAATCAATACAAAAACGTGCACACGCTATTTCTGGAATCATATGAGCATATCATTTCATATCATCAGCTATTTTTAAAAGATTGGGACGATTCACAGAGCCTGACTCATAGATGAATGCAGTTCAGTTGATATTTAAGAGAAATACCAACAGTGTTTTTTTTTTATTTCCAGTATATATCACTTACTTATCTAGTTCGAAAAATAACAGGAACCGCGTCCTTCGTAGTTTCACTTTTCAGTGGCTCTCAGCAAGTACTCACTTGAGTGCTTTTGGGAAAGTATGAGTTGAGTGATTGAAAAGAAATGCTATTTTTTGATGCGTCACGTATGGACAGCATCAAGGAAGTCTTAGATCGTTCCTACAATATTAAAGGACGCCTTTACGCCCTCTATGTTTTTTCTAGCATTCTTGTTCCGTGTCAGCGCTCTACTTTGAGGTTGTGTTACAAACACCTATTTGCATCAAATAGTTCATGCTTTTGATTTCTAGAAGTCAAAAATGAAACATAGCACCACAATAGGAGAGCGCTGACGCTGACACGGGACAGTAGAAATCTAGAAATACCCCAGCCTTTCTGAATGAGAGAACATACAATGAAAATCAAGGAGGCCATAAAGGCGCCCTACAATTGTAAGAACGACTTACGATTCGGCGCTTAGTATCTGCTAAATACCATAAAATTAGTGACAACAATTAATACAGACAGGTAAGCCAAATGACAGCGTGCATGTTTGCTATAGTTAAACAAACATGATACTCGCCATTCGGTGCCACCAAACATTATCCTCATTCACACATGCTTTGGAAGATGGAGGATGTAATGATTGTGGCAACATAGCGTATATATGTATTCAGAATACTCCTTGACAAATTGAAGACAACTTGGAACTCCTACCCACTCATTTTGTACCCTCAATTGAGTCTGTCATTCTCTAGAGGTCTCATTCTAGAGGGTAGAACCTAAAGTGTTCTAAGTCATACTTCATTTACCAAAATATTTTTTTGTTAATAGATTCATAGACTCGTGTGTAAAATTACAATATGTCTTTTTCTTGCAGAGAATGGAAGAAAAAGGTAAAAGTGGAGGATTCGGTTGCCGAAGATACAATCAGCTACAATCCAGTGGATACGTTTTTGAAAGCAAACTGGACGGGTTGCAAATCTGGACAACTAGAAGTTACTATACCGCATCCTATGATTTTGGTAAGGTTGACATTAACGAATCAGCATAATAATAACAATGAAGTGAAACACCTTTCGGTATAGGAATCTATAAATTAGCGGAGTTTTCGTCCTTGAAAATTACTCAAATTTCAAGTTCATCGCATATATGCAATTCAAATAATTTAGAACATTTGTCTTTGGAACTTTAATCACTATTTTTTTATTTTAGTACTTTAATGTCTTTTAAAGCTCCAATTTTGCAAATCTATAATAAAACACACTGAGTCAGAAAACACAAGTCTATAAAAATGTAGGTGTTGTTCCACTATGCTCACATTGAAGACAAAAGTTGAAGTCTCATTATATTTTTGTGTATTGGTTTGTTTGATTTTACTGTGAGAGCAGTAGAGCAGCACTTATTTTGATTCACTGTGCTTTCTTATAGGTCTGAACTAGAAGGGGTGTTGATGCGCTCGTAACTCGTATACAGTGTTTTCCAGGAAGATTCCCTCCTCACTTATTATTTCAACGAGGCTGTTAAAAAAATGGTAGTAGTAACGATAACTGTATAATATAAAACTATCTCCCAAGAAACGTCAAGTTGGTGTCAAGGCCTAGAATCTGAAAAATTGCGCGTTTCGAAAAAAAAAACGGTGACGTACTATTTTTATTTGTAAAAATAATGCTACTAATCCCCTGTATCGCCGTCACATACCAAATTTTAGTTAATTTCAGTTGACGGTTTTGAGGATATCAAGAAAAATTATTTTTTTATTTTTAAACTTCAACACCTCGTACCTTTTTAATGAAGCTCTCGAAGAAAAAATGTTATATAGAAGACCCCACTTAAAATGCGGTGCTGTGTATGATGTTTCATTTTTGGTCACGACTTGTGTTGATGTTATAAAGTATTATAAGGAGCTTTAAAATAAGGTATTGGAACAACCAGTCCAAGCTCTTTTCTAAGTTGATTTGGGGACTTACACAGACGTTCCAGTTAAAATAGTTTCATTAGAACAACTTAATACTATATCCAGTAAATTAAAATGTTAACAGTCTAATTTATAAATTGACGACATCAAGTTTTTGGGAGTCTGCAAATTGGAACGATAATATTGAGCACATTCGCTATTTCCAAGGTATTTACCACAGGCAGCACCCGTGAAACCTCATAAAAACGGTATTCTATCGCAATCATATTATAACGGGTGATTTTGTTGCTAGTATCTTTTTGGCAACACTGTTTTTGACAGATCACGCGTGAATCGTGTCTTGTGTCATTGTCAAACTTGTTCAGTTTGGTCTATAATTCAACCATGAATTGAACAACGCTTGCAAATTATTGAATTTTACTATCAAAATTTATGCTCGGTTAAGAGAGTGCATCGAACACTGCTTCCAATTTATGGGCAAATTGGTCGGCCTACTGAGGGAGCTATTCGGAAGCTTGTGACTAAATTTCGAACCCAGTTTACATTATTGGACATTAAACCACCAACACGCAGACGTAGAGTGAGGACTGAAGAAAATATTGCGGCTGTATTCGCCAGTGTTAGTGATGACCGTGAAATGTCGATTCGCCGCCGTTCGCAGCAATTGGGCCTCTGTTACTCCACTACGTGGAAAATTTTGCCACAGGATTTGGGTGTAAAACCTTATAAGATACAGCTGGTGCGAGAATTGAAGCTACACGACCTCCCACAACGTTTCCAATTTGGTGAATGGGCGCTGGCAAAGTTGGAGGAAGATTTTTATCGAAAAATTGTGTTCAGCGACGAAGCTCATTTCTGGTTGAATGGGTACGTTAACAACCAAAATTGCCCCATCTGGCGTGAAAACCAGCCAGAAGCATTGCAAGAGCTACCAATGCATCCCGAAAAAATCACTGTTTGGTGTGGATGATGGGCCCGTGGCATCATCGGGCCGTACTTCTTCAAAGACGACAATGGCCGGAACGTAACTGTGAATGGCGAGCGCTACCGTGCGATGATAACAAACTTTTTTTGGCCCAAAATGGAAGAGCTGGACTTGGTTGACATGTGGTTTCAACAAGACGGTGCCACATGCCACACCGCACACGAAACAATGACCCTATTGAGAGGTGAGTTCGGTGAACAGTTTATCTCACGTTTGGGGCCCGTCAATTGGCCGCCTAGATCGTGTGATTTAACGCTGTTGGACTATGTCTTGTGGGGCCATGTTAAGGCTAATGTCTACAGGGATAAACCAGCAACGATTGACGCACTGGAAGCCAATATTCAAGCATTTATTCGTGAGATACCGGCCGATATGTTGGAGAGAGTGTGCCAAAATTGGACCTTGCGCATGGGCCATCTAAAGCGGAGCCGCGGCCAACATTTACGTGAAATAATCTTTAAATATTAAATTATATCGACCGTTCTATCGACTCAAATAAAGATTTGATCGTTTTTTCAAATTTTTTGTGTTTGTTTTGAAAATCAAATCCTATACCTCTTAAAAAATCACCCGTTACATACTGCCTATCTTCATGGTTTTCTGTCGCTTGCCCTGCTTATTCAGAACAAGAACAAATTAATACCTCAAGACATTCAGTCAACTAAGACTAGCATTTATATGGAGCTTCAAAATGAGTTATTGGAAAAATATCCCAAGACCTTTTACTATATAATCTGCGGATGTACAAAATAGTAAAAGTAGTTTCACAAAATAATTGATATTTCAGCATGGTATATTCCATCCCAATGTTTGGGAAAATCATTCTTGGAATAAGGAACTAGAATAATTAAGAGAAAGCTGGCGTGGTTCTTTTACCTTTCGGCAACTATATTCCTGCACGCTGATCGAAGAAAAAGTTACGCCCTCGATCAGTCTCATATCTAAAACCAAAGTTAACTTTGTGATGGAACATTTAATGATATGAAGATTCTAGTCGACATACGATATTTGGTCGAAAATGGATGCCTTCACAAACGACAACAGCTATCAGAAATTCCGGGGGAAGTGAACCACGCCCACTTTCTGTGATTGTACTCATTGGTTCCAAGACTAGGGGCCCTGGGGTATACAGCGTTGTGAAAGTTTTTTAGTCCAAAATTCTCATTCGGTTTTTTATATGATCTCATTCAAAAGGGTAGGTATCTACCTGTTGCCACATCCAAAATTGCGTAAGAAACTGTTTAAGCAGTGCCTTGGCACGGTTTTTTTTAGGTTTTTTGGGTCAATCTGAACATAAAAATACTTTGGGATTTTGTTAATGAATGCTTGAAAAATATTTGGGAGCTTCGGAAACATTAAAAATTTTGTTTTTTATATTGTTTTCGGGGTCGAAGATGGCAAATTTCGCAATTTTTCACAACTAAATCGCTTAATGTCTAAAGCTATCAGCTTGGAAAAAAAATCATATACATATTTTTTTTTTTCATAACGATCCAAAAAGCGCAAAAAACATTTTTTTAATCCAAAAATATTTAAAATTTGTTTAAAAAGGTATGTAAGCAATTTTTGAAGCAATTTTGGGGATATATTTGTTGATAGGGGTCCTTTAGAAATTTAACTGCAAAAAAATGATGACAATACTTTTCAAGCAAATGCAAATTTACTTCTAAGACGGCAAACCTGACATCTGTCACACGTGCCCTATAAACCACTTAGTTTATAACACATGGAAAAACATTCATATCATGAATGACTCTGAAGAACTCCCGCAGAGCCATATCAGCGTTTTTAGGTGACTTTCTGTGTGGAAAAAAATTCAATTTGCTGGGAACTAATTTAGTTCAGTCGAATGGAACTGCAAATCACGTCAAGCTGTTTTGACCTGAGGTAAATTATTGAAACAAAAAATATCAGCTAAATCCAGCTCCAACATATCTAACACCATACAGCAGCGTAACTGTATTAAAATTACAAAATTTGCCCATGGCACAAATGCCACCAATGAAATGGCATTTCTGAAGCAATGTCGCTAACGAATACAGCGTCTTGTAAAGTATCTCTCAAACTTAATGACCGATTTTGCTATTCACCCGCGGGAACTTGCACCTATGGCATAACTTCGAGCAATGAGAAGGCGTTTTTGAATGAATATAGCCTATTTCTTGTGAACTATCTATGAAACTACACAACAATTATCTGATTTTTGTAAGGAGATCCCTAATCCCCATATTAAATCAAGAAATAGTTCATAAATCACTTGGTTTAGTTGCGAAAACCTATTTTGTCATTTAAGCCCTCGAACAAACTTGTTGATTATGGCAAAACCTCCACCAATCAAAACGCATAATTTGTGTCGTACTCAAAGTCTGGATCAAGTCTGATACCATGTGCACATTGATATGATAGCAATTACTGAGAATCTTATTGAAAATGACAGTGTCACTACTTATCTGAGAGACATAATTGAAAAAAGGACACATTTTGAACAATTCATCAACATATCCATTGAGGCTAGCTAAAAAAATCTTTTCTCTTTATGAGTTTGTAACAGGTGAGTCAAACTAGATCATTGATATTTTGCTGTACAAGATTCTGCTAAATAAATTCTTTGAAGACATAAATGAAATTATAAAATGCTTATTCTTTAACAAATATCGAGTGAATATTCAATTTTCTTGACTACCGTGAATAAAATCAATGTTTGTTCACAAATACTTTTACGCTCAACAAGCTAACTTTTCTGGCTGAAAGGATACGGTCCGCGCCCTCTACTGGATGGAGGAACGAAAATAAGAGAGTTAGAGGTGCCTTAATAGGTGGCCATCGGAATTTTTCGTGATTACAATACCTGTCAACAGTAGGCGTGGGAAGTGAAAGCCTAGAAGAAACTTGTCCGATGCGACATACAATTTTTTGAAAGTTTGAAAATATTTAAACAGATTATTACTGAACAAGCTTACAACTCTTCGCCCTCGTCGGGAGTTGCGCCGATGTATCCTATTTAATATACCTTCACAGTGTTCTAATGGATCCAATAGTGGAATATTTGAACAACCCTTCATGTTTGTGTAGATATTCGTTAACCACCTGGCCATTAGTCACGTTTTCAGTCCCATTTCATTCTCTAAAATACCCAACAGTTTATCCAGTAAGGCCTGAAGGGCAGGAAATTGAGTGATTTTAAAACGGTTTGTAAATCACTGCGAATCTCTTGAAAATGAAAGCAATCCGCTGCAACTCACTGAGGCAGAAAGTCATTTAGATACAGCGCAATTTCCACGGTTTGGGCTGAACCATGTTGAATCGTCCGCAGAAACTGCGTTCTAATGAAAATGACCTCAATACTGCTAGTCCCCTGTCACCCTTATTACATAAAGGCAATGCCTAAACTTTCTCGTCTAGGATAGTATGTCAAATGCCTTGCTAGAGAAGTATATATATATATATATATATATATCCTTTAATTTCTTTGGGTAGAAGGCAAAGTATTGCTAAAGTACACTCTTATAACTTAAACTCTCAAGCTTTCGAAGATCTATGTCTTCATCGTCTGGAGCTGGTAACAATTATTGACAATAGCAACGAATAACAATTAGGAGAAAAATGTGTACTTACTAAGTCGGCGAGACTGTTGCTGAAATTGTTTTTAAACAACAGTGAAGGGATCACATAGTCGACGAATAAAAAACTGGACTGATGAGGTTCGATTAGGACGGAATTATTTTATTATTAAAAGGCAAATCATTTTGAAACGTTTTTTTAAATTAAACGTTGATTGATTCTGGACGAAATTTGGAGATTTTAAAACAATCAACTTATTTTCACTGATAACCTCCACATTATCCAACACAACCATGGCATATATATGCCATTCTGAGATGCAGAGCGCCTGAGGATATATCGTGTAAGGACAGTAATAGCCTTCTCCACCGTGTTTTTTTTTTTTTTGGATAGGATAAAGCTTTTATAGCCACTCTCAGGCATAGAAGCTCTCTATACATTTTTCATCCACCACCTTGAAATGCAGCATATTTGATTATTTCTTTAACGTCCAATAACTCGGTTAAATAATGCCGAACAATATACTGCATCACAGAAAAGAGACGGTATCGTTACATGATAGTGTAAAATTGAGATAGAAAATGCCACATACTTCGACACATTATTCGTTTTACCCTCATTTTCAAATATTAATATTTACGAGTTGACCGAGACTCCCAATCGGTTAAAATAATGGAATGGATGACTACAGTCAAGAAGAATGATTTCAGTCATGAAATAGACTTTCTATTTATGAGTAGGAAACAGTATTCAAGAAGGGATAAAGGGTTTAATGGCAGTGATAATTGTCTGCGTCAGGAATGTAACTTCTCGGGGAAGGACAGCGGTAAATAATGGCGACTTCTCAGGTTAGTAGTAAAAAATAGTACACAGGATATTCGATTTTACTACACGATTATGTCGTTTTGAACTTATCTTACAAATGCTTTGGAATATCTAGCTACCAGGTGTCAAACTGACCAATTGGGTCAATACTAAAATTCCACTATCTGGCTCATAACTTAGATCAGGCTCATTTTTTTTTTTGAGGAGTACCTTTGGAGGCACGAGGATTTTAGGAATTTTAGAATCCTAGATCGAACGGATCAGCCTTGAGATGCGCTGAAAATTTGAATTTGAATCTTAACGGTTTTACAACTTTCCTTTTATCGTTGCTACTGCCATTGCAGCATCACGCCCCATAATATGTAACTATTCCGAAGTAGTTCTATCCAAGGAAGTCAAAAATGTCCTCCAAATTCCAATACGATAATGTGGATAAGGTTCGTAAAAATGTGATTTCTAGCTTTTTGGAATCATTTATATTTTCTCGCTACCCCTCGAAATAAGGCAGCACAAGGTTCCATCTTCCGCAGTGGTCGATTCTGATAATAGATGGTACTTTGTATTGTCTTATTTCGATAAACGTTATACAATGAATACAGTTGCTTAGCTTTCCTTAGTTTTCCACCGAGACTTAGCCTACACCAAGCTGAAGAGTTGTCAAATAGCACGAAACAGTGGTCCATGGTTGTCCGTTTGTGGTCGGACGAACAAAATATGTATTACTAGTTTTTACATAGTGCGAACTTTGTTACAGGGTGTGGTAAACACCGTCCTAAGACAGAAGCCTGGGGCATTGAATCTGATCAACAAGGCGATCAGATCTATCTACAACAACCCAACTTCCATATTTCTAACGGCAAAGGCAGATGATATTCTTTTTGATGGCGTCACTATTAATTGCGCTGTTACGGATTTCGCGGGAAAAGCATTGTGCGCCCAGTTGAAGCAAGAGGCTGGCTTGAGACATATCTCGGAGGATGAGCTGGCGTTTTCACTACTTGGACCAGTAAGTTATTTTTCTAATAGCAGAACATATTACCTTTAATCTCTAAAAGCTTGCATCACAGATTCAAAATAGCAGTTGCATCGCTTACTTGAGGTCTTTGGACCATAGCCTCGGACTCTTTGATACTCCTGGACTGATGATAGAGGGCAAATTTGTCGCACAAGAGATTGACGATACACGTTTACCCTTCATAGCTATGGAGGATATGCTAGCGGGCGATTTTAATCTAGACCTTCCGTTGCATCCTAATACAATGAAACCATGCTTACAAGCTGTAGATGGTAAAAGATAATATTTAAAAAGTGTTCATTTGGACATCCGGACAGAGGTGAACCTACAGGGTGAACCAGTCAACGTAAAGGTATCGAATAAGAATTTTTATGGCAAGCATGGTCATGAGAAAAGGTGTTCCTTATTATTAATTAACATACTCTTATATCCAATGGATATTAATTGGTAGAATGTACAATTTGGAAACTTTTTTGTCTACATTGTTTTTTTTCTTATATCTTTGCCTCGCTTTAAGAAGTAACGTGACTAGTTACTAGGTACTCTAGGTAGTATAGTCTCAATTTCTAAGACTGAATACACCTTCGGAGTATCTGAAAAGGCTGTTGTGCCATCGGAAAAGTAGTCATAAGGCCATCATATTCAAAAATTATATTTTATATGTTGTTTTATATGTTTCTAAATGACCCGATAGTTACTGAGATAAATTGAGGTCTTTTGTCTTCTTCATTCATTTCAGAAAAATGCCACGGAAGGGAAACGAATAAAAGCTTACCGAGGAACGAAAAACTCGCGTGACGTGGGAAAAATCGTTGAATACGATAACGCAGCAACTATGAGTGCTTGGCCGACAGATGAATGTAATGTTATTGATGGAACTGACGGTACAATATTCCCTCCTTTTCTGGAACAAGATGATGGGATTGTGTCTTTTGCGCCAGACCTATGCAGGTACGAAAATGTTTTCTTGAATACCTTAGAACTAAGAGGCAATGACGATATTCCGGGCATTGACGTTTACGGCCACATAATGACGTGAATGCCAGCTAAGCTGGACAATGTGTAGCTGTTTTTTGTATTGGTAGTTATGAGATTCTAAATCCATATCACAATTTAAGTCGGTATATATTCTCATTGTACGCACCGAAGATTTACGGGAAGCATCAGTGCAACTAACCGAGATGACATCAAATAGTTTTTTAATCTTTGACTAATATAACCATTGTAATGAGGTGGAACAAACAAGGACTTTGACGTCGACATTTCTAGGTAACATGCCTTAACATTTGTTTTATCCTGTTTTTTCCTCTTGGTTGTTACGAATATCTGTAAAAATTTTCACTCATTCATCAACGCAACTGATCGGACATGAGGATATTGACATCATAACATCGCTTTGCTCCAAAAGCCCCTCAATTCGTTTTGCAACGAATTTGGGATATCGGTGCCATCTGAAGACGATGTAAATATATAATGCTAAAGATCCTAAAATAAGTTTCAATTCCTGCTGAACCACCTTCAAAACCGCTGCTTATTTCTAAGATTGATTTTAAAAACCTTAATCTTATAAGTAAGTCCACAAGCCCCTAAACCTATCTAGTAACAAAACCCGTAAATTCCTAATACCTGGATGCATGTTGTGTATCCTAAGAAGCAAACTCCTCTCAGTCTAACTACTGTATATTTTTTGCCTCTTTATACACACCACTTATTACAGTTGTGGTGTTTTTCACATATGTGTATTGGAATTTTGCTCAGTTGAACCAGTCAGGGAAATCCTATTACAAATACAATTTGATGCAAGCCTGTCAAAGGTATCTAAATATCAAATGAAATTAATCAAGGTACATCTGAATGTGAAAAAGGTAATGTATCACGATATTGTCACAAAGTTTGGAAATACTGCGAGAAGATGACTGCAAAGGTGCAAAAGATGGATAGGAAGAGCTACGTGGGATAATGTGATAAGTGAGGAAGCTGATATCCTTCTATGTTTTTCTTTATAATGAATAATTTAATAATGTATCTTATTTTATGCTTTCAAGTTAATGTTGCCAGAACGTAAACCTTGCAAGCTCATGCTTTTGAAGCAAATCATCGTAAATCCAAATGATTTTCAAAAACAGCTAAACTAAAGTACACTTTTTGTCTGAAGGCAGATTTTCTTGCAAACAAAATCTGAAACATGTATCCATCTACAAAATTCTTGCGTATAAGAACCCTAATTTGCTTATTTTGAGGCCAATTTCCTGAAAAAACAAAAAAGTGGATTAAGCGGTATTGGGAAATGAACGACTTGACCATTAGCGTCAATACTCAGCTATCGGCATTGCCTGTAGCACTTTGACAGTGCTTGTTGCTTTTTATACGATTGCGAAACTAGTCTAACCAGGGAAGTGTAAGTAGTATACATGACCTGATACCTGCTTTGAGTGACATCTGAAGTGCCGACCAATAGCGGTATTTAACAGTTTTATTCGATAACCTAGAGGCTATCATTAGTTCATTCAATAGTTGCTTCACCTCATCGCCAGAAGGCAAAGCTTAACTTATTCTTTCAAATACTTGGAAGTCTAACTAAGCTGCATTTTCAGCCATTCAGATCCTTCGTTCGTTGATTCTGACATCAGACATTTGCAGCCCACACACAACTGTTCTTTCCTGCCGTTCAATCATGTCATCATTTTCCCCCACGGAAGCTCGTTGTCTTGTTAGGCGAAAAATGAACAGAAAACTTTCCGTAAGCATTGTTGATAGGTATGCTTCTGTACAAACAACAAATTTCCCCATTAATGGTCAAATATCCTAGAAGGACAAGATGAACACATTAACTTCCTACCATAACAAAGTTAGGGAGGAAAGATACATTTATAACGATCTTGTGGCAGCAGAGAATGGCATTATCGAATTGAAAGAAACAACGCTACTGATTGAGGCTGAACCAGTGGGTCATTGTGTGGAGGACTTTCCAAGCAGATTTGCCGCAAATAGCGGATATAGCGATGTAACGATCATCTCCTGAACTATAGTCGGGAATTCAGCAGAAACGAAGCCCTACAGGCACTCATTCTGCTTCTTCTCTTTTTTCTTATCCTGCTTCTTCCTCTTCCTCTTCTTTCTCTCCTTCTCTCTTCCTCTTCTTCCTCTTCTTCCTCTTCTTCCTCTTTCCTCTTCTTCCTCTTCTTCCTCTTCTTCCTCTTCTTCCTCTTCTTCCTCTTCTTCCTTTTCTTCATCTTCTTCCTCTTCTTCCTCTTCTTCCTCTTCTTCCTCTTCTTCCTCTTCTTCCTCTTCTTCCTCTTCTTCCTCTTCTTCCTCTTCTTCCTCTTCTTCCTCTTCTTCCTCTTCTTCCTCTTCTTCCTCTTCTTCCTCTTCTTCCTCTTCTTCCTCTTCTTCCTCTTCTTCCTCTTCTTCCTCTTCTTCCTCTTCTTCCTCTTCTTCCTCTTCTTCCTCTTCTTCCTCTTCTTCCTCTTCTTCCTCTTCTTCCTCTTCTTCCTCTTCTTCCTCTTCTTCCTCTTCTTCCTCTTCTTCCTCTTCTTCCACTTCTTCCTCTTCTTCGTTTTCTTCCTCTTCTTCCTCTTCTTCCTCTTCTTCCTCTTCTTCCTCTTCTTCCTCTTCTTCCTCTTCTTCCTCTTCTTCCTCTTCTTCCTCTTCTTCCTCTTCTTCCTCTTCTTCCTCTTCTCCCTCTTCTTCCTCTTCTTCCTCTCTTTCCTTTTCTTCCCCTTCTTCCTCTTCTTTCTCTTCTTCCTCTTTTTCCTCTTCTTCCTCTTCTTCCTCCGCTACCTCTTCTTCCTCTTCTTCATATTATTCCTCTTCCTCTTTTTCTCAACAGAGATCAGTCTCTTGCCTCCTCTGATGTCACGAAGCTATTAAGACTATATTTTTCTTAGCTTCTTAAATCTCTTTCGCCTTTTGGATTATATTTTTTTGGTCATCATTACATATATATATCCAATTAACTGCGTATATCATCGTTTCTCAATTTTCCAGCCTTTGACTCTTCTCAAAAATCTCAGGTTTGCTACCTATGCTATCATATTCTTTAGTGCTCATCCATCATTCGCATCAATACATTATCGTAGGTGTGCTTTTAGAGATGCTTCTAGCTCCAAAAGAAGAAACTACCAATTACGCGGCATCACGTGTATGCTGTATTGAAAACGTATTGCGAAAGTTGCCGATTAAACCGACTGTAACTGTGGTTATTTGAAAATTTAACTTATTGTTATGTTATTTCCTATGCTGAGTGATAAAGAATACGAAGTCGAGCGAGTTGGGAAAAAGTAGCGCATTTGCCTAACTTGAAAGCGACACAGGTCTTCTACCAATATCAGCAAATAGAGACATATTTTAATCCGATAGAAAAATGCTTCATTCGACTGGATTAGATTATTGTTTCTTGTTCCAGATCTCTCAAAGCTTACTACGTAAAGCCAGCTAAGTATGATGGAATTCCTGTGGGAGAATACACAGCAGACCTTGGTGATGCGTCAACCAATGAAGACGAAAAGTGCTACTGTTATACAGATGATACCTGCTTGAAAAAAGGTGTGAGGCTCCACATTGTGAAACATACTTTTTGTATTACGAGCTTGAAGTTTCTGAAGGAGCACCTTAAAGTTATAGGTTTAACCTCAAAAATCTCCAGCTAAATACAATAGCACTGAGTTCTTTAACGTGATATTAGAGTTCCAATAAAGGTCTGTTACCTGTAGAGACGCTATCAAGTTCAGAGAGTAGCATTTCTTCTTCAGTCACCTTGTTAAATCTAGTTTTAGGTGATTCTGATTGCCTTATGTTGATTGTAGGTCTAATGGATCTGTACAAGTGTTCTGGTGTGCCAGTTTATGCTTCCCTGCCTCACTTTTTGGACACTGATGAAAGTTACCTAAAAGGAGTCCAAGGACTGAAGCCTAATAAGACAGAACATGAAATTAGAATATTGTTTGAATCGGTAAGTGACCGTCGTATCGCGCAATTTTTCAAATCAAGGTAAGAAAGTAAAACTACTTCTTTTATTTCCAGTTCAGTGGAAGTCCTCTGTTCGCACGGAAACGGCTTCAGTTCAACATGCCTCTGGAACCAGTTCCAAAACTGGAACTTTTCAAAAATTTCACCGAGACAGTGGTCCCAATGTTTTGGATCGAAGAGGTACGTTTGCCTTGTCAAGCATTATAATAAAGTAGAATTAGGTATTTCTACAGAAATGGGACCTCAGCCACAAAAACGTTTTCACGATTTTTTTTTAAATAAGCATATGTAGTTCTATTCCCCATAGCAATCAGACATATTTCGGCAACCGAGCAGATGTGGGGTGAAGATTTGGTTAGCCTCTAATTATATACCCACATCCCTCACTCCGCTTCCTCTGTATTGGTTTTTGTGCGTACAAGTACTCACTGAGGGATTGCTGACATTAACGCGTCACTGGACAAGCAATAATGAAAGCAAAGCTTGCCAGGTTTTATTAAATGTTGAATTGAAATGTTAGGAGATACAGATTCAAGTTTAGGGGTAAAAGATAGAAATATTCACAGTTTTATAGCTAAGAATGGGAAAGGGAGCTTCCACGATGGGTGTAAAGGAGTTTGAAAATCGACTAGTTTGCTTATTGTACATGTTGTAATTCAGGGAAAGATGCCCCCAAGAAACCTGTGTTGTGTGTGTGCGGGCAATATAGAAATATACTTTTCTTCATAGACGTAGTCAGCGCTACATGCGGCAAGCTTTGACCGTAGGTGGTAGACGGTCTCTGACTGTCGAACACGGAGGTACCACCCAGCGGATCTCGTAGGCCCAGCCAGAATGTGTGCATGTTGATGCACACTTGTGTGTGTGTGGGTGTTTAGGCTTTAGGCCTTCGTGGTAGTTGAAGTATATAAAAAAAGCCCTGATTTGTTCCTCCTGCTGATTTTCTCGAATTTCAGTAACACTATCTACCGATTTCGCTTTTTTTGGTTCGGCAACATTGTTCACAATCGCTTCGCAAATCTAAATTAAATGATAAAATAAATTGAGATACAGTCATTTGACACCAAATGGAATCAAGTAATGTAAATTTAATTGTATTAACACGTTTCTTTCACAAAAAACTAAAATAATTTTCTCCAACGTTAGATCCATTTTCATTTTGGTTACATAAATGGAAGCAATGCATTCTCACGATTTTCACGTCACTGCCAAAATTCTCAGACATACATTTTTTTTTCAGGGAGTGGAACTCAACAGTACCCTGACGAAACCCCTGAAGATGCTCTTCATGCTGAAGTCTGTAGTGAACGTCACCAAATACCTGGTGATCTTAGGCGCATTGGGAGGCCTGGCGTACTCCGGTTACCTTTTCTACAAAAGCAGCGGGAAAGTCAACATTACCCCTGTTCATAAAGTACAGCCCAATGATAGTAATAGCATTTCAAGTGTAAATAATATGTATCAGGGCCACGTGAATCGAGCTATGTCGACACACAGCGTAGACAAATACTGAATTGTAGGGAAGAAGAAGAATATTGTGTAATAGGTTAATTATTCCAAAGCTAAAAAAAATGTTTTTGGGTATAGGAACTTGAAACAGCGGCTATAGGAATTCAAACAGCTTAGATATCATTTGAATTTGAAGCGATTTTAGGAGCTACGAAAACTAAAAATTCTATGAAAATGTATGCAAGTGTAAAATATTTATTTTAGATATTGGTATGACTCGTAATGAAGATTAATAAGATTTTTTTACCAGTTCTTCACTATTTTATAACATGCAGTTTGGACTGAACATTCACCAATGAGTCGTACGATGTAATCTCCTTATTTGAGGCTCATCGGTGCGATGTATTCTTCTGCTGAATAACAAATTTCACTGCTGTGCTTAAGTGTGTATATTTGTTATTACTTTTTTAAGGCTACCATAAGCACAGTTTTGCAACGGTTATTGAAATGCGTCAGCAGAAGCATTCACCCAGAATTAATGAGAAGACAAAACACGCCCACAGTGTCTGCTGACCCTTTGACATTTATGTAGAAAATTCCATTTGATAAAGGGTTTTTTTAGAGGTATAGAACTTTAAATTGCAATAGAACAACGATGGATTATTCGATTGACATGAATTTTTTTTATTCGAAAGATAATTTTGTGGCATTTCATTTTAAAAATGATTTCTGACATATAACTGTCACGGCTATCTCGGATGTTGTCCAATCTGGACCTCTAATTTTCCAACATTTGTAGCCGTATATCGGCAATAACATGGCGAATGTTGTCTTCCAAATGGTCAAGCGTTATTGGCTTATCGGCATAGACCAATGACTTTACATAGCCCCACAGAAAATAGTTTAGTGGTGTTAAATCACAAGATCTTGGAGGCCAATTCACAGGTCCAAAACGTGAAATTAGGCGGTCACCAAACCAAAAAATCGATTGTAGCACGAGCTGTGTGACATGTTGCGTCATCTTGTTGGAACCACAGCTCCTGGACATCATGATTGTTCAATTGAGGGATGAAAAAGTTAGTAATCATGGCTTTGTACCGATCACCATTGACTGTAACGTTCTGGCCATCATCGTTTTTGAAGAACTACGGACCAATGATTCCACCAGCCCATAAAGCGCACCAAACAGTCAGTTTTTCTGGATGTAAAGGTGTTTCTACATAGACTTGAGGATTAGCTTCACTCCAAATGCGGCAGTTTTGTTTGTTGACGTAGCCATTCAACCAGAGGTGCGCTTCATCGCTAAACAAAATTCGCTTATGAAAATCGGGATCAACGGCAATCTCGTTTTTGGCCCATTCAACGAATCTACGTCTTGCTAGATGATCGTTTCGCTTCAATTCTTGCACGAGTTGAAGTTTTTAAGCACGCAAAAAAGATCCTTCAGCAAAATCTTCCATAAAGTGGATGGACACAGATCCAATTCCTGTGCTCGATGGCGGATGGACTCATTCGGGACTTCCTGAATGCTACGCTCTAACGTAGCAATAGCTTCTTCTGTATGCACCGTACGGCTTCTCTGGGGATGCGAGTTATCAATTAGAGTAAAAGTGGTGCGAAAACGTTCCATGGTTAATCGAATTAACTGCTCTGATGGACGATTTTGTCGACGATAAAATGGATGTAGTGCGCGACACGTAATCCGCACAGAATCACTATTTTCGAAATAAAACTGCACAATTTGCACGCATTGTTCAGGCATGAGTCTATTCATGATGAATTGCCAAACCAAACTGAGAATAAATCACTTGACAGCTGTCAAATCGGTCGCCATCTTCAAAAGTAATGCCAACTTAAAGTTCTATACCTCGAAAAAAAAAACACCCGTTATAATTCTATACCCAATACGCAACAAACTGATAGCTAATGTCAAACATGCATGTGGCAAAAGACGCTTAAACCAAAAATACCTTGGTAATTGTTGTCACACGTTTTTTATGTTCTGTTATTAATAATTATATAATGTTAAATAATCTCAAACAACCACAAATGAATTTGTGTCTTCGTCAGCACATTTATCGTTTATTTACCTTTTTGGACCATAATGCAATTTGTACCTATATCAAGAATGAGTTTTCCATATTCGCAGGACACATTCAGAAGGATTTGTTATACGAGTAGGTTAACAAATCTCAGATTTATGTAAGGATGCTGTGAATAGGTATAGGAATATTATGTACCTCCGCACTGGAGATGTTGGAGCAACTTTTTGTGGAGGAAGAAATATATATGTTTTTGTTTATTTTGTTGCGTAATATTTGTATACGAACCCTAGGTCATCCTCCTATCGTTAGTACATATACGTATCTATCCCTCTATTCAAAAAAACATTCAAATTCATCTAATATCTCGAAATTTTAACGCTAATAATCACCCATGGCTTTCTGTCCATCAAAAGAACCAACTACTGTACGTTGGATGAACGCGCTCAATGAGAATATATTTTATGTTTATCTGTTTCGCAGATACTTTCACATGGGGTCTCTGGACCTAGAACTAGGCTATCTCTGCCTCTCGGTGAGTACACCACCATTTTCCAGGCGGAAATCTTTGCGATTCTGGCTTGTGTATCTCACATTCTGGAGGAGGGTGGGCCTAGGAGAAGAGTAACAATCTTATCCGACGGCCAGGCTGCAATGAAAGCACTAAGTGCATGTAAGATTACTTCGAGTCTTGTATTGCAATACAGGGAGGCTCTGGATTGCCTCGCAGCGAGGCATCCGGTATCGTTAATATGGGTACCGGGGCACGCTGGGATAAGGGGCAATGAGACGGCGGACACTCTGGCGAAAACAGGATCAGCCAGCAAGCTCGTTGGTCCTGAGCCAGCTCTAGGAGTAACCGCGCATAAAGCTAGGAGGAAAATGGAGACGTGGGTTGCAAGACAACACTCTCAGAAATGGATAAGTATCTCTAGACATCTCCGCCAGGCACGAGAGCTCATTGAAGGGCCCAGTGCTAAGGATGGACGCTTCTGCCTATCTCTGGGTAGAGCCAACCTAAGGTTGCTGGTGGGACTGTTGTCTGGCCATAACACGTTAAGGCGGCACCTGCACGTGATGGGGGTGGCTGAGGATCCCTTGTGCGAACGCTGCGGAGTAGAGGAAGAGACCTCGGCGCACGTTTTGTGTCGCTGTGAAGCTCTGAGCTACTATAGGCAGACTATACTGGGGTCCATTACTTTGGACCCTCAGGACGTAAAGGAGCTTGGACTCAAGGCGATTCTCAACTTCGCTAAAAGGGCGAGGCTTGTGATTTAAGTATTGTAGAGGTGCATAAGGGCCCGCTTAAGCGGCCTATGCACTGGCTCCTTATGGTGGCCGGGATGCCTCTAAAATTCAAGATTCATTCATTCATTCACATGAAACTATAGAACCACCCAAAGCGGCAAGCGAGCGCAAGTTGTCAGCTATGTTGTGTGTACTAGATTCGTCATCCTTGCTCATCGCCTCGAGAACGCCAAACAACTTCCAGAATGCGAAAACCCACCCAGAACTGTTAAATCGTTGTCTTTGCAGTTGCTCCGTAGATCGTGAGCCAATCTGATCGAGTATGCGTAAAGGAAAAATATAACCGATATTCTCCAAAGTTTCTGGTGGACCAGACGTGTTTTCTACCAGATTTTATATCTGGTTAATGCCACATGAAGCAGTATGAAAAAATCAAAATCCTAATGTTTCCAAAGTTCTCAGATATTCCTCGAATATGAACTAATGAAATTATAAAGCATTTTTGGGGGTAGTGTTATTGCAAGCCTTCCTTTCCACTTATTAATTATTAAGAGCATACTCAATGTATATTCTGCTTGAGCGCGAGAGGCGCGTCAGCTTCGTCAAAAGCACCTCCTAAAATGCACTTGGGTTTCGTTAATTGACGCTTGAAGAACGCTTTTGAGCTGGGCACTGTATACAGGGTGTCCGCAAAGTTGGGGTTTTCCTTTTCAGATACAACTACGCTTGATATAAAAAAGCTAATGTATGGTCAAACGTGAACGAAAACAAAAAATTAATGAAAAAGTTCTTACTGTTCAGATGATTTGAAATTCCAAGTAAGACTCTGTCAAAAAATCAGTATTTACATCATAGTCGTACGTCGTATAACCGCGCTGTGCACGTGACCGAGGGATAGGACAGGACCGGCTTCGGTTTGGTGCAGGTTTGATTGAGTTTGCGGAGCCCAATATCTCGGTTCTCTTAAGACATTGGTGTATATGCTACTAAGAAAATCCGCTTATTTTCTCAAGATTCACACGTCGCGTAAAGGAAAACACCAACTTTGCGGACACCCTGTATTATGGTCTAGCACAAAGTCACCTATGGTATTATTGAAGCAAATATCACATTTATCTGCAATTTGGAGATGATGCTGAAATGAATTTTGAAAACAATTTTTAAAAAATTCCATTTAATTCAAATTAATTATTCATCTACAGTAATAGTAAGGACTCTCAGCGATACAACTAGGCCCTAAAACCTGAAAAAAGCACTACAGAGATCGTATATTTTTCTGGGACTTAGGTGTTATTTATTTATTTATTTACACCACCAACAGTTTATAAACCAATAATGGTGTGAAATACAGTACATATATATAAAAACCACAAACTAAACTAATTGCATTGATTGCTTAGTAATTACCAATAAGAACCCATGAAAAGCTACCACTGATCATAGCTCAATCAAACTGTGGTACCTCTAAAAAACTACCGCTTTACATACTCAAAATAATTCATATAGTCATTATAACATGAGCATATCGAATATAGCGGTGAGTGCAGCAGTAGATTCGTTCGTGGGGTAGGTAGGTAAAAGGCAAGGTTGGCCCTTGTTCGTACTCTAGGTGTATTGAAATTTAGCATAGACAAAAATGATGAACAGTCATGTTGGTAATTTATAACTTTGAATAAAATGACTAAAGATTGTATCTTCCTTCTATCATCAAGGCTGAGAAACCTATGCTTTTGAAGTAAGTTATTTTGTGAAATCCCTATGGGAGGATAAACACCATCTGTTTAAATACTGTTTAAATACTTCAAGAACTTCCTCTGAATTTTTTCCAATGAGTCACATGAGGTAACATAGCATGGGTTCCCGATTATCCTTCCGTATTCCAGCTTAGAAAGAGCAAACGAATTGTTCGGCACTGTAAGTGCTGTGGTACCGATAAACTCTCTTGAATTGCGTATAACAAATCCAAGTGCTTTGTTGGCAGAATCCACTAAATTAGTTAGCTGTGCACTGAAGCTCAATGTCCTGTCAGATATTACTCCTAGGTCCCTGAACTCTAAAGTCTGAAGAGGAGTGTTGTTAATTTTATAACTATCGGTGATTGAATTTACTCTCCTAGTGAAAGCTAAAGATTTACATTTGCTCACGTTGATGGGAAGTTTATTAGCAGCACACCACTCAGACAGTCTGTCAAGATTCCTTTGTAAATAAAAGCAACTAGATGGATCATCAATTTGCCAGTACAGTATTACGTCGTCCGCGTAGAGCAGAATATTGCAGTCAATCGTGTTAACTTAGACATTAATAAAAATGACGAATAGTAGTGGACCTAAGAAAGATCGTTGTGGGACGCCAGTAGATGGAAAAAAGTGAATTGATTTACCACCGTTAAAATCCACATATAGTTTGCGATCAGACAAATACGACTGAAATAATAATACCAAATTTTTTGATAGGCCAATGCTATTTAGTTTTCCCAGTAGTAAACCATGATCGACTCTATCAAACGCTTTACTGAAATCAGTATATAGCGCATCAACCTGACCATTATAATCTGCTCCCTCAAGAGCTACCGCAATTAAATTCTATTGGACTATTTAAAAGCATGATAAAAAGTTGTTAATTAATTTGCTTATAAGTCGGACTTGCCAAATCGTTGAACTGAACCAAACTATTTTGTTACGATTATGAATTTAAAAGGGAATAACCAACAGTACCTCCCTAATTAAGGTATATACAAGTAGGCAGTTCATTTAAATTCTGTAGAATGATTCGAATTTAACCTATTACAAATTCAATTCTAATCCAAGTTAGAACAATGTAGTATATTTAGATTAAAACTATTATAAGATGTATGTACATTATGTATGTAAGAAATTTTAATTGTTGCACCCGTCTTGCTTCTGCGGGTTCTGGATTTGTTTGTTGTATCAGAAATCCATTATTTCTGTGAGGCAAATAAATATTATTGCTAGTGTTACTGTTATTGTTATTGTTATTATTATCATTATTACCGAGCGGTTGAGAAGATATTTCCTGGACAATTTGGCATTTTAAAGATGATGAGCGAGGGTGATGTATCGGTACATCCAAACAAGAGGTTTGTAGGGCATTAGAAAAAAAGAAAGGAGAACTGTCAGTTTGAATTTCATATTTCAACCTGAAATACCGTATGAACGTCGCCTTAATTTATGTATTGGATCTGTCGGTTTCCCATCTACTGTTGACTGCTTGAGAAGAAGTAGACATTGCTGCCTTCAATTCCTTACCAATCGATAACGAAAAATGTCAACATGACAAAGCAGTGCCTTAATGGAGATTTAAATTTAATTGTTTGAGCAATGATCTCAAATCATTTTCTATTGCTTGTCTCATCATAACCTGCTCCTACACTGGAGGTATATATTTTGTAAATAATGATTCATTGGAAGATAATGTTGCCAGAAGCATGGTCATAAATGTGTTGGGGAGCAAAATTGTAATGGAAACGTACGTATTAATAAGTTTTTAGAGTGTATACGATCTGCTTGGAGTTGAGGTCACTAAATGAGCCTTTAAACAAGTAATATTTGTGTTGCAATATTTGTCTATAGCTATGGAAACTGTAGCACAGCCATCACGAATATATTGCAGCATATGGCCCGATTGTGTATCTTGGTCATATCTCCACTATATTTTGACAAACTTGTATGCATTGTGTGCACCAATGAATCCGAATAGATTAGAAGCAGTCAGTCTAAATCTTTACATTGCGTTGTTTGTCGCCAAAATTGTACAGCTTTTTGGCCTTTGTCTACCATTACCTATCAAAGTGACAAGCTAATACATAGACGAACATTTAACTGAGCAGAAATACAAAGTGTTTTGATGGGATAAATTAGATAAGACAAACAACTAAAGTAAATACCTGATGATTTTTTAAGAGAATATGAAAAATTCCATTCATCAAACAGCAGCAATGGCCGAATACTCGATTTTGGAAATAGTGCATTTTTTGTTCGGTTTTTCTAGGCAGTGGTGGTAATCCGATCAGATTCTTGCTTAAAAGCAAATACCTACTTGAGCATAAGAAGTAAATTCATAGTTACTAAATTGATCCAATAGTAAGGTTTGTAAGTGGTTCAATTAATTATTTTTTTTGTGGCCTACTAAGCTTTTTTACTAGAATCTACTAACAATAAAATGAAAAATTGAAATTAATATCCTATTCTACCTTTTCAGTATCTATCATAAATTCTGGTTCGGTTGCAATGCTTTTGATTTTTCAATGCTGCTGTTATAGGTATACAATCCTGTTAACAAACTTTAGTTCCGGATTGAACACTTAAAGAAACAAGAAGTGAACTTATATAAATCAAAAGTTACCTCACAATTGTCCAGGTAAAAAGCTAACGTTGAGGCAATTGCCCCTCTGTAACGCCGATGACTATAATACATTAACAACTATCGATCGATTATTCACTTCAAACCGCTTTTTGCGAGCCACAGAAACACCCACCAGTTTCAATAATCATCTGGAACTGATGCACTTTTATGTTTTCGCAGAAAACTATGAATTGCATATGAAATGTCAACAACTGTCAAACTGTCGGCTGAAGCTTGATTTATTTGTATCATGAACTGTCATCCTGACTACAGTGTATGGGATTTTGGAGACAAATCATAGACTTGCTCCTTCTACCTAATCTAAATTCGTTGGTGTCAAGGTCAACGAATTTGAATAGATTAGAAGGAGCCAAGCCTATGTTCACATTGAATTGTTTGTCTCCAAATTATGTAGTCTAAGGGCCGTATCGTCAGTCGTCTCTACAATTGTAGGCCTCCTAGATTGTCATAGTTTTCTACTTCTCCGTGTCAGCGCTCTATTTTGAGGTTATGTCACAAACATCTATTTGCATCAAATTGTGCTTGCTTTTGAGTTATATTATGTTTTATCAGCCTGAAATTACCTACAATTTAAAAAGAAAACATATCTTCACAATAGGAGAGCGCTGACGCTGACTCGGGACAAGTGTAATCTAGAAATTTTTAAAGGAGAGAAAGCAGTATGACAATCAAGAAGGCCATAAACGCGCCCTACAATTGTGTTGTATCAGCCCTCCATTTTGAGGTTATCTTGCATTTACCCTCACAATACGGCTTGCAGAGTCTCTTTACAAGTATGCATTGTTGGTTGCAGACAGCCACTTTGTTTGTATATTACAAATACAAATTTTAATGTTTAAAATGTTAAAGAACGAAAGTTTGGTTGAGTAGAAAGACGGCATCTGGATGATTGTATTGGTCTGCAGTGTATAAAATCTGTGATATTTACAATGTGAGAAAATTATTACTGATTATGCTGCCAATGAAGTATACCTATTAGATGTGCCAGACGGGTTATTTGTGTTGTTCTTTCTGAAGAGAGGTTAGGTCCAATTTATAAATTACGGTTTTTTCCGTTTTTTTTTTCTTTTGTGTTTTTAAAAACCTTGAGAAGAATTACAAAAAAACACCGTCGCGCCCGCGTTGTGAGTAGTTACTGGTAGCATGTATATGACTTGTAATTCGACAGTGTACAGTGAATATAATCATTTCTTATCTCTCTCATTTTTCAAATTTGCATATGTAATTTCAAGAATGGGAGAAAAAGTGTATGCGGAACTAATTTCTAGCCTTGAATCTCAAGTAAGTTTATTTGAGACAAGAATCCAATGAAACTATCATCAACACACATATTAGTACGCAAATCCTCACTATGCCTTAGCTTAGATCTCTAGTAATGCCATCTTTGAAGCAGATTTTACATCACATGAGAGCTAAATATTGATAGCCGAAGCCTCTTGAACGTTTAGGCAACACGTACAACTACGAAACGAGTTCACAAAGTATCCATCAGCTAGTGTCAAGTTAAAATCTTGTAGAGAAACCTCATAATGTCAAAAAAAATCGGCATAATGTCACTTTTCAAGATACGTTATACCCCTGCCCTTCTAGCTAGTCCGAATTTGTTGGTTGTAAAAAAATTTGTTATCAGATGGAACACAAAATCGATCAAAAATGACGCAGCGCGGCTACCTACATTACGAATACGTTAGTTAGTTAGAATTTATTGAATATAAAATATATAAGATAGGTAGTTACTCTAGTTGGCACTGTAGAACGCAGTTGATCTCCGCGCAGGGCGGAATGGTACGAAAGACCCCCGAGGGGGCTGCCCCGAGAGCGGGGTCGAACAAGCCCATGAAAGTAGTTCTCAGTTTCCACCTACTTAACAATATTGAGATCTTCTCCCCTGTCCATCGCAGAACGTAGCGAGCATAGTTGCGATGAATAAACCACCAGCGGCAGCAAACGTTCATCTCCTATTTTCGATGCGAATATCGAGAATATTTCTATGACTCAAACAAATTCACGAATAAATAAATAAATCTTTAGAAATAATGATGTATTCCTTCAAAGTAACAGATAGCGAAGCTGCATGACCAAATTTATTCAACACAAATAGTGACTCTTCATAATACCATCCTCAAAGAAAATGATCCCAAAATCACCTATGTATGGACTATGTATGTTAATTTGAAGTTGACAGTTTACTTACATACTGATTGTCATTGTTGAAATATTAAGGCCCGTATCGTCAGTCGTCCCTACAATTGTAGGGCGCGTTTATGGCCTCCTTGATTGTCATACTCCTTTCTCTCCTTCAAAAATTTCTAGATTACACTTGTCCCGTATCAGCGTCAGCGCTCTCCTATTGTGAAGATATGTTTTCTTTTTAAATTGTAGGTTATTTTAGGCTGATAAAACATGATATAACTCAAAAGCAAGCACAATTTGATGAAAATAGATGTTTGTGACATAACCTCAAAATAGAGCGCTGACACGTAGAAGTAGAAAACTATGACAATCAAGGAGGCCATAAAGGCGCCCTACAATTGTAGGGACGACTGACGATACGGGCCTAAGTCATAAAGCGGCAAGTTAAACTGCAAGGATTATAGCCATAATCTCAAATCACAAAACGTAAACGCGTCAAGTAACGAAGCTTGGTATCTAGGAAAAAAACTTTTCCCGAAAATTGACCCAAAATTATAAAATGACCTAGTCTGGTAATTCATTCATTAATTTATTGCTGTGAAGGAATTAATAACAATTTTCTTATTTACAGGATCCAACCTTTTCAAGGATGGAAATTTGTTCAGTTTATTGGATCATGTAAAGCGACTAGCTCAAGTGCAAACATAAGTAGTAGGAAACCTATATAAAAGTTATTTCTAATAAATCCGTAGATTCACCGGGCAGCGGACAAACACAATGTCGGCAAACACTTGAGACACACTCTCCCCCACCCTCTGCGAATCCTTGCAGTCAATTTTTACCAATCAAGATCTTTCCAAAAATCAACAGGAACCTCAACGTTTTTAATTTTTTGCCCGTCGCCACTAGATCGATTTTCGAAGACTAGTAACCTCCTGCAAAAATCCACGAAAATCCTCCATGTAATTGTCAGTAGGCTGATTGAGATATTTTGTTCAACACGAACTTCCATATTCATATATACTTACACATTTCACAAATGTTCATGAAAATTGATAACGTCGTCCTCACTTCTAAATAGTCCACCTTCCTAATAGACAGCCCTCCCCCTCCCTTACTTGGATATCAATTTTCCATTAGAAGTCGAAGCTTAATCTCATTCTTAACGACATCTTTCAATCATTGATGAGAAGTCGTCATCCTTCAAGCAAAACATCGTCGTCATCTCCCCTCCACCTAAGCACATACATTCAATAACACTGTAACTCGATAAATCTGTCTTATACAATTTTTATGAATTTTCAGTTGATAGTCTTGCCTGGCAGTTCGCTAGTTTTAAAAATGCAGACGCCTGTAAAGGTAGCGATTGCTGGGATAGTTTCTTTGGTGTTTATTGTATTGGTGGGGTTCATTTTGTTGGATCCGATTTTGAGATTTGGAATTAAGGATGTAAGTATCTAACGTGATAATAAGGCACTAGCATCGTGTGTAGATAGTGGTAGACACTCCTAGTTTATAAGACCAAATGTCGGTTCTATAGAGATTTGGTGACCTATCAGATAACTCATTCTAAGGTATTAATATTATACATATAGTCAAAAATTCCTGAAGTTCATTTACATCCTTTGGACATACCAATACGGAGATGCTTTATAGAAGAACATATGTGTATTTTTTTGGTACGGAGTTCCGCCCGAATATTAACTAGATGGATCAATTATATCAACAATTAAATATTTTTAATTATTTTAATATTTTTGTTATTCATTATTTTTAACAAGTAGTATGATTTTAAGGCCAAACACTAATAAACGTTCATATGGCTGTATACCGGGTGTATCCAATTTGATCCTCACCATTGGATTTTCGAGAACGACAAGAGATACAAAGTCACTTGAATGGGGGCAGAGTTGCATATTAACTAACAAAATGCCGCTTAGGAAGTTTCAAAATTCAAAGTATGTCCGGAGACAGAAAAAAACGAGTTTTCCCAAAATCGTCTTAATTTTTTATTTTTATTTATAGTGGGATTGTGAAGCCCATTAACGTTGCCATGTTTTCTCCTCTACAAGATGGTATAATTAGAATTTTAATATGACGTTTCGTCTTGTGCTCCAGCATCAACCTCAATTTTTACTAAGATGAATAGACTTTTTAGTTCTGATTTCAAAAATGCATAATATGACATTCATTGACATTGCCAAGCCTCAATTTATTCCAGAAAAACAGAGGTTCCTAGGTAGGCCTTGAGGTTATCAGATTTGTTTCGTATACCAGACCATACGTGAAATTAAACATAGTGACAGAGTTTGAAAGACTGAGAAGCTGGGAAACAAATCGCGCACTTAACAATGTACAGAGAAGAGTCGGGCATTGCGTACAAAATAACGGACACTTTGAACATCTGCTCTGTTTATTTATGATTATTATTGCTATTTTACCAATAATATTTTTATTTTGTGTTCAGGTTTCACCATACCTTTTCATTTCCTTATAATTTTCATCCAACAACAAATTCATGGCCAACTAAGAAAATACATCGTTGAATGTGGGACTAAAGGGTCCATTTAAATTTACAAAATATTCCAATATTGCGCCCATATGAAAAGACAAAGTTGATGATGGAAGTCAAAAGAAGAAATCGCGAATTGCAAATCTTTCAGAGACGAATAAGTAAGTATGTCAACATGCAATTTATTTTGGAATCCCAACCCAAATAAGGCGAGAAAAACATACAAAGGATCTTGGAATAGATCTGGTATGTGAAACAAATGATCTGAAGCAAGGCCTGCCTAGGAAACTCTGCATTTTTTGGGGACCTTAATGTATGACGTATTATACATTTTTAAATCAAATTAAACACTCTATTCATCAGTGCAGAGTTAATATGCACTTTAGTTTGAAATTCCAGTACAAACAAAGTCGGTAAAGAATTAAAACTGTTTTAGGAATATTCCGTTTATCCGCATCTCTCCGGAAGTACTTTGAATTTCGAAGCTGCATTTTGAAAAAGCAACTCTTCTCTCATTTAAGCGACTTCGTATCTTTTATAGTTTCTGAGATCCCAATGGTGAGCGCAGAATTTGGAACAGCCGGCATTTATAAGAAGTTTAAAAGCGTCTGCGTTCAGACGTTGACGCATAGCTCTTCGTACGTCTCCAAACTTTATTCGTTTTTTGGATAACCTGGAGGGCATTCAAAAGACAATAAATCTCCCTGTTGCCGACATTCCAAGGGGCAATGTCCATGTTACTCAGAACTTTTTATTGGAACCTTGAATAATTTCGATGTCGGTGTCCCTGGCTCTATAGTTGACAACCATAGAATCGTACAATTTTCAAGATATGACTACAAATCACTATTCACATCACCTTTTCCTTAGCCCCTATAAAATTCGAAGAACTTAAGAAAGGCACAAAACTTAAATCAGTTTTCAGCAGATAACAAAGAGTACACTTTAAATCGTAAATCAATCGATCTAAATCTCAAGGATGGAACTTATCTGACCCTAGTCTTTCAATTAGGGAGGAGACTCCATTCCAATGCTGAGGATGTAATAACCATTAGCAACGGCCAAGCGAGGTGCCATGGACAACAAACTCGAGTAGGCTAGAAGAAGCCAGCATGTGCTTAAGCCTGCGTAGTTTCAGTTTAAACATTTGTTCATACCAGTGTCTACCAAAGTGACGGAAGAGTTAATATTAGAAATAGAGAGACACTTTACCTAAAATCTTCGATCCAAGTAGTTGCGATCCGAACAGGTTCTTAGATAAAAGCAAATACCTAATTGTCGATAATATGAAATTTAGTGTAGTTATATCGTTCTCACCCAGTGCATCAAATAAAAAGGTTTGAAATTGATTTAGTTAATTTAACAAAATCTAATGACACTGAAATGATGAAACATATAACTACAATTTGTAACAAGAGGGTAAACACATATCACACTAACTTTAAATTTGAAGTACCTGCCCTTTCGCAACGTCGATTAGCCTTAATAAATTGACACTTATCGATAAAAAGATCTGCGTTTATTCAGCTTAAGCTGTGGTTTTTAATCCACAGAAGCCTTTTCATTATTTTTAATAACTTCCTCTAACATCAGGACTATATTTATGGAAACTTACGCACCTTTACTTTTTCGCAATGTAATATCAACAAATGACAAATTGCCAACTTAATGCTGATCCACTTGCACCCTAGTGACTACGTGGTCTTCGTTTAAAACAAATAGCATGCCAGCTCTTTCTACCTATTCGAAATTAGTTGGCCCTGGAGCTTTCGTGACGTCACACCTCTTTTGTTTCCGGCGACAAAAGAAAAACACAAAAACGACAAAACCATAGTGGTTATCCCTAAATTAAACGTAACCCTCCAGGACAATGTCCTCTCCGTCTTCAACATGTGTCGCTCGGAGGAGACTGATTTTTCACCCTTTGTACCAAGATGTGTACTTTTCAGCAAACTTGCCTCAAGAAAAGCAACGAAGTGAGGGATATATACTTGAAACTGCCATTCCCTTTGGATTTTAAAATATATTTCTTCAACGTTACCAATCCTGAACAAGTGCAACTTGGAGCAATGCCCAATGTTAAGGAAGTTGGACCATACTGCTATGAGTAGGTAGTAAATTATTATTTTTACAAATATAATCAGGTATGAAAATCGTTCACTTTGACCCTATATTCTGATATATATTCTGATATATTCTATCCTCATATTACCATCCCGAAAATATTTCATCTTTAGACGTAACTAACACGTGAAACAGAAAGTTGCAAGATCTTTAGTGAGAACTCAAGCAAGCCAGCAATCACACATCATAGTGCATGATCACTAAAAATTTCGTAACCGGTTCTGTGTTCAAATTATTATAGCCAGCTTCTCAAAGTGTCCCTCAAACGCTAGGAAGTCTATACCTTTAACAAGCATTTGTTATCAAATATCTGAGTTTGTTTCAATATCGCCTTATCGTTTGCCCGAGTACAGGGTGTCCGCAAAGTTTGAGTTTTCCTTTACACGACGTATAGATCTTGAAAACATAAGCAATTTTTCTTAGTACCATATACACCAATGTCTTAAGGGAACCGAGATAAAGGGCTCTGCAACATCAAAAATATCTGAATACCGTCCTGTAGCCGCGACATCACCGACTGGTACAAGGTCACTGGTTCAACCCGACGACAGAACTGGGTCGGGGTCAGTGTGTCAGGTCAGTATGCAACCTTCCACCGACGGTTACGGTCGCGCGTGTAGAGGTTCTCGCGTAGACGAGAATCCCTCAACAAGCACTAGAGACGTGGCTAGAGAAGTGCAAGTATCAACAAACTAAAGTGTGGCAAACGCTGCGTGAAGAGGGGCTGTATCCGTTTCACGTCCAACGTGTACAAGCCCTTCCACCTGACGATTTTCCAGCAAGAGTGCGGTTTTGTGAGTGGTTGTTGCATCAACGTGACAATAATCCGGACTTTTTGAAGTGCATATTGGTTACAGACGAATCTACGTGCACGCGTAATGGGGTGAATAACTTTCGCAACACTCATGTTTGTTCAGTAGAAAATCCGCACGCTGTCCGTCGGGCACATTTTCAACAAACCTTTTCGGTGAATGTTTGGGCTGGCATGGTGAACGGTATGCTCATTGGACCATTTATTCTCCCAAATCGATTGGACGGGATGCAATACCTAGACTTTTTACGCAACATTTGGCCTTCCTTGTTAGAGGATGTGCCATTAAGTGTAAGACAATCAATGTGGTTTCTGCGTCTGCTCGGTAGCGCATCAGCTGATTACATTTTCTATTGGAGCGGTATGATTTCGGGCAGAGACGAACTTAGCCCTTCTCGTCAACTGCAGAGTGATTACTTTTTCCTTTATTTTTTTTACTTGGTCGCCCTCGTTTCACTAAACATTACCTTTGTTATTTCAAGGGTAGTTGTTTCTGAAAAGGAAAACCCCAACTTTGCGGACACCCTGTATAGCCCGTATAGCCCAGTAAATCAACACTGTTGACCTAACAAAAATTGTATAGTAGATGAAAATTTGGATTTAGCAGAAACTAAAAAAGGTTTGATATACTTTGATATTTGACCTTTTTTTACGGTCCTGTAAATATTATATACAAGGTGATTCATAAGTCTTGACCAAAAATAAGCATTTTAAGGGGGGATTTCTATCTAAAAAAATCTTCAAAATCGTCAACTGGCACGAGCTAAAATTTGCTACGTGACTTAAACTAACTATTGTTCACATTCAAAAGTCTTTACCTAAAATTAACGTGCACCAGTGGCGGAGATACAGGGGATTAGTGGCATTATTTTTCCAAATAAAAATAGTACGCCACTGTTTTTTTCCGAAACGCGCAATTTTTTTAAGTTTACCTTCATTTTGCTACAAATAATTACTGTTGAATAATCGAAGCTTTATTTCAATAAATGTTCTAAAAGACCACCATTCTGACCGGTGCAAGGTCGGCATCTTTTTAATAAAGAGGTATTATCTATTCTTTTTTGTAACTGATCAACAGTATTAATTTGTTCAGCATACACTAGTTGTTTGAAACCGCCCCACAAAAAGAAATCCAGCGGGTTCAAATCAAGAGACTTCGCAGGCCCACTACGGTGTTGAAGATATTAGAGAAAACTGTTTTCTGTTGCTAAGCTTCAACACCCCGTATCTCTAAACAAAGGTAGAAGACAATTTTGTAGCTCAAAAGCTGTATCGATGATATCTTCACACGTTCATTTATAACGCCCGTATGCAGAAATTGTTGCAAGGTTTTACGAAAAGTTTGGGTCCCCTTAACAGGCTAATATATAAAACTATTATGATTGTGCAGTTAATATCTGCCATACTTTGAACTTTCTGATCAATACACATTCTACGAGTAGTCATTTGTTGCACATGGTATAATTATGTAATTAAAAATGACAGCTGAAAATATTCTTGCTGTACCAAAAATGAAGGTAATATGATACCAATAACATGTAATTTGGCATAATGTTATGTCCACAAGGACATACAGGATGATAATTGATAAGTACCTCCAATAAATTATCTTGGCTAGTGATTGCGGGGGACTGCTGCGTCAGCACGCGGCGATATTGATTACAGTGGGTCGGCTGAATAAAAAAGCCAACATTTTAGATACTGCAAATAATTGCTTAAATTGGAGTGAATAAGACTATAGAACCAACGTTTATTTACTAATGTGTTCACTTAAGACAAGTAAGTTCCTCGCTCTGTCAGGCGAGTATGGAAAGGCTTTTCATAACTATTACGTTAACCTTTGTTACGATACCCCCGAGGGGTAAACCGCACCCAGAAATCTGTACCAGAACGGAAAATATTTTCCCGTAATAATTCCCCTTGTTTTAGATAACTCCCGCATAATTCCCTCTAATGCACAATAGTTGCCCCCACATTTCCTCAGTGCACCATAATTCCCCCAAATCCCTCGTAATTCTCGCAAATTTACCGAAATTACTGGGAATTTACGAGATGCACTCTTTTGACCAGCCATAATTTTACCGGCTCTAACTTTTTTATATGACCTTCTAGAAGAAAAAGTTTTACATTGAAGTTATACGAGCCCCTTCCCACTTCAGTTGGCCCACTTCAAGATTTGTACCAAAATGTGCCTTTATAAACTAAACATGACGAAACTATTTACTTCTAAAACAATTTATTTTCTCAATAACATTTTAGATACACTCTAGTCGTAAAAAAATACATATTTGAAATCACTTAGACCTATAACTAATAGAACATCTGAACAAATAAACAATGTGCGGATAAATGCGCGAAGTTAACAAAGGAACAATTGAGAGATTACCATTGGGTAACATCACCTTTATTTTTTATTACGGCTAAAATTTTAGGGGCATAGTGTTAACCAAGTTTTGGCAAAAATTTGGTGTAAAACAATCAGATATTTCTTGAAGCTTTTGTCTCAGTTCGGTGATTGTACGAGCAGGATGTTGTCGTAGAATCTTTTTCATCTCATTCCACAAAGTTTCAATAGGTGACAGATCTGGACTGCTACAAATCCATTTCAAAAGTGGTACATTATTTTCTTCCATCCATTTTATAGCCTCTTTTGAGGTATGGCACGCTGCACCATCTTGCTGAAACACAAAATCTTGGCCGGATGTCAAACATTCTTCCATCACTGGTAAAAGCGATTCTTCTAAAATTGCCAAATATTTGTTTGTATCCACATTTCCATCAATAAAAGGAACTTTTCCTACTCCTTTTGATGACATACTGCCCCAGACCATAATGGATGCTGGAAATTTCACTTTTCTCTTCAGACAGTCAACATGGAATGCTTCATCTTTTTGCGAATAACTCTACTGTGACTGTCACCAACACAATCGGGCCTCATCACTCCATTGTATTGCACATCATTGTTGAGGTGTCCATTGTCTATATTCTTTAGCCCATCTAAGCCGATTTTTGTTTTGCAGTGGAGTTAATAGTGGCTTTTCTTTGGCCTATAAACAAGTTGTGCAACTTTAGGGTTTTTACATCACTTTTTTTATAAGAAAACTTACCATGCAAGTGCTAAATCTCAGTTTGTGGGCCTCTCTATGAGTTGTGGACCTCGAAATTCTCCTTCCAACAGCGTCAGTCCACAGAACACTTAATTGTAAATAATTGGCACGCCTGTTTTTCACGATTATTCTTCTTAATGCTGTTCGGTCGGCATTTCTGATATTACTTTTTTTCACATATCGTGGCTTAATATTAACTGAACCACTTACGTTATATCTTCTAACAATATTTCTCACACTGTACCGCGATAAGTTGCAATTTCTGAGATTGATTTCCCAGAATTAAAAAATTTAATTATCAGTAACCGAATTTTCTCACTAATAACATTTCCTCTACCCATTTTGAAAACCTTAACTACTCAAAACTGTTTTGAACGTATTCTGACAGCTGTGATTAATAAAAACAATTGTCATGGCTTTTATTTTTCAACGGCCACCTATGCGTTATAGACTTATTTTGTATCAAATGAAAATAGGTTGATATGCTGTAATTGCAACATGTGTTATTTTTATGCTGCAAATTTCATTAGGAAGTGATAAAGTTGATGTTATCTACTAAATATTATCAAGATATTCATTGTTACTATTTTAAACCTATAACACCCTGCTACATTTCTATTATTTGTGTTTGTAAGAAAAAACTAAGATTTCAATAGTTGGGCCAACTGAAGTGGGAAGGGGCTCGTAGAGACTAATACGAACTAATTCATGCAAGATTTTATTTGTATACCAAGTGTCTTAGAACAGTGCTACCGAATAAAGTGTTTTTTTAAATCGGACACTATATATTTTCAGGGAAAATTCTTTTGGTTAAAATATATGGTTCGTCATACTTTTTTCATTAGTTTGGAAAATAACTTAAAGGTTGTGTGTTACTTGCTGTGTAAGCGAGTTCGAACCAGTTAGCATCTAACCACCTATATAATGTTGAATAGGAACGGAATACGTATTATAATTAAATAAACCACAAACTTCAAGCTTTTAACTAAAGTAAGTAGTACAACTTCATTAGAAAGCCCTTTTCTGAGACATAAAGAACTTCATATTAGACCCTATAACTTCTATATACAACTTTTCCTTCTAAAATGACATTAAAAAAGTTACAGGGGTCAATTTATAGCTGAACACCCTATACGCCCGCACAAGTCAGTTTTATAAGTCCATAAAATTTAATCCTCAATATCTAATCATTTGGCAACGTCGCGATCTGTGATATAGCTACACCGCTATTCGTATTTCAAGTATTAGCTTTCATCGCGGTACAAGTTTCGAATGTGTTAAGTGCCACTTTGAAAGTAAATTATTTGACTTCTCTGAATGACAATGGGCTGAGCTAAGATCATCTTATTTTGTACAGTTCTGTGTCTTTGTGGTTGATACCTTTGAAATGTACTGTTCTTGATAAATTGCATGGAAAACCGTAAGTTTAATAGTGTTTCAAAAGACAGAAGGAATTATTAGCCAGGGTGTTTGAAAATTGAGAAGAATAACTGATGAACTGGCTTCTGAAGAGTGTGTCAAGATTGTGAAAAAATCTAGCTGAGGACGTTTTTCCAGTTCTACTAACCTTAGGCAATTCCAAAATAGAGTTAACAAGGTGTCGCTAATCTCCTCCTAGCAGTCACGTTGCCCTTGTATTTAGGTTTCTGCTTGCTGTTTTGCTATAAAAAAATACAAAGCGAAATCAGAAAGAGTTTATTTAGGTTTGCTTGGCTATGGATGCTGATGCCGTCGTTCTTAGGTCTCCGTGGGGCAGGACTGTTAGGCATACCTGTCACGTTATTTTAATATTCAAAGCTATATGCGTATGAGTATATCATCTGCCGAATTCACTCGTTGATATATGATTGATATTACGTAGTACATGAAGTCTTCCGCTACTGGGCGAATACTTTCAATAATAATTGCACAGAATCAGGATTGCAGTTTCTAAAGAATTACAAGGACTCTTCTTGAATAGCCGCAGTGAAATCAGTGAATCTAATCTAAGTGAATCTGGCTTTGTTAAAATTCCAACCGAGCAACTTTGTCGTACCGCGATCTAAATAAATTTTATCTGAATGCACCACGGCTAAACGAATTACACTACATCCCAGTGAGCTATTCCCTTACATCAGCCAGATTAATTCAGTCCGGAAGCACTTTAACTTCCGCTGAATCCGGTCGCGAATCCGCCAGGATAGGTCAGCACTGGTTAAGTCTATGTGAACCGTACCCCGAACTTTCCAGTCTCTAATCTCGGAGAAAACTCAGTCGGAAATATTTGTATTTACTGATCAGATGACGTACTCTTTGGCATAAGAGGATGAAGTGTTGGGATCGCGAACACTTTTCAGTATGAATTCATTTAGCAGACGCTTTCGATATCCATGACGCCGCTTCTGTTTGGGCCTGCCTGTCTACCCCACTAGATTTTTGCTTCTTGTTCTCAGTCGGCTTAATTTTCTATATCAAAAAGCGCAAGAGGTAGAATCGCTCTTTTTTCATATGGTGGTTGTTGACTAATCGACCCAAAAAGGTTTTGCCAAGTCCAAATAACCGTGGTTAGTTCAAAAGTTGAATCAACAAGACACATTCAATACATTTATAACAGTCGTGATACTTCGGTACTCCTCAGCACATTTTTTCGTTGGTGTGTTGCGTATGTGTAGCAAACATTTTGTGGCCTAAGTTGGATAATCACGTGTCAAATGTCAAGGGAAATTATGGTATTATCTCAGTCAGGTTTTCCTAACGGTCGCGCATTTTAACGCAGTCGTGATGATTCAGTCTGGCCCCTCTTTACTCTTTCTCGAGCATAAACACTCCGAAGACGATAAATCTGCTAGAAGCAAAACATTTTTCAAGCCGTAATTGCGTCAAAATGTTAGGTCCTTAAAATTTTTTGTCGAATGATGTTGATGCTGTGATTTTCAAACGGTCCCGCTACTTATTTTTTGAATGGTTCATGTTAGCAGGCTGCAATTCAGATGCAGACATTGATGCATGGATACTTTAACGTGAAGGTCACAGTTAAATATTTTAAAATGGCGGCGGGCCGACATCTTCGAGCACTTGATATTACTTCATTAGTTATTAGTTCTTATAAATTGAGTCCCGCATAACTCAACAGCTAATAATCAGCATTCCGTAGAATGTTATATCAGCCTTTTTCTCTTGAAAGGTTGTATCTCATAATGTGACGTAATATTGAGCATTCCAAAATTGTCAAAATCTGTCTCTTTTTAAACTCAATGTCCTATATTTTATTATTCAATAGGCATTTTAAAGAAATCTCTATAAAAGATTGGAGATCTTATCCTTATCTATAAGAGCATAGCAAAACCAAAGACTAGTAGTTCATTTTTGTATTCTGCTACTGTCTGACAAATAACGCTAGTATCCTCCATATCCATTTTGCGGCGCTGAAATACAGTATATTGTTGTGTATCTTCAGGTAGAATGCTTTTACTCAAAAACAGAATTTTGCAATGCCCATCCGAATAGCCTTTATAGTCGTATTTTGAATTTTCTTTTATCCGCCAAGCTACTCAAGTTGGTCAAAAAAAGAACCTGATGATCCTTCATAAGAATATAACTACAATGCTTTGTCTATCTGTGGTCAAATGTAAATAATTAGACTATTTAAGATCGTATTCGTATTGCCGTCAAATTATATTATTTAAGAGTACATTTGAATTACATTTTTTTATTAGGTAAAGACTAAAGTGCTAATACAATAAATTTTGTCAAAATGTTTTCGTTTTCTAAAAGCGTCCCTAATGGGTGGTATACCCAAAAACAGTTTCGCAAATTATTTAAATATTTGAAGCCAGGTTTGATGATCTGTTACAGCGAATATAAAAACAAAATCGATGTAACAGATAATGACGCCGAAGACAGCTTAACGTACAGTCCATACGATGTCTTCAGTTTCAACCACAACAAATCGGGTGACTTAAAAGATAGCGACTATGTGACGATTCTCAATCCCATAATTGTGGTAAGTATAAACATTATAAGAATCCTGTTTTTTTTGCAAATAGGCTAATTTTTTTATATCGTCTTTACTGCCGGTATATAGAGGCAAAGCTGTCGCGCTGCAAAAATAAAATTAAAATTGAAATGTACCCTCTCTCGATTTATGGGGCGAATACCAACTTTCTTTCTAGTGATTATTTCAGTTATAGAGCTGTCCAATGCAATAAAATTCATCTTCAGACCCTATGCTGACGCTAAGACTACGCTGGAACTGACAAGAGGCCGTTTTTATTTGCTTTTTTCTCGTCAGCACTGTGTCCATGACCAGCGCCGAAATTCGGTGCCGATCGGCGCTGGTTGCCGGTAAGCAGGAAGCCGGCTTCCACTGGGCTTTCGCCCTGAATGTATATGGCTTATAATATATATTTTCATTATTTAAGTCAAAAATTAATTAATTTTGTGTTTCATTTAGTCATGTGCTTTGACTTATACTGGATTTCATAAGCGACAAACCAGTTAAAATTCGGACACACATGAATAAAGAATAAAAATGCATATATATTTGGAATTATGAAATAAGCGGTCATCGTTACTTACAAGTACATTCCTACAAAATTCAGACAATTTGACTCCAATAATTATGGCAAAATTCATCCACCGGTTCAAGCTATAGCCCGTGAAATAGGAAAGTGAAGGTTGATTTTTTTATTAAGCTCCGTAATTTTATTTTCATAAAATGTTTGTATCCAGCACTGTCAAATCTAGAGACACCACACGTGTCAAAATGTATCATGTCGTTTAAGCTGCAGGCCTGTTAAACAGGATTGTCGAAGTTGATTTCATTATTAAAATCTAGCATCAGTTTAATTCAAATGACTATGACGCGTTCGATAACATCACATCTATCAAAATCCATCTAGCCGCTTGGACTGTAGCCCGTGAAAGAAGATGTTTTGTCTACATACGCGAAAAGCATAACCCTCTTCAAAGGCAGTGAAAATATACAGATAAGCCATTGCACGGAAGGCTTCAAGGAGCAGTTTATAAGTTTTATATACATTTTTTTTTCTCTAGAAAAGTTCATGCAGGGACATCCTATAAAGAATGATCCTCATTTAGATATAAACACTCTTTCCTTGAAATATTTGTTATTACTATGTTGGTTCTCCATTGTTTATTTTCAGGGTATGGTAAACCATGTGGCTAAAGACTCCCCGGCTCTATTGTCCATCGTCAATCAAGCCATAACAGCGATCTTCCAGCCATCGTCCATCTACATTAGCGTCCGTGTGCGTGAGATCCTCTTCGAAGGCATCGAAATCAATTGTAACGTCACAGACTTTGCAGCTAAAGCCGTTTGTGCGCAGATGAAGTCACTGTCGGCCATCAAGGCACATGATACTAAGAAGAATACTTTTCTGTTTTCAGTATTTGGAACGGTAAGTTCAGTCATACTTGAAAAGCTCTGTTCTGTAGATTGTACGAGGCAGTTGATCGCCTTTGCTGTGCTTACAGCATTACGAGTATTGCAAAGCATTGAAACCTTTTTGAGCACGAAGGATCCTTTGAAGAATAAAATCTGGAGTTTCTCGAGTAACAGCACCTGATATGCTAGGCACTTGGAATTGAAGATTCATCTCTCTGAGCTCTGTTAGGACCTTGGTATCATCATTTGCGGTCTGATTTATTTTTTAGCGAGAAATTGTTCATTCTACGTAATAGATTATTAAATTGGTACGACTAAATATAAAATGACCCCTCTAATGTCATACAGAATGTTACCGCCATAATTACACAACTTGTCATCATAAGTAGTATGGACGGCAACACTGGCTTCATGATGTCGGCCTACTAGAGAGATTTGACATGTAACTTGATTCTCTGTCCCCGATTTGTCAAATCTCGCAAACCGTTTACACTCTTTATGACCACCCAGCTGGGACTTTATTTTAAAAGTGAGTAGATCTGATCAAAAGAAATGTTTTTTCCTTTACCATTTTTCTGGTAAAATTAAAGTAACAAAGTTATAGCCCTTTGGAAGTTTGAGTACCGCCCTGTCTCAATAATAATATTATGTGCTCGTGTTTGGCAACAACGGATATAATCCACCTTATCGGTTCATCGCATCGGAAACAAAAAGGCGAAAGAATTTGGAACGATGTTTTTACAATTATTTTATTCAGTTGTATACAGTCAGTGTCAGTCGGTAACGCGTGAGTGAATAGTGGTGTCTGTTGCGTGGCTCAAACCAAATCAAAAATGGCACATGTTTACGAAAATGCTGAACTTGTGGACATGATTCTTATTTACGTGGCATCACGGATTTATGCGGATCGGTTTCCCAATCGAATGCAACCAACCCCTCGTGCCTTTGTTAATGTAGTACAAAGGGCTCGTGAATCAGGTGACTTAAGACCTCACAGGGGAGGGCATGCCGGTGCTCCAAGACCGCACGATCAAATACAGGTCCGCACTGAAATACTTGTCGGGAGGATACTTTATAAAACAAGGTAACATTTTTTTTTTAATTTTTTTTTATTTTTACACACATATTTTGGTTTATCTTCCTTCTACAATGATTATCTGAAAATTAATGACTCAAGCAATGTATGTCAAGAGCGAAAATTCTTATGCATCAAATTTACTTAAAACGAATTGAGCAACTAAAGCTCCCCAGCAAAACCTGATTCTCCCACAAGCCAGACCATTTCGTTTGCTACCACTCCATTGCTGATATAAAGTCTGAACTATAGGCAACCAGTAACGCGAGAATACCATCAGGATACAAGTAAATTGACTATGAATTGGTGATGAACTCAGAGGAATAGCTGGTCACAAGGCGTAAACGTTCAATGAATATGTAACTAACTTTGTAGCTGTAACTTGATTGTTAATGGGGTCGCAAATGATAACAAAGATCTAGAAATCCAGCTTTGACGATTCCATGAGATCGTTGCCACTGAATGGACAAAACAAGACACAAACGCATATCGAATACGACAAAACTGTAACTTTTCGTAAGCTTTTTGAAGACTGGCGTGTTTTGCGACAATTGGACCTTTGTTTGTCTTGTGCTGCTCGGAAGCGGTCACATGAAAAGATTTGGGCGAGTTTTGAAACTCGGGTCTTTGTTGAAAACGGGCGTGCAATGTTTTCTATTTTCACCTTGCTACCTGCTCTGAATACGTGTTTTGTACCAAGAGTAATAAGAAATTTTTGTTGAGTCGCTGGATAAATTGTTAAGTACATTAAGCCATGTCCCAGTAGCAAGGTACCTCAGTGACTATCTTCAACAGAAATTGAATATCTAAAGCTTGTGTTCTTGCAACTTTTCAGACAATTAATGTAATCAGCACCCCAAAATCAGAGGAAGGCATTCTCAAAAAATTATGAAATTATGTGCGATGTTCCATGTAATCCAGTAGCATCAATTTGGATCCCATTTATTAATTGTGCAGCACCATCGTTTACTCTTCTGGATAATTGTGATCGAACCCGATATCCGTGTTAGCGCTTTATTCTTCTCCGAAAAAAAAATTACACTATTTTAACCATCAATAAATATAAACTGAAACCAAATTCAAGATGAGATGTAAATAATAACAGTTAGCGCGTGATCTCTCGGTAACAGGTGGGGACAACGCCTCTTATTGGTCAATTCGCCATTAAATTTCAAGGAGCCGCCTGGCGGAATAATGCGCGGGGCAGGGGCAGGGCAGGCAGAGTTGCACTCAGGCCACCGTCCGTCGCGTGTATCACTGCGTGCTCGTGTTTTCGTATTCACCTTGCTTGGTTGTTGCTGTTGTCGTTGTTAAGTGTATTTGAGTAATTTGTTAAGTTTCTGTCTCTGTTAAATACTGTCATCTTTGTTTTACAACACGTTGGTGGTAGTCCATCATTCGGAGGTAGCCCCGAATGCGGCCCTGTACGCCGTCCTTGCTTTTGACAATCACGCATCCATTCTATCTAGGGTGTAAATACACTATATATGTTTAGTTGAAATGTTCATTTGGCTAGTTTATAAACACATGCAATTATAGACATAGCCAGCTTATTATAGACGCCGTACACATATACAGGGTGACTTTGAAGTTGAGTCATTAATTTTCAGATAATGATTGTAGAAGGAAGATAAACCAAAATATGTGTGTAAAAATAAAAAAAAAATAAAAAAAAATTTTTTACCTTGTTTTATAAAGTATCCTCCCGACAAGTATTTCAGTGTGGACCTGTATTTGATCGTGAGGTCTTGGAGCACCGGCATGCAGTCCCCTGTGTGGTCTTAAGTCACCTGATTCACGAGCCCGTTGTACTACATTAACAAAGGCACGAGGGGTTGGTTGCACTCGATTGGGAAACCGATCCGCATAAACATGTGCCATTTTTTATTTCGTTTGAGCCACGCAACAGACACTACTATTCACTGACACTGACTGTATACAAATGAATAAAATAATTGTAAAAAAATCGTTCCAAATTCTTTCGCTTTTTTGTTTCCGATGCGATGAACCGATACGGCGGATTATATCCGTTGTCGCCAAACACGAGCACATAATATTATTATTGAGACAGGGCGGTACTCAAACTTCCAAAGGGCTATAACTTTGTTACTTTTATTTTACCAGAAAAATGGTAAAGGAAAGAATCATTTGTTTTGATCAGATCTACTCACTGTTAAAATAAAAGAATCAACTTCGAAGTTACCCTGTATACTTACTTCTTTCCGAGGACTTTAGTATCAACCAGCCTTAACTAAAAATAAAAAAGCTTACCAAAACATATTGGCTGGTTATTGATTTGATTTCCTTGCGACAACTAGTGGAAAAGGTCCAAAAACAAAAACAAAGCTCGAACAAAATATGGAAACAAGAGTGTTGGGTTTGATTCAGTTTTGTTTCTGTTTTTCAGGTTTTAGAAAATACAAGCTCAATATAAAACTCAACTGTCCATTCAGTGCAAAACCGCTTTTATACCATTAAAATTTTACGTCCTACGATTGAGATATTGGCTCTACTCTCGCGTCAATCTACCAGTGACGTCAATAGCTTCACAACTCGAACAGTTGCAACAGAAGCGGGTCTCCTAACGCACCCCAACATGATAAACGCGTCGTCTTTGTCTGCCATCTTTTTGTGTCTTCGACCTCGGAAGCGAAGGAAAGCGGCAGATAACTAGGAAGTTCTTTTGTGGAGCGCTGAGCCTTAAATCTTCTTTGCACGGATGAAGTATACGGTGAAGCCATGAGGTACACCGATTTATCAGTTGTACCCTACAAAAAAAGGGTAATTATCAATGGAGGAGTTTTCAAGGTCTTGCGGGTATCTTTGACGTGCTTTCAACCGGACTCACTCAATGCTTCAATCAATTTGTTATTAGTACTCTCCTTTTGTGAAAAGAACCAGTTCTAACAAGTTCGTAGGCTTCATGCTCTTATCCTTTTTGTTATCGCTTATCATTCTGTAAGTTGGTGGGCGTATCTCTAGCCATCGAATACCAGTTTCTAAAAGGATTATCAACATGCCCTCATACAAACAAGATGATGGTTCGCGAGACTTCTGTTGAAGTGTGGTAAATGATTCCGGTGGCCCTTTTTAACCTTTTAATATCAATTACATGTTGTTGTCGGATAGTGTCATATATCCAACATAATAACTATACATATTTTTCGCTTTGTAATCCATTTTGATACATTTAAATATTACTCATTGTTTAAAAGCCTGACACTATTCGACTATACAAAGTTTTGCACTTTTGACTGTTTTTTTTGTTGTTGCTGTTTTTGCATATCAAGAAGTATCCTCCCGACAGCCGCAACGTGATAACTATAACAGTACCTATTCACATTATCTCAGAATAAAATTCTATTTGATAATCAAATCTGTCTCGTTCTCGCTTACGAAAATAAGGTTATTCATCCATCATAATAGGCACATACACTAATATACATTTGATCCTTTTTACCTCATTAACTAAGTACCTCCTAACATCAAAATAATATTTACGGCAGTACCAGCATACTTTCGAAAGAGACAATTTGTAGCTTATATGCCTGTATTTGCGAACTGGGTACAATACAGTATTTGGCAGCTGGAGTCATGTGACGTCATCACTCAGTCTCATGCTCCAACTAAATAATTTTATGAATAAGAAACTTATACATGTTTATACTTAAATTCGTAATTTTGATTTTGGTTCTGGATTTGTATTTTTTTAAGGTTGCTGTCAATATTTGTAGCTAAACTTCGAGCAAAATAAAAAGTCGTTTATTATTAAAAAAGAAATTCCGTCAGACTCAAGCCCTGAAGGCAACAGTTCATATATAATAATAATAATAATAATAATAATAATAATAATAATAATAATAATAATAATAATAATAATATTTATTCACTCAATGTACAAAGATAACAAACAATATGAGTAAATAAATATAAAATCAAAACAGGCCCAATAGAAGGCATCGCCTGTAAATGGACCAATAAATTTAAGTTGAAACTGTAGAATGCAAATGACAAAAAAGGACAAAAATTAGCTACAGTAGAGTATGTATTTAGTTGATGTTCGTATTTATGAGTTTATGAATTTCAGTCCTAGATATAGAATGTATCCACTTTTTTAAATTTCTTTTGAAACAATTTCCGAAACGTAAATCTTTTAAGTATCTAGGTATAATTTCATAAAATTTAGGCGCTAAATAGAGATATGATCGCTGCATTATAGATTTATGCGGTTGAGGAACTACTGTGCCACGAATTTTGTACCTGGTATAATGATTATGTTTAATTTTTTGGTCGGTGTTTACAAATTTATGGTAGTGAGTGATACTGTGTAAGAAATAAAGCTGTCTTATATCATACATTCGAACATCTGCGTATAATTTTTCAGTGGGATAAAGTTTCGGTTTTTTAAATATCATTTTTAGAATACTTTTTTGAAAAACATCTAAATTATAGATATGTGAGGAACATGCAGCTCCCCATGCTAATATACCATATGTGAGATGAGGCTCAATCAGTGCATGGTATAATGTTCGAAGATATTTTTCTGTCAATATATTCCCAAGGTATTTAATTTTGTAGGATACAAATCTAACTTTCTTTAAAATATAATTGACATGGATGTCCCATCGTAAGTGAGGATCCAAGACCACTCCAAGGTATTTTATGTTGGGCACTCTATTAATTTGCATTTTTTGATCATTAATATTGAAGGAGAAATTTGTGTAATTTGGCAGATGTCTAGCATAAGATCCAAATGGTAAAAAATGTGTTTTAGAGTAGTTAATGCTTAATTTTCTACTGTTAAACCACCGAATAATTTTGATAAAATCATTTTCAATTACATTTTTCAGATCAGACCAGTCAGTGCCTTCATATAATATTGCAGTATCATTTGCAAAACTAGTTATTTTGCCAACACAATTAATTTGGAAAATATCATTTAAATATATATTGAATAACAGCGGACCTAAGACAGTTCCTTGTGGGACACCACACTTAATATACATTTCTTTACTAAATGATCCTGATATCTGCACAGATTGTGGGCGATTTGACAAATAACTTTCGATCAGTGAGTACGCGTTTCCTCTGAAACCAATTCTCTCCAATGCTTCTAATAATAACTTGTGATTAACTGTGTCGAAAGCTTTCTTTAAATCAACAAAAATGCAGATTGAAGGGATTCTGTTATCAATATTTTGATGTATTTGATTTACAATTTTAGTTATTGCGTCCGATGTAGCCTTCCCTTCTGTAAATCCATATTGATTTTCACTTAAAATTTAGAATTTTGTGAGGTAACGAATCATTCTAGTAGATAAAACTTTTTCAAAAACCTTTGCTACACTGGATATTATTGATATTGGTCTATAGTTGTTAACATCTGTTTTTGTTCCTGATTTATGTATCGGTATTATATTACCTTTTTTTAAAATTGAGGGATATATGCCAGATTCAAAGCATTTGTTGATTAGGTAAGTGAGTGGTTCTGTTATGTCTTCGGCTATAATTTTCAAATGCTCGCTTTTAGTACCATCGAACCCAGGACTTTTCCGATTTTTTAAGGACATAACAGTGGTGTATACTTCACATTGCTCGACTTTATCCAAAATAAATGAGTTCAAAGTTCTTTTGGAGGCTGAGTATTTTGTACATTTGCTTGTATATTACTTGCTAAATTTTCGCCTATGTCAGTAAAGAATTGTACAAATTCATCGCATATCTGTTGAGTATTTTTTAATACTGTTCCTGATGTTGTATTTAACTCAGTGACACACTCTTTAACTTTTGTTTTCCCAGTAATCTCATCAATAGTTGTCCAAAGCCGCTTAGGATCATTTAAGTTATTATTCAATTTATTTAGGTAATGTTTTCGTTTGGTTTACCTTACAAGCTCTATAAATTTATTTTTATATTGGTTGTAGCAGTCGGTATTCTCTGTAGTTGGCGTTAGTTTCATTACATTATATAGTCTTTCTTTTTCTATTGCCGATGTTATTAATCCTTTGGTAATCCAGGCATTTCTGCTTTTCTCTTTGTGACTAATTATTACTTTATTGGTACTAATATCTATTAGTTTTTTTATTTTCTCTATGAACAGTCCCGTTGCTTTGTCTATATTATTTATAGAGTATAGTTGTTCCCAGGATTCTTGTTTGACATTTGATATTAGTTTTGAATTGTCGACAAAAAATTTCTAATTTTCCTGGTTGTTACTAACGGTAGGGATGTTAGAATGTTTTTCATTTGAAGATATCAGTAAAATAGTGGAGAAGTGGTCAGTAATATCGCTTTCTAGGATTATTGGTATACAAGTAATTTTGTTGGATAGGTCTTTCACAAAGCAGTGATCTATACATGTGCCACTGATGGACCTTGTAGGTAGGTTTATATAGGACAGAAATCCGTTACTTGATAGGATATTCAAGTATTCATTTGTGATGGGATCATCGTCCAAAATATTTATATTGACATCTCCAAAGAAAATATGTTGCTTTAAATGAACTTTATTTTGATTTTGAAAAAAAAATTCGATATTCTTTAAAATCTCGTGGGGTTCTGAACATGGCGGACGATAAATTGCAGATACCTCAATTTTGTTATGGTTAATTTGGATCATTATGTTTAAAATTTTGATTCCATCGGTGAAAGTGAATGTATCATGATTATATTGCAGTTTATTTCTTACTAAAACTATCACCCCATCGTTTTGGTTATAAGTGCCAAAGTTATACAGCGTGTCATATCCCTGCTGATTGAAGCAAGAAATATCAGCCACTAGCCACGTTTCAGTCAAAACTATTAGATCAAAATTGTACCATATTTGGTCGAGTGGTATTTTTAAGTAATCAATGTTGTGTTTTATACTCCTTATGTTCATATTAAAAATTTGAAATTTCGCATCAGAATTTTGTGTACATAAATTAAGTTCATCGACGTTTTGTGCTATATTTGTTGCAATACTTGGAATTTGGAAATCATTAATGTATTTATTTACTGACATTTTTATGTCCTCTTTAGAGATAGGAGTAGTAAAAGATGAACTTGAATTTTAAAAAAGTATCCTTAAGTTTTGTTGTTCCTGATAATATTTGTACGATGGACAGTTTTTGTCGGTAGGTGAGTGGTTAATGTTATAATTTTTTTTATATCTCTCATTCCCATATCTACAGTTGCAGCATTCTATTGATACATGCTTACAATTTTCTTCTTCGTGACCATTGCCACAGTTGGCACATATCTTCTCATTCCTGCAATTCTTTTCTGTATGATTAAAATGGTAGCATTTTCTACACTGATAAATGTCGTTATTTTGATATACTGTCAAACATTGCCATCCCAGAAGTATTCTTCTATTATTGTCTTTGATTTTTTTGAATAGCTTTCCAGAAGTTTCCGCGTAGATAGTGTAATTGTTTCTTGATGGAAAATATTTGATAAACTTTACTTGTATGTCTCCACTCTGAATCATATAATTCTGATGTATAAGATCTTCTTCAATTTGCTTTTCATTCGGTTTCTCACTACTTTTATAATTTATTATTTTAATTTTTGGATTTAACATTTTCGGCTCAGTAACTTGGTATTTTTCATTCAATTTATTTTGAAGTTCATCTTTCAGTTTATTATGGTTTGATTCATCAATTTTTATATCAATTCCGCCATTTTTTGAGTTTCTCACACTTTCTATTTGAATGTTTAGAGATGAAAGATTTATTCTCTTACTCAATTCTCTTCTCGTATTATCGCAAGATTGTTTTTCTCTTGGAATAACTGTGATGCATTTCAGTGATTGCCTTTTAGTAATAGGTGTCGTTTGTTTTAAGATTTGTGCGTATGAATTTTCTTCTACTAATTGGTTTTTCTCAACTTCGTCGAGTCTCATATTAATTTTATTTAATGCTGATGCTATGGCATCCTTCTCAGTAATACTTGCGGTTATTGACAGTTGCTGCTCTTTTAGTTTTAAATTTTCGTTATTGAGCTGACGAATTATTTCCTCCTTTTCTGCTAGTGTTTTCTTCAAGGATCGATTCTCTTCTAATATCCTTTTTACATTAGTCGAATCAGGTCAATTTTCTTCATCTGTGATGCAGTTTTTTTCATTCTCGGGCTTTTCTTGTTGCTCTTCTTCTTCCTTCTTCTTTTTGCGGGTCATGACACTCTGTATAGTAATTTCTTATGTAGTATGGATCAGGAAGAACAAACTGTCAACTTGTCAATTTTACGTCACTCCGAGGTTATATAAATATGGCCGAAAACGACTGAAAACTGTAAAATCCGCTGCACCAATGTATCCAGACCCGTACTTTATCCTTATAAATGGAAACTCTTCGCCAAAAGATTATTTCATGGACTGTGTACCAACCAAATTCTTGACAAGGTAGGACGAGATCGTTTGCTTGTTTACTAGTACTACTATATTATATATTATATTATTATTATTATTATATGAACATTTAGAACTTTTAATTCGCCTATATTGAAAATAAACTCTCCGCCATTAGGAAAATTCTATTTGTCGAAGAATGAGTAGTAGTCAATCAGTTTAGATGATTTGATTTGTTGTCAGATAGTCTAGATCAGAGGTTCTGAAGCTTACTTGACCTACTGCGCAATTTGAATATCAATTATATTCTGGGACAAAAATTATGTTACGTCTCCCATCAAATCAATTCAACGCCCCCCAAATCAAATTGTCCCTCCGATTTCCTTTAGCCCCTTTACCGCGCCCTCCCCATAGTTCCCTCGCACTGATCAAGACAGATCTCTGGGTGAAACAATAACAAAAAACATCGTAGTAGCCATACCTGCAGTGTGTCTTGATTTCAGAAAAATGCGACAGTTGGTGGTAGGATCAAGGTAGGCAGAGGCATTTCGAACTATAAAGACACTGGTAGGGTTCTAGAAATCGACGGGAAGAAGGAAATAAATATTTGGTCAACAGAACTGTGCAATCGTTTCAGAGGTACAGATGGATGGATCATCCCTCCTTTGTTAGAAGAGGGAGAGAGCGTACGCGTTTTTGGTACAGATTTGTGTAGGTAAGTGATAGAGCTTATCTTAAAAGAAGATAACTGATATTTTTGTACAATTCTGGCGACAGCAATTTTTTTGTGGTAAACGATACCAATGATAATTTCGTATTGACGACATGATAAGTCCGGAGATTGATAGAAAATTCAGGAAATAATCGAAATAATGTTAAAAAGTAATAAAAATAGCTTTGTAGAGAATTAAACTCTTCATCATTTTATTTATACGTTTTTTCGATTTCTTGATGGCTCTTCATGTATAAGAAGCAAGACTCCATAACTCCATAAGTCATTTTCTGTCATCAAGTTAAAGTGAATCAATTTTTTTCACTGCCACGCGTAGGCGTGGAAAATATAATATTTTTGGATAATTTATGACGTCTTCATCACTAGAATGCAAGTCGCTCACTTCCGTTATAATCGATGTAGTGGTTACAGAAGTTACTCCGTGACAAAATCGCCCATAGACAAACTGATGGGGCGAGTGAGTGACTTGATCTTTATAAAGAGAACATCAACAAATATTACATTTTACATACTTCCATGTATCATAAAAACATGGATCCTTGATCACAGATGTTGACTATCAAGTTATCATTATGGGAAATAATGTTGTATGCGAATAACGAGTACAACAAGTGTGTGGAGAACCTCGCGCGACCTTTCTTATACGAATATCTCATGTTTACCTCATTATCCTTCAAGAACCATAAAGGTGTCGAAAAAACCGTAAACCCTTCGTATCGAATTTTATTCTTCACAAATGACAGCAGTGTTTATTACTTGTAGATAGCCCAGGCCTCTCTAACTCAGGTGCCACCAGTGCAACGCCGAGCACCGCTCGCATCAAAGTGTTGCGGGGTGACTCCGTGAAGGTGGGGGAGGGGCTAAGCAGGGGCATACGCATCGCGAGGAAGGTGTTGTGCTAACCGTAGCACCCTGCGAATAGAAATGACCCGGGAGCTGCTGGCATTGAGCATACCTTCATCGCAGATTCGACTAAATTTAGTAATAGTAAGTAGTTTTTAAGTAAATGAACAAGAAGAGCCAGAAGTACCTGTCATACCGACTTAAAGATACAGCTTGACAAGAGGATTTCACCGTCCTCACCGAATCCAATGAAGCCTACAAGGTTTGATGGAAATTGTAGGCTCATTTGGAAAAAAATTGGTATGATAAACTGATTTCCGTCAGAAGTTTCTGTCGTACCGACTGAAAGCTAAGCAGGCAATGCAAATAGATAAAAATAATATAATAAAAATAATCATGTTTGTATGCTTCATGCTTGCATTTAAAAGCTCATTTGAGTCTGTCAGTTTGACGCCAGGCTTCTAGATGTTTGAAAGTATATGTAGAATGAATATGAAACGTCATGACCTTTGATATAGGTATAGGTTATGGTAAAATTCTACCGTCACGTTGTATCTTCAATTCGATATGACAGGTACTTTCATCATTGTTCATTTACTTAAAAACTACATATTATTACTAAGTTTAGTCGAATCCGCCATAAGGTTTAATTTCGCCGGCTCCCAGCCCCAACGGAAAATGAGTGGAGTGACATTCGTATTGACATTTGAATTGGTCTGATCGAGTCAACGCGCGGGTGATAAAATAAAGTTCATAATTTCGACGTAAACACATTTATTCTTAAGACGATCTTGGACAGAGTTTAGATTCAACAAGTTTTCTAATATTTGGTACAGTGGCTTGAGCAGTGGAGATTCTGAGTATCGCCTGTAAGGACACATCAGACAAAGACCTGTTTTTAGTTTTGTCCAAATTCATTAAAGAAAACATCTTCTCGCAGAAGTACGTTGTACCGAACATGGAGCAAGTTTCCAAGGCCAGTGCAAGAATTTTGGGAAAATCTTGCTGCTTAACACCATGATAAAACGAAATTAAATTACTATTGTAGTGGTAGTATCTACCCTTAGGGATCGTATCGATTTGAAGCTCAATCAGCTCAATTTGGAACTGCGGCGGTTCTGTTTCGAAAAGCACTGAAGATGGCGTCGTAAAAATCTCACTTGCATAAACATCGTCAATGATTTCAAAAAAAATCTTTAGCAGTTGCGTAACACAATAAAAGGGTATGTCACCGTAAGTTGCTTCCAGGTCTGTTAAAAATACTTCAAACTGCCGTGGTTGAAACCTTGCTTTCTGCAGAAATTGACACATACTTTTATTACATCCATAATACATTTGAAATTAAATTGCACATAGTTGTTCCTGATGATATCGGAGGTTGCCCAGCGTCGCGTACTTTTATTTTCATTCTCCCAGTTAAACCTTGTGCTTCCGATAATATTGCTGGCGCTCCATCGGTAACAACACTACGCAAACTTTTCAGTAGTATACACATGTCATTCATTGTGTATTATACAGCATCAAAAAGATCTTCTCCGGCCATTGTATCTTTGAGCGGGCTAACGTCTAGTAATTCGTCGGTGATAGTAAAGGCTAATTCGACGCCTCTAACGAAAACAGGTAATTATGCTGTGTCAGAAATGTCTTTACTTTCATCGAGAGCTATAGAATACTGCACAAAATGGGTACATTAACCCGCAGTTGTTCTTTTAAATCTGCACCAAGTTCAAGTATCCGACGAGAAATTGTTGGCTCGGACATACTAATTGTCTCAAAGTTGCTTACACGAGATGGCCACAATATTTCTGCACACTCCACTAAGCATTCTTTGACAAGTGCACTGTCAGTAAACGGTTTCCCACTTTTTGCGGTTTTCAAAGCAACAATATAACTTGCATTACGATACCATTAATAATAATCAACTACGACCAAATTAATAATTACTTCTTCAGAACTTAGAAGGGCTGGCCTCAATAACGTGTGACATTAAACATTTTGCTTTTCAGTATTTACCAAATATAGGCTTCTTCCATGCAGGATTGAATGACATCGTTTAAAAAAAGATGCACGTTAAGACGCTAAAAAACCTGTCCACTTTGTCTTGTCGTATTTAAGACAAATACACAAACTTTGAAAATAAATGCTGAATGTAGTCTGGTCGGAAATATTTCATTTTCTTTCTTCTATCAGACGTTGTGCGGTTTTCGGGTATTTTCAATAATTTGTATATACAAGATTACCCATGAGCTCAAATGTGCAGCCTGATATATATACAAGGGTTTTATATTCCTCATCCACTTCTTCCAGTCTAAAAGAATTTCAACGTGGTCTCTTTCCAGAAATGTTGAAGCTCTCCCAGTAGGTACAGATTACATGAAGGGCGTCCACGTTAGAGTATACGAAGCTACAATGGGAGACATGGAACACAACGAAGAAGATAAATGCTACTGTGCAACTCCTACTACTTGCATGAAAAAGGGACTCTTTGATCTATCTAAATGCATGGGAGTTCCTATCATCGTCACATTGCCACATTTCCTAGAAACGGACCCTTATTACTTGGAGCGGATCAGCGGCCTGGAACCTATACATGATGAACATATCCTCAAGATCATTTTGGAACCAGTAAGTTCTATGAAATCATATCAGATCTGTGTAATTATATACAGGGTGTCACACGTAGAATTGCAGCGATCGATTGCACAAAATTACTGTGATCCGTACCATCAGGAGTGCGTTTGTAAGTCACTTGGTAATGTAATACCGTACAAAGTCATGAGATGAAGACCGACATATGGAACTTCATTGCGAAATACTGTAGAACTTTATTTTTAGGACGCGTAAATTAGTACAGAGTCATGTAATGACACTTGATGACAGCCAACTGACTTCTATCCACGAATTTTTTAATATAAGGAACGTTATGGATACGTGGTAGCCCATTTATCGTGAAAAATATATATTTTTATATAAATATATATAGTAAAAATAACAATGACCCATGAGAGTGACAAGCGACTACACACTTTTTACCAAGGTTTTGGGCGTAGGAAGAAAAGCGCCTTCCAGAAGGGTTACTTTATTTCCGAAGGCATGGAACAGATACATCATCAGCAATTATGAAAGCTGAAATTATTACAGAGTAATACAAATTACACTATGCAGCAATTCATGAACGTAGCCCAGTATTCAACAATTATTCCATCAGTGTCAGTGTATTTGCACGTAATCTTATACATTCGTAATAACTGACTCGACTACATAATCAATAAGTATCAAATACTATGATACAGGCTGGTGGATCATAGTAAATACTGATCGCGTGACATTCGCCTTACATTGACGTACCTATTCCAGAGGATTTTTTCCGGATTTGTACATGGTGATCAGAAAAATCAAAACCTGACTTACAAGACTCAAAAATACGTTTTTACAAATAAACACCTTTTTTTAAAACCGCCTATATTAACGAGTGGTCTTTTGTTGTTTTTTTAGAAATAAATAATTCTTACATAATGTTTCTTCTATTCCAAGGACAAACAAGGTTTTTAGTTTTTGAAAACCGGCCCAGTGACGGCAGAGAAAAAGGCCAAAAACGAAAAAGAATATAAATTGCTCAAACTCCGTTCAGAAGATCCTGATCATTTTTGAAAAAAAGTTTGAGATAATAAGCTTTGGGATCTGGGTTGTAGGGGTGGGGAGGGATTATCACAATGTGTTGATAGTAAATTTATACGCTCCCAACCTCAGTAATTCTACGCGCGTATTAGACATATTTCACACAACATAAATTTCCTGTTAAAACTTTATAGTATTCTCAGCAGACGGTCGCGAGTGCTGCTTCCGGCGGCGTGCCTCTGGCTTTGGTGAATATTCTGCTGCGTTGGTATGGTACTCGACGCCAAGCCACAGCATAATGTCTCCAGACGCACTATTAGTAGGGCAGGGAAGGAATGTCTAAGTACTGATTGATAATCCTTAATGAACTGATAACGGCGTCGCGTGGTAAGTGCAGGGCTCACCTACTCGACGCCATTTCTTGTTTAGATTAAACCCAAAGGCATGCTTATTCCCATACGCAATATGTATAATATAAATACTTAAGCTGGAAACACTGAGCCACTGAATCCATGTCGACATTTGCTTATGATTCTAGATGACCTCTACACCACTTATTGCCAAGAAAAGAGCCCAGTTGAATTTAATGGTAGCAGCGGTGCCAAGGATAACTATTATGCAAAATATAACTGAAGCATTGCATCCAATCTTTTGGATGGAAGAGGTAAGTCTACAGCGAAAGACTCACGTGCATTGTTTATTACCACTGTTCGTAGGCCAGTACTGTTAGATCTAATTGCTCAGTCTCACCTCTTTGAGTGCTCACATGAGCGAATTTCAAGGAATGTGCAATACAGTGGAGGATAACTATCTTCAAGTAAAACGGAAAATGTCTACAAACCTATATTCATAGCGAGTTGAATGAAGTTCTTTTCATGGTTTTTGACGATTAAATCACAATATCATACGAACTAAGTAAACGGATAGTCTTAGCTATAGCAATACTAGCAAAACTGCGTACTGCCCAATCCGACTCCTTACGGGGATGATACTTGCTCTTGTACACGAATATGAATTGCGTCTTAATTCACAATTATTCAAAAGGACTTAGCGCAAACTGTCGACATGGTAGCAGTACTGTCAGGCATTGCTGCGTTTTATATAGCTCAACAAGAGGTAAATTCAAATCACACGCCAATGACAAGCAACTGGACATACTGACAGTATTAAGCATAAATATGGAAGACTTTTGTACATGTATGAGTGAGGGAGATGAGTGTATGAAAGTAAATCCAGTAATTTTAACATTTCACTATACATTTCCTACATTTATTGTATTTTCCCTAAATATGATGAACACTCATCATCACAACAATGAATGTCTGACTCAAATTCCGTTCACTTTGCTACGCTATACAATAGACGGAATTCACACGGCTGGATCCCAGACTCTGCCAACGACCACTGTACGAGCAAACCCATCCTTGAAAAGCAAGTACTTGAAATTATTGACACTTTAGATATCAACAAATCTGCTGGAATTGACAACATACCACCAATACTCATAAAAAACCTCTTACTTTAATTTACACCTCTTGAGATCCTAACACATTCCCCGATGCTTGGTAAAAATCCTCCATTACACCTATTTTTGAGAGTGGAAACAGGTATAAGGCAGACAATTAGAGTGCTAATTTAATGCTTTAAAGCTTTATAATCAAATAATGTTTCATGTAAAAAATGTAATCATTCAGCAACAACATGGATTTTTTTCCGAAAAGGTGCCTGGATATCAATTTGCTTTGTTTTACTCACTTTGTTAAGAATGCTTTGGGCAGAAATTTCCAAGTCGATGCTGTTTATACCGACTTCAGCAAGGCTTTTGATCGAGTTAATCATAATTTGCTATTGACAAAACTTGCTGAGGTGTTCGTAGCCCTCTTGTAATGTGGGTTTCAACTTATTTGCGGGATAGAGAATTCTTTGTGTGTATACGGGTAACGGGTATAAATCCAGAGTCGTTATTCCAATATCGGGAGTTCCTCAGGGTAGCCACTTAGGTCTATTACCCTTCTTAATTTATATAAATCATATCAGCCATTGTAAGTTTCTTCTTTACGCAGATGATTTAAACATGTCTCGTATAGTTGAAAGCCTTCAAGACTGCGTCAAAATACAATCTATTGTCAGAGAAATGACCTGCCACTTAACACTAAAAAATGTTTTTCAATCACATTCACGAAATAAAGAAACCTATTTCAGTATGCGTATCAGATAGAGAAAGTCAATATTAATTCAGTAAGCAACATTCGGGATCTGGGTGTTACTCTAGATACGAAATGGAGCTTCAATACTCATATAAATGGAACCATAAATAAGACAAATAAGATGCTTGGCTTTATCAGAAGACACTCTAGATACTTGAACAACCCTTCTACCATATTATCACTATATTATGCGTTTATACATAGTAATCTTTCTTTCGCGTCTATTATTTATTTAGAACCTACAGTACGAAAACCACATAAGGAGATTTGAGTCTGTTCAACATAAGTTCTTGCGAATTCTAGCTTACAAGGCGGGTATCATTTATACATGTAGCTTGGTAATGGAACATCGGATTTGTTTTCTTCACAGAATCTTGAACAATCGAATTGACTGCTTTTACATTTCATCGAAAACCAATATAAATGTACCGATAAGAGTGAATCCTAGACACTGTACATACTTCAACATTCCGTTTTGTAGAACTAGTATTGGTTAAACTCTCCACTGGTACGATTGCAAAGAAATCTCAACGACTATGGCAAATTCGCTGATATTTTTGCTTGTGAAATGATTAACTTTAAATACGCGATAAAAACAGAATGTTGGTCACTCCCTTGTAAGCTACGTTCCCATTCTTTGTAATAATTTTTATTTTACTGAATTGAATGTTTATATTTCATATATGTTATGTGGATCAATCCTTACATTTTAGTATGTTTAACTACACGGTGGATGTCTATTTTGAAGATTTTCTCTGTTTGACGTCCCTAATCTGTTAAATAAATTAATATACTGTCATCCTCCAACTATGCTAGTTCATGCTATATTGTTGTGTCGTGCATTCGGGACTGATTTGGTCAGCTGTGAATTCCACACCATCAAAAATTCATTGTCGGAAATAGCCCACTATTAGAAAATGTTTGAATCGGCAAGAATTTTAACCATCTGGGATCCATTGGTTAAGGTGAAATAATATCATAACCTTAGCTATGTTTTCTGATTGCTCTGATGTACTTGCATAAGTGTTTTGTTCCGTGCAATGTATACAATAGTTAGGTATAAGAGGTATGCCTCGAGATCGCTTTTTAGAAAAAAAAAATTTCGAAAATACGAAACACAAAAGTGTACTTTTACAAACTTATTGCAATATTATTATGATGTCAACAGCACAAAGGCTTAAATCTGGCTGACTGTAAAATGCGTTGAGAACAATAAAGTAAACTGTCTTCTAGGAAATTAGTAGCATGGTCAGCATTATTCCTAGCATATCAGCAGGAACGGCTAACATAACTCGTTGGATGAGAAATATTTGACCTCTACAAATAAATTCAAACAAAGGTTTTGAACAAAGATCTGTTATCTATTATCTAACTTGCAGTACAGCTAGATAATAACAACACGTGACTAGACGTCAGCAGCTGTATCGTAGACGCCATGATTTTAGTTTGGCCGGTGTAACTCTTTTTAATTCATTCGCCATGTCTTATTGTCTTCTCTTGGCACAACTACTCTTTGGCTAGAGCACGAAATGGCATCGTATAATAATAATATAATAATAATAATAATAATAAAGCATATATTGCCCAACAGTATACACCATTTACGGAGCATTGGGTAATAAAAAACAATGAATGTACTAAATTTACCTAAAACTAACTTTAGCGAAACTACAAATTAACACGACACTGGGTTCTTATTTCTGAAAACGTGCAGCAGATAATGTCACAGACGTTAGACAGTTTGTTCGCGCTTGCACACATTTGATTAATAGGTGATTTCATTAATATATTTGTTTGAACTCTTTTACATACAAACGTGTAATGATCTCTAGCATTAAGTCTCGGTACAAAGATATTTAGCTATGATAACAGGTCAACAGAGTCAATTTTGCCATTTAGTAGTTTATGCAAAAACAACACAGATGCCTGACCTCTACGGCTGTCTAAAGTTTGAAAGTTGAATCTGTTCACAAGCAGATCCAAAACGAAATTTTTGAATGCGTCAATTGCTTCTTCTGGTGACTGGAACGTTTGACCACGCAGTCTGTTTTTAATTTTCGGTAAAGTAAAGAAATCGTTAGGACTTAGATCGGGACCATATTATGGAGGATGGCCCAATAATTCCATGTTTTCTTCCGTTAAATACTACCTTTTTTTTGGGGCTGTGTGCGAACTTGCATTGTCTTGGTGGAGGATGATTCTTCTTTCGGGGTTGATTTTTCGAAGCTCGGTGATGACTTTTGGCAAAAAATGGTGGTATACCAGTCCGCAGTAACAGTTCTTTGCTCATTAAGAGGAATTGTTGCAATATGACCCGCTTTTGACACAAATGTCGCGACCATCTTTTTCGAAACACTTCGAGAACGGATGACTTTTGTTGGATTTTCTTCACCTTGGAACACCCAAACAGCCGACTGTCATTTATTTTCTGGTTTGTGGATATATCTCATCAAGCCTGAAAGAGTACTATTCTAATTTCGACCTGACTAGACTAGAATACAATAAAGTTAGTGACGACAGATCAGTAAAAAGCTTACAGCTTCTTATGATAAAGCCATATGATCGAAACGCATTCATAATAATTTGATTAATATGTGAATTGAATATTAATTGACTGTTAAAGCAAACGCCTAGATCTCTGATTGAGTCAGTTTTTGAAAGGTCTGTACCATTAATTGTATAAGGATGTAGTATAGTGGAACGTCGGCTAAAGGTTACTATTTTGCATTTGGATATACTTAAATGCAGATGATTTCTAAGACACTAGTCATGTAAAACATCGATCTGCGATTGTAGGGCAGCACAGTCTTCTAGGCACGCAATGGACACACAGCTGCACTTACATCATCTATATCTACCAAGACCTCCCAGCTTGTATCCAGCAGGCTGCTGTAAAGTGAGATGAAGTCTGCTTTTTTAAAATTGTAACGTTATGATGGTCAGTTGTTCTGTTAGTGTGATGCTTTTCAATTACTTCAAAAACTCTGATTGATAAAAATGGGTGGAATGAATCTTCATTTGCCAAAGGAGCACAATTGATGAGTTCATAGGAGGACAGCAGTATCATTAATGTTTTTTTCAGTTTCCGACTAGTGTGGGTTAAATGAGGCATGTTTTTGTTTTTCTAGGGCATTGTGCTAGAGGGCCCTTTACTGAAAAAGGTCCAATCGATCTTCATCGCGTTGAAGGTACTGAAGGTTTTGAACTGTGTAGGGCTACTGGCATCACTTGTAGCAATAGCATATGGAGCGTACGGCTATTACAAGAACAGAAAGAGTATCAGAGTCACTCCAAGTCATGAACCAAGCAACGGAGGTAATGAGGAAGTAACGAGAAGCACAAATGTCCTTATCGCCACTTTAAATGGCATGGAACAGAAGGGGCATGACAATCCAGCTCTTAGTGGCCATGAGTTCAGCAGATATAACATTTAAAAGAAATAAAATGATAGGTTCTTGTAATGCTATTCAAAGAGATAGTTCAAATAATTACGAGCACTCTATAAATAAAGCACAATATTATTCCGAAATGTAAAATAGAACATTTGAGAAGTTTGTCTGGTAAGTGGCGAACAATGGCATTGGGTGGCATTTTGACATGTGTACCACATCACAACTACATGAGTATGTTTTTCTTTGAAAGAATATAGTTTTTTAATACAATCCAGTCGGCTGTGATTTTTTTAGGGATAACGGTAATTAAAGGGTCCTTAGATACATTACCGCAGACTAGTTTCTGATTCATTCAGAATGTGAGATGTAGCTTAACAGAATTCAAGCAAAATTTGTCGGCCAGGCACCCTTATACTGCACACATAGTTCGCTATTATACAAATTCTTTTGGGCTACCTTTGGAATACTAGCTGCAGTATTAAAAATGAGAAAACGATGATAACCGAGCAAGAGATTGTGTTTTGAAGAGCATAAGTATGCATATCCATTTAATTAGTGGTTTTGAGTCCTCCCAGCCTTGTTCAAAGCTACCAAGCTCTGGTAACTTTAGTACGTGAGTTTGTGAGCGTTACAATAGAATTTTGAAAATGCTACAAACTGGATGGCTTTTTGTATGAGTGTGGGTGTGTCTTGACTCCCAAGCCGTGATATTTTTTGACAGGTAGTTGTGTGTATATTAGATCGGTGATTATTCAAGGATTCCCTACGAATTGACTTCAAATGAGGTTGAAATATCAATTAGTTTTCTAGTAGTAGAAGTAGTTCTGTAAGAAATGTATCTCATTTTATGAACGTGTGTACAAAATAATTATTGTGATCAATGTTTTAAAATAGATGGGGCGACAGAATACCTCTTGTTGTTTGATTCTCCAAATTTTCACGAAAAGAAAAATGGAAAACAAGGTCAAAGATATCGATAATAGGCATTGACGATACTTCACTTACCATCAATGGTGTTTGGAATTTTCGTGTACTTAAAATTTTAAATATTTTTCTAATTAGTTTGCGAGAAGTAGTGAGTCGATCTAACTGAATATATTGCGTTCTTGTTCCTTGTATTCATTAGAAATTTGCTATCGCCTTAAAGAACAGCGTAAGGTAGATTGACTCTATACATCGCATGCAATTCTTTACAAATAGACTTCGACGTACGTGTATTGGTATCTTTGCTACCTACTACTTGCTATGTTAACCCATGTACCTTGTCGTAAGGCTATAGTTTAGTGAATGAGTATCAGTGAAAAAGACTAATATTGATTTAGACAAATTAAAATTACGAACTTTATATACCAGTGCTAGCAAAATGTGGCTCCACTTTCTACTCAAATGGTGAAATAGCAGATAGTGTGAACCAAGCCCTTTTCATTTCTGAAAATAAAAACTTCTAAATTCAGTTTTTACGAATTTATTCAAGAACTCCAAGTTTTTTAACCGATTTCATTGAAATTTCTCATGACAACGAAGACATATAGGAGTAACGTGAGACTAGATGGGATGGCTTTACAATCCAGGACCGGACTCGTTTTTTTCATCAAAATTAACATATTTGAAGCCAGACAATGAAATATTAGGAAAGTAAAATGAGTTCGCCTCCTTTGGTGTTTTAGTTGTATTTTTTATTCATTCAAAAATTTATATCAACTTGAGTTTATTCACATTACACAAAATAATGTTTAAAATTGAATTGCAGGTGTGTTGGGAACTCAAAATTTTAAGTCCCGACTTATTTTTTTCTTTGTTTTTGATTTCAAGAAGTGCAATGATGCCCTGTAAGTTGCACTGTGAGTTTATTATTATTTCTTAGAAAAATACAGCAATAAATGAATAAAAAAGGCGAAGTTAACCTTACGCATATTACTTACTTTTTCGGTAAATTTCCTAATGGTTTAATTCTACCAACTGTTGTTGTACTAGTTAAAAAGGAAAACGACATTTAATATGCAACTCCACTAAATTACATCTTCCAGGCAAAAACGTAGAATGCAGGACCGGACTTAAACGTAACTGTGCTGAAAATATTATGCGTTTTCTTCGATCCTAGAATTTTGAGTTCCCAAAATACCTCAGGCTCAATTTCAAGCAACATTTTGAAAAAATTTTGAAGAAATAAAATTGATAATCATCAGAATTAATTAGAACCATTCGTTGGTTCTCTTGTACCTAGTCAAAAATTTCAATACTCAGCACATAAGATTGTTTTAGATAAAGAAACAAAAAAGCAAAGAAAATTTAAGCATGCCCTGCGTTTTTCAGCCATGTGACTATTTTTACGATAGAGCTACGTAATTTTGTTATTGTACAAAATTTCAATTAAATCCGCTCAATAGTCTCTAAGATACGTGATATCAAGGATATGGCACGACTATTAATACAAAATAAATTTAGAACTTTTCTATTTTCATCTCACTTTGGAACACGCTGCATACAGTCCACTCAAATATTCTAGCACGTATCATGTTTCAACTTTCGGTCGTTCAGGTATCTCTGCTATTGGCTGGCCATGGAAACTCCTACAGTTGCTGATACAGAATAAATATAATTAGTTAATTTAACTTTTTTTTGAAATAATCGGCTCTGCTTTATATTCTGCATATTATCTGGACAGCTTCCGTACGCCCTTGTATCATTACATCGGCCCTCGGCAGATAAAGGATTTTGCATGTTACTGGCTGGATGAGCAATATTTATTTGTTTCTTTTTTGCCCTTAGCTCCGCCGCTACTGGATCGACCTTCAAAATTTCAAAGACTTTTCTTCCTTGGTTTAGTAATCGTGTGTGGAAATTGAGTGAATCACAGTTTTCCTGGTGTACATGTTATAAAGCATTTTAATATTTTCTGACCAGTACCAGTGGCGTGGGAAGTAAAAACGCGTTTGAATTTATATTTTCAGAGAAGTGCAAGTGGACTCATATTAATATGTTGGTAGATACTGAGCCACATCTTAACGCAATCTTACTAAAAAATATACCAACTCGTATCTGTGTCATTTTTTTATTTACAATCACTAAGCTCACAACTATCAATCATTCCACTTTTTTCCTTTCGCAAGCGTCCGAACTATAACTATTCACTGCATGCTGAGTCACTAGTCTCAACAATAACTTCATAACAGAGTAGAACATAAGGGCGGACAGCATCAGAAGTGCGATGACGTCCACTAGGTAGTACTGCAGGACTCCTAAATGTCTTGAAGGTGATTGGAGGGCCATTGCACCTTTATGTCTCAAAACGTATTCTGTCCAGAAGACAGCACGTTCCAATGGGGTTTCTGATTGGTCCATCAGGAGGCGTTGACGCCTTTTGACCTCTTGACGGTACTTGGGGTCCTCAATAACCTAAAACAATAAGTACTGGTTGTTAAAAATAAGAACACATTAGGGAAGACGAGATATCGAATCGAAAGATTTCCGTTTTGTATGTTTTGTTCAGTTTACCCCAGAATAAATTTATTGTCCATATATTTTGAGTAACAGGTTTTAATGTTTGTCGGTTATATAACCATCATTGTGCTACTTTTTACAGTGATTTCCGCCACAGCAATGTTTTGTCCAAGTCTCCGCCAGGAACATTACGTATCTTGAAAGGTGGCATTGTGTTAGTTCTTTTTTGACATTATCTAGGTTTTTTGTGACATTATGTAGGTTTTTGCACTAGCCGTTGTACACTTGTGTACTCGTGCCGTAGCTGTACGTGTTGCCTATACTTCACGATGCTTTAGCTATCAATGTTTGGCTTTGATGTGATGTAGCAGATGGCGTCCTTGGAGGTCCCAGCTGTATGTTGTATGATATAGCTGCAAGTAAACTGCAGTGCATACATCGTGAGGATTTGTTTGATCTATGATGCTGATAGTTCCATTGGTTTCTTGTCTCAAATACACTTGAGATGTATGCCAAGAAAAAAATTAGTTACGCTTCCGCTTTTTCTTATTAAACCTGGAAATTACATATGCAAATTTGCTGATTTTCAAAAAAAAAAATACTTGGTTGGCGAAGTATACTAAAACTAACAGGTGAGAAAATATGGTACATACAGGAATATTTATGAAACGTGAAAAAGTTATTACATTCCACATTAATTTTGTTTCTAATCATTTATTTTATACAAATTCACTTTAGGATGTCAAGTAGAAAATACAAGTCAGTGCCTAGATGTGACCCAGTGCGGAAATGTTTTGTATGTGATACGTCATTCTTAATTTTTCTGTGCTGATTTCCCATAATGGTTCTCAATGTTTTTGAAAACGCAAAAAAGACAGGGAAAGTCGTTATTTATAATTTTGAACATAACCTCTCTTCACAAAGGACGACACAAATAACCCGTCTAGCACAGCTAATAGATATATTTAATGTGTAGCATATTCAGTAATAATTTTCTCACATAGCAGATATCACTGATTTTACAGGTATATATGTATGCAGATTAATATTCGCAATTCCTCCATAGATGGGCGTCGTCAACGCTCATAGCGAGCAAACGCTAGGAACCATCTAGGCAGTAAGTTGACATTTTGTCAGTTTTTCTGACGTTTTTAGGTTTCTTACTACAAAAGTAGATACACATGCCCACACATCCGGATACGGGTTGGCTCTTGTTGTGGACTTCGTGTGTCTTTTTTCCTCTCCATCTTCGTTTGCTCAGGTTACACCTGTATCCGGATGTGTGGGCATGTGTATCTACTCTTGTAGTTACATATGTGCATTCATTTCGGGCCTGATGAAGCCAACCAGCAGAAATACGTATCGCTCGGGTTACCTATCCTATTTTCTGCTCAAATCCACTTTTTGCGGATTTTGCCCATTATTTTCCTATTTTTGTTATACACCTTTCTCCGCATGATAATTTTCTCTTTGTGGATCCTTTGGGCTTGAAGTACCACAGCAAGTGGCTATAACCGGCCGCGTGGTTGTGGTTATTTGTCGCCTTGAAAATTCGAGGTCTTCTAGCCATTTTATACTACAATGTGTAGGTTGACTCTTGTTGTGGACTTCGTGTGTCTTTTTTTTCCTCTCCATCTTCGTTTCCTTAGGTTACACCCGTATCCGGATGCGTGGGCTTGTGTATCTACTTTTGTAGTTACATATGTGCAATCATTTCGGGCCTGATGAAGCCAACCAGCAGAAATACGTATTGCTCGGGTTACTTATCCTATTTTCTGCTCAAATCCACTTTTTGCGGATTTTGCCCATTATTTTCCTATTTTCGTTATACACCTTTCTCCGCGTGATAATTTTCTCTTTGTATATATTTATATACAGGGTGACTTCGAAGTTAAGTCATTTATTTTAACAGTGAGTAGATCTGATCAAAAGAAGTGTTTTTTTCCTTTAACATTTTTCTGGTAAAATTAAATTAACAAAGTTATAGCCCTTTAGAAGTTTGAGTACCGCCCTGTCTCAATACTAATATTATGTGCTCGTGTTTGGCAACAACGGATATAATCCGCCTTATCGGTTCATCGCATCGGAAACAAAAAAGCGAAAGAATTTGAAACGTTTATCACGATATCAGTCAATGTGTGAGTCGGTAACGCGTGAGTGAATAGTGGTGTTTGTTGTGTGGCTCAAACGAAATAAAAAATGACACATGTTTACGAAAATGGTGAACTTCTGGACATGATTCTTATTTACGGGGGGATTCTTTACAAAATGCTGCCGCGGCATTACGGATTTATGCGAATCGGTTTCCCTATCAAGTGCAACCAACCCCTCGTGCCTTTGTTAATGTAGTACAAAGGGCTCGTGAATCAGGTGACTTAAGACCTCACAGGGGAGGGTATGCCGGTGCTCCAAGACCGCACGATCAAATACAGGTCCGCACTGAAATAGCTGTCGGGAGGATACTTTATAAAACAAGGTAACATTTTTCTTTAATTTTTTTTTTATTTTTACACACATATTTTGGTTTATCTTTCTTCTACAATCATTATCTGAAAATTAATGACTCAACTTAAAAGTCACCCTGTATATAGATCCAAGGAGTACAAACCTTTCTGATGGCCCACAGGAGCTTGTCGGCTGTGAGAGTTTGAAGGTCCAGCTTCAAAGCGTAACCGTCGATTTCAGCTTTAGCTGCGTTGGAATCATGGTCACAAAATACGGGCATCGTGATGATCGGCACTCCATGGTACACCGTTTCGAACATACTCAGCAAACCGCCATGAGTGACGAAGGCCTTCAGTTTTGGGTGACCTAGAAAAGGAAATATTTTTAAACAAGACGGCTAGAAATAAACTATAGGAAAATTACATTATAGATGGAAGCAGATTTCAGAGCCCGGCGCTCGAAATATCTCACATGAAAAACGCCTGAAGGTGGATGACAAAATTGTAGTTATGAGACAGGATGCAAACGCGTACAGGATACTGCAAATCGATCAGGCTTTAGCCGTCAGTTTGACAGTTCTTAACAATTCGCAGTAGATTCCTATCTCTCTGCAGAAACATAAAAAGGTGTATATCCATACAGTTCTAGAGTCCCAGAGAGTTGAAAAGAATGGTGGAGATTTTTGCGGACGTTAAAAGACAGTAGTAGAAGCAGATGTTTTTATTGGTAAGTGTTGATATAGAATATTCATCAGCTTTGCGAAGGAGCATATACCTCAACGTTGGGATACAGGACTTAATTTCCTTGACTTTTTGGGTGCTGAATCACAATCTAAGATTTGCTAACAAAGTTTCATATCTAACATAATAATGAAACATGGAAAATATTGGAGATACATCACAATTGACAATGAGTATGGGTAAGGGACAACTGGACCTTAAACTTTGAGCCTTGCCTACGCTCCTTTTGAATCGAAGAGGTTTCATTCATGCTTCATCATTTTAGTGTTATCAGATTCTGCTAAGGAAGCTCAGTACGCCACAAAAATCGATTGTATCACTCCTAGGGATCGTTATGGCATCAATATAGTCACAATGATATACCAACAATAATTATCAGATAATATTTAACTAACTTAGCATAGATAGATATATAGAGAAACGTTCAAAAAATTATCCGAGATGAAGTTGACATATTCTGATTAATTAAAAATCTACCTTGGAAAGGTTACTGTCCAATAGATGCCGCTTTAGCCAACTATTAGTTTATATATGCCCATAACCTTAATAACCGCAAGCATAGATAAACGAAATTTGAAAAGATAAGAACATAAAAAACGAACGAAATGAATTGGTAATATGTAAATACACAGTATTTAGATACATTTCAATAAAAATAAGAGTCAGTAAAGCTGGGTTCAGTGGTTTAAACTTAAAAGCACTCCACATTCTGAATAATAAGAAAAAAAAATCGTTTATTGCCCAACAGTTAAGGAAACCATTTACAGGATAATCCTAAGAAGAGATAGATCAAACTAACAAAAATAGAAAACATACTGTGACGATAACAAATAAAACTGTTGGCGCCATCTGTTGGGAGACTCTCCTACTCGCCAGAGCTTCATGGCCAATCTTTGCTTTTACGCGGACCACGACCGCACAAGCCGCTTGGCGACATCGATGCGAAGTGACCTCGAATATTCTAGGCGCCGCTTTGTGGCTCGCCAGACCTTTCTCGGAGCAGCGATGGAGACTATATCGAACTCGATGGCCGGGAGATGGGGGCAAGGTACAGAGTACAGTAGAGGAGAGCAGAGTGGAGTATAGTCCAGTCAATGACGCGACATAAGAATTAGTCAGACATAAATACTGGAGAACATAAATGTTGTATGTAGTCAAGATACATAAATAAGTGCATTTCTTTTTGTGGAATCCAGTTTTATAATCCACATCCAAAAGAACCCAGAAAAACGCTACAGCACAGAAAGCAGGTGATTCCATCTAAAGGGCAACAACGCACCAAGACGAAAAAAAAGATACTTCATTCAAGTGAGAAACATATCATAAATTGCTTAGCATTGTAGCAATGATAAATTGGGTTCCAAATTAACGATGCATATTCTAATTTATATCTCATATCTGCAGAATACAAAACCAACAGCGACTCTGGAGCTTCTGCAGTTTGTCACAATAAAACCGTATGTTCAGGAAGCTTCACTCACCTTTTGAGCTATCTGGTGTGAAAAATTAAATTTGTCGTCAAAAACTACACCCAAATCCTTAATTGACTTATAAAGATTTATGTAAACATCCCTAACATTATAATTAAATTACCCTCAGACTCAATAATCCTGAATAATTTTAAGTTATCCGCAAAGAGGAGTTACTACTTAAATACTGCACAGTATCTTCGACAAATAAGATCAACAATGATGGAACAAGGTCTGAACCCTGAGGATGAAATGAAAGATTTATCATTCATTAATTTCTGCAAGGGAATTGAGGTGGCTAGACTAGACTAGAAATTTTATTTTGCAAATCTTTTAGAGCGATGAAAAGTAAGAAATCGGATTACATATCGTCGCTGATCTGACAAATGGGCGTAAGCGACACAATCTCTAAATAGGAGATAAACCACTGAGAAACTCTCGAGGGGTATACCTATGTTCTGACAAATGGACGTATCTCCATCGCCCATACCCCGGAGTATACATCATAGTCAGTAAGGACGGAAGCGACATCAATGGAAGATAGGGAATCTGGCTAAGAGGCGTAAATCCATAAATGGACATACGCCTGTTCGTCACATCATCTATTGCGCTTTAGTGTCGCTTTCGCCCATAGAATGTAACTGTGATAAACATAGCCACCTATATCTAACGTAGTTCTAGGTGGCTTTGGTGATAACCGATACTGTTGCGCCATCTCCTGCATGTTTACGGGTTTTCTAGAACGTCTAGGTATCCCCAGTTATCATAACAGATGGTGAGGTGTATGTTTAAGTGAAAGCTGAAAGTCTAAACTTAAGGTAAGCACATTTTTGTTGACTTAAAGTAATATATTATTTGAGATAAACATGCGTCGTGGTTTGGTGCTTCTGACATTTATAGTTGAAATGTGAGGTTATGAACGAAGTCGCGGCGAGAAAACCTTCGCTGCCTGTCAATTATTGAGATGACGTCCGCGAAATGAGGCAAACTATTTCAAACTAACCATAGATTTTGTGTTGGTTGGGGTTAACTTTTGCTATGGTTATTACAACTGTTTGTTTTTATTGCAGTAACTTAACCAAGGCAGCATAGATGTGTTAGTCAAGTGAGACGACGGTACAACTAACGTCGTGTATTAAATATAAAAAACCTCAACACTGTACATAAAACTCAGACTTTACGCTCTGGTGTTGGGGTGAAAATGTACTGGCCCCCCGACAAGAAATATTATTACGGAGTAGTAATGACAACTTCGACGGAATTGAATCCATCAGAAAAGATGCAGAAAATACATCAGCTGGAAAGCAACGATTCAGACGATGACAATATTCCACTCAGTGTTTTAAAGAAGGCTATCGAAGAAAATAAGGAGCCTTCCACTTCACCAAAATCAGTGTGTCCAATAAAGAATATTGATTTACAAGACGAGGTTCCACCAGGTCCTAGAGAACAAACTCCAGATCAACCTGAAGCTGTTGATCCTTTTGAATGTTCTGACAGCAGTAATCACGACCCCACTTATACCCAAACCTGTAATTTTGAAAATTGCAAACAGGAAATATTTGCTGCTTGTCACCGCTGTCCTGCATTGTTGTGCTGGGATCATTTCAATAACAATAGCGACTGCAAATGTCACGATGATATTTACTCATCTGATTCTGAAAACGGAAAGGATAAGGCAGAGATCGAGCGCCATCGCTTAGCTGCTAGGTATGCCGTAGATGGTGTGCAAAGAGAGGTGCCGTTTGCTAAGACAAAAAAAGGAAACAAAGGCAATAGCACATGCGCAAAAAAGTGAGGGGAAAGCTTACGTGAGTTCAACTTCAAAAAACTTATGCCACCGAAATTAATAAACTCGCGATGTGACACAAAGAAGTGTAAACAAGAGTGCAGCTTAATCACGGAAGAACATAGGCAAAAGATTTTTGCTGCTTTCTATGAAACAAAAAGCCTTCAGTTACAGAGGGAGTTCGTTGCGCGTCATGTTACAGCTCACAATATTAAAAGAAAGCGAACAAGCAACATTGTTTCACGTAGATCAAGAACATTTACTTATCGTCTTGCGAATGCAAATACATCAACAACTGTTTGTAAAACTATGTTTTTAAACACGCTCGGAATTTCTGAAAAACCATGCGGACGGTGCTAAATAAATTAAATGATGAAGGGATACTACGTCCTGATGCACGTGGTGGTCGACACGAAAGTTTGCGTGAAAAAGATAGCGCTACTCGGTCTGCTGTATTAGCCCATATTCAACTATTTCCTCGGATGAAATCACACTTTTGCAGATAGTCCACCACCAGGGAGTATTTGCACCCAGATCTGACTATTAAGAAAATGTATTATTTTTACGTGCAAGAGGGACGTCAGCCACAGTGTAGTTATCACACCTATCGAAGGGTATTCAAGTCATTGAATCTTTCTTTCCATCACCCAAAGTAAGACCAGTGTAGCCTTTGTTCGTTCTATAAAGAAGGCAGCACGGAAACGAAGGCCAAACTCGAAGATTCTTTTGCTGCACACATTGCAGAGACGGACTCTGTGCGAAAGAAGAAAAAAGATGCTAAAGAATCATCACAAGAAAACCCTGAAGTAATAGCTAGTGCTGAATTCGACCTGCAACAGGTAATTTCGCTTCCAAGAAGCAATGAAAGTGGAATTTTTTATAGCCGTCGTCTATCAGTGTTGAACCTTACGATTTACAACCTAGTAAATAAAAACTGCTTGTGTTATCTTTGGAACGAAATTAATAGTAAACGATGGTCCAACGAAATATCAACATGCGTGGCAAACTACCTTATTCAGCTGGATACCAGGGAATAAAAGAAGTGAGACTATTTGCAGATGGTTGTGGTGGCCAAAATAAGAACACGATTGTTTTAGCCATGTTGCTGCACACCATAACCAAGACCAAAAACATTAAAAAAATATCATTATCTTTCTTCGAAACAAATCACAGCCAAAGCGAGGGCGACTCTGCCCACAGTTCTATTTCGACAGCTTTAGCCTTAGCAGGAGATGTCTTTATTACTGCTCAGCTTCCTCCTATTCTTAAATTGGCAAGACGGAATTCTCCATACACTGTTATCCCTATGGATAATGCTGACTTTCTGGATTACAAGTTTGTGGCTGAACAACTCCGCATTCGACAACTGAGAAAATTTGACACGGGGGAAAATGTTAATTTCACCGCAATCAAGGAAGTAATGGTAAAGAAAGATGTTCCACAACTGTTTCTAAAAGCCAGCCATCTTGCTGATCAGTATAACACATTATCTCTGAAAAGAAACACTCTTGAAGTCCTGAAACAGCCGGTACGTAGACTTAATAATGGTCCAATTAAATTAGACAGCCTGAAATACGAAAACCTTGTTGAGCTATGTACTGGACCTACACCCATAGTGCGAGATCTAACGTTTCAACAATACTTCAAGAACCTCCCGCATCATTAAACACCTCAGTTTTTATAATTTGCATACATCCTCTGTTTAATTTCTATATTTTGAAGTTTTCTTTGTTTAAATAAAAATGTCGTTAATGATAGGAACCGTTGTGTATGTTTAAAATTACTAATGAAAAAGAGCGTAAGTGACGTACCTCTGTAAAGTAACTCTGACGAACGGGCGTATGTCCAAAGTGGCCATTTTGTAGGACAATATCGTGCAAGCTTTGCAATTACGTTATGACAGATTGAAAGTGTCCCTGATGATTCACTTTGATACAAAATTGTAAAAAAATATCGTTGCTAGTTGCAGAATCATCAACTCATCTAAGATACATATTTTCGCAAAATCGCTCTACTGTAAAATTATGTTATTGGCGCTTACGTCCATTTGTCAGAACAGCGACGATATGTTGTGAATCAGTCACCTCATCGGTTTTATACGGTTTTGTACAACATCAACAACTCCTACCCAAAATTAATTTTTAAGCGTGGGAAATGAAGTGATCAGACTTGTGCCATTTCATTTCCCAGATCTCTTATGTGCGATAAAAAAATAAGTAGTCATGTTACATATCTGTTGCTACAGTGAATTCCTCGGTTTTGTACTGCATTAACAACACCTATGCAAAATTAATTCCTTATGTGATTAAGATTTCCTCAAACCACGTGTATCGGATAACCAACCATAGAAATACGCCATTCTTATAATAACAAATGTTGCATAATGAATCAGGCAGCGTGGCTGTCCTAATGAGCTAGCGATTTTAGGTTAAAAGACGTCGTTATATGTCACGCCAAGAGGTAATAAACTGGTTCTTTTTTGCATTAATCGAAACAGCTGAACGAAAAGAAAGTGCATTGTGTAATTTTCCGTTGATATAACAACAAAAGAAAGTGAAACCAGCTTGCTCGGAGTCCTCGTTTGCGCAATGCAAATACAATTTTAATAAAAGAGTTAAAACTCTTCCTCCCGTCACTGCACTGCACTGATGATGCTGCTACGTTCAAAGCAATAGTCCGGTGATCTTAGGTATAACGATACACTCGACAACTACAGCATTTATTGAAAATACGACGTGTCGATGACTTCAAACGCCATCTTCAGGTACGTTATGAGTTATGTCAGGTATTAACGTATTATGATTAGAGTCATTGATGAATATATTTTCCAAGAAGGCGCACAGCTCTATGTTATATTGCAAGCTTACATTTTACTATCTTCACATCAATATTGTCAATTTCCCATTAGCTTTACAAGCAAACGACACCTCGACCTCCCTCGTGATCACTGCTAGAATTGTGTAATGTCAGGATCTCTCAACGACGGAAAAGGAGATGGCGGTACAACCCGACAGGTAGCAACGCGACACCACAAACAGGTGGTCACCGCATACAGGGTATCCCAAATTACTTGCAGCGGTATACCTCATGAGAACAATTCAGCTGGGATATTCCCAAAATCCAGACTGTTGCAGTTTAGCTAAACCAACTTGCTTCTCTTAAATAGAATATTCTATGCATTAGTCAGTTTGTGAATCGTACGCTAGATCCGGAATCGTGTTCGAGATATCTCAGGCCAATTCATTTTTAAAATTTTTCCCACATTTTTGCCTTTGCTATATGATTTGCTACGATTTTCTGATAATAGGAGACCTAGTTGATCTTATTCCAGATTAGGATAACAAAGAATGAAGGATGGTGAAAAAAGTATGAAATTTAGGTTTTAAGAACTCAAAAAGTCAATTTTCTGAGAAGAGAAGCTGCGTTTTTTATAATTTCTTAGTATTGAGCAATGAAAATAAGGTTAGCTCTGTACACAGTTGTCTATTTCGCAAATTAGCAATTTCTTAGATATATCCTTAAATGCTCGATGAGACTTTTTCGATCAGCTGGTCTCAGTTGGCCACGGCCCTTAGTACTTTCCTTCATGGAAAAATGACATTATTTTATACAAAAAGCCGCATGGAGCATTTAAGCAAACAGATAGGCCATATTGCGAAGCAGACAACCTTATACAGAATTAGCCTATGGTCAATGTCTAGCTTTCATTCTTTTTTTGACTACCAAATACTATCCTGGAATAATCACGTCTACATTTCTATAAACAAATCGTAAAAAAATTATATTATAATTTGTTGGCCGGCATTTATCACTTCTTACATAAAGTTTGAGACATGTAAGAACACACAGTTATACATATAAGAATTGGTAATATAGCAGATTCTAAAAATGTAATAACATACGAGGCGTTTCATTCAAAATGAACAAGTTGGTATCCACTTGCGGTACAACCGGAAGGCCAGCATTTTAATGTTTTAGTTGAATAGTTCTCAATTCTTACACTATACCCCCAAATTTTCATATTTGTCTTTCTCTTTCGAGTAATCGGTTGCAACTCAATGTGTGGGACACCCTGTATGTAGCTATATGCATAGGTGGTTGGTGGCGCCACGATGAGTACGCTTTCAATTAAATTGGGTACCTCCTGGCGCAATATATTGAGCAATGTTGAAATATGGTGTAAAGTTTGTTTAAAGTGAGCTTAAGATGACTGTACTAATAGTAAATTGTTGTTTACGCCAGGAGGGCAATGTAGCGTACCAGCATACATAATAGTATGCAGCACTGTGATTGAATCATTGCGCATAACTTCGCCAGATTGACTCGTGTATCTGACCTGCAGTCACCCAGATTCACTACACAACGTAGCTAGTCAATCAAGAGCCCATATTTCACCAACATACGTTTTTGCATCTGACACTGGTGATCTGTGGTTTACTACTGTAGCAGCCTCCGATGTAGAAACCTCAAAGCATTCAAGAAATCAATTCGTTTTATGTATGTGTACTCATGTGTACATGAGCAAGAGGAAGTAGAGAATGTTTTTGGAAGTGCAAACATTTGCTGTATCGTCGGATTTCCCTACCCAATGCATGCTTCCGATGAGGTTATTTATACCTTCTTCAGGTACCTCATCCTGTTTGTGGAAAACTGTAAGAGTTTGTGGAGGGTAGTTAAATATGTCACTCGTCTTTCCATCATATCTCACGCATGTTCAGTGAGCGAAAGGTCTTGAGATCTAGGAGGTCAAGGAAAGAGACGGACTGTTATTGCCGTAGTCTATTCCTTGTGGCTCTAGTATTATGGGAACGGGCATTAACTTGTTAGAAAATAGGGTCTCCAAGCGTTTCGACGATTGGAAAAAAGTAGAGTTGCACTATTTCCTGAACATACCGTTGCCTCCTCTAATGAATACTAGAAGTGACTCAGTACCGTATTTAACGGCGCCCTCATCTCTAACTGCTAAACTATGCTGCACGTGATGTGCAACTGAAAACTTTACACTCCGCCTTCCTCCATGACGCCTTCTGACCAGTGCTTGTCCATTATTTATCACTACCGAACAGAGATTCGTCACTATAACAATATCCTAGAGTTCATCATCCCGGTCTCAGCTCTGTCGTAAGGGTCTCGAGTCAGCAGCCGTCGCGGCGAAAAACATAAGGTAAGGCTTGTATTTGTATGTCACTTGCTACATACTATAGGGGTCATGGTTTGAGGCACCATTTCATTTGTCACCTCCAGTTTCCACTAGGAGGTCATATTAGAAACCTATCCTTCACAATATCTCCGAACGCTTGAAAATTTTATTTTCCATCAAGGTAATGGCCAGCCCATATTGCTAGAGCTGCAACAAACTGCGCCAATAACGGTCAAGTGAACCTTCTTCCTTGGCTTCCTAGATCTTCAGACCGTAAGCCAATTGAACATATATGTGATATAATGATCATCCACCAATATGAGCAGCTCTTAGCAACCACGCATGGTTAACCCGAGACAAGATATCTCAAGACGACATAAAATCACCTTTTTAAGAAGGACGAGCGGACTCCTAAACTATGGCGTCAAGGTGGCTCAACACACCACCACCGAAATCTAGCAAATGATCAAACTTCAAAACTCAATCATGACTACCTGTTGTTTATGTCTTCACTGTAAGCAAAATATTCTGTTTTCGTTGTCACTAAACTCAATCACGACTACCTGTTGTTTATGTCTTCACTGTAAGCAAAATATTCTCTTTTCGTTGTCACTGAGTATAATTCTAACACTGCCGAATTCTTAAAGTTGATGTACGGAACAAGCAGCTGGGCTGATAAAGGCAGTAATGGGCTTTATGACCTTCTTGAACCCCAAGGAACTTTATTGAAGAAAAGCAGTTTTTAATTAACTGAAGCCTTATCAAAGCACCCTTGAGTATACAATGGCTGGGTAGATACTTCAAGATTACTTTGATAAAATAATTTTTGTGCCTTTTGTTTCAGTTTAGCATTTTGTTACAGTCAGCATTTTACAATAGTTTCATCAATATTATCAGTAGGCTTGGAGGATTAACAACTCCCTCTACTAGTCTTTTCACTAGATTCTTCCCTTCGGGAGCCGTCAGACCAAGTCCTCCATGATACTGCAGCTTTTTGGGCCTGTTGTACCTTGCTCCTCGAACTTATGTCATATTAGAAGGCCTATAGCTGCACAGAGTTGGTTTATACTCAGATCTGCTGCCGTATTCGGTCATGGCTCTGAGATAAATTCTTTCCCATGCCTACATTGTTGTGTTCCGTCAGTGTGTTCAGTTATTTCCAAATCAGTGCAGATGCCACTATAGGGCTTCTTGATGCCTTGAGTGACCCCCGATGGCCAGTGTTCATGGAGATCCCTAATTGATATACTATGCTTAGGATTTAACATGTTCCCTGGTCAGTTTTTGTCTCGTCTGTGTCAGCTTATTTCCCCTTGCAGATTGTGCCTTCGGTGTCTCCTATTTTGGTCTCCGAGAGAACTATGTGGTCCTTGTTTCATCGTAGATTTGTAATGATAAGAAAAGTAGAAAAATAAGAGCAAGGTAATTAGGTAAAAGTAATTAAAAGGACAAGATGTATCTGGAAAGAGAATGGTAAACTTAGGCCCAATTTCACCATTAATATTATGAACCAATGGGAAAATACCTTATCGAAATGTAATTTGACAGAAGCTGTCAAAGGTCTCTGAATATTAGTAATTTCTATTGAAATACTGAATAAAATCGTGAAAGTTCGACTTTATTATAAGCAAGACCACTTTTTGATTCCAACATGAAGCTTTTGTACAGAAAAAACAGGACAACCTTCATGTATTTTGATATATGTTATAGGTTTACATTTAACATTCCGTTATCCCCCTCAGCGAATGGGAAGGCGGCAAATAATAGGTAGATTTTCTGGCTGTTAAATTTGGCAGCAGATTTGGACGTTTGTTAATGCATGGCACTCTTGAATTTACCAACTTCAATATACTGAAAGTTATCATTACATACCTGTTGAATAGTGAGGATTTGTCTGTATTTTGCAAGAAAATAGAATATAAAATACATTCCATCCAATACCTCATCTTCCTTTACGTCATAATAGTAATCATTTATTAATTTATGGAATGATGAATTTCTTCAAAGCAATAAAAACATTATGTCCTCTCCATCCTAAAACACAGATGATATGTGTAAGACGTGTCAAACCCTACATCTCCCTAATGCATAATGCAATTACTATGGACATAGACAAAAAATTATGAAAGATGTTTCACAAATAATATCTTTTAAGTCCAAAAATCATAAAACCTAGTAATGTTTATTGTTTGTCTTTTTTTGACTTTCGATCACGTCCCGTGGCGGAGGGTGCGAAATGAATCTTTTAAATTTGCTGGTTTTGAATTTTTTTCGTGAACATTTACTAGGTATCATGATTATAAGCATCTTTGATAGATTGCTCGATCCGGAATGGGAAAGATCTCCTATTTATGAAAATATTTTTGGTATCATCTAACCGTTGCAATCAGCGTGACATATGATTTATAGCATAACCCGCTGTCCTATCAATACAAATTTAACATACAGATCGCCTAGCCGTGGGAATGCAGTGGTCGGGATGAATATCACGGCAGCAACTGATGATTTGGGCATGTCTGGTAACAACGTATGAAGTGAAACTCGCTAGCTTCACAAATTTGAAGATTTTGAACAATTTCTTTGAAAATGATGAAAGATATGTCTGGTTTGGCAGGGTAATGTCGCAGCCAAATGGCAGTCACTCTTTCTGACACAGTCCGGATCGAAAGATGACGATATTCGTAAAATGTATTGATACGTCTAAATATAGGATCGTATCAAACATCCCTACTATCAAGATGTATAACCCAAGGTACCGACGGAGCTATTTCGCGGCGTCATGGAAATAATTTCAAATTTTCATTTGCATTTTTTCAAGTGTTGTGCAATGATTTTGGGAAAAATGTCACGAATAGTCTTATAAAGCATAGTAGAGTATATTTCAACAGTTGGCGGAACTTACTCCACTGGGACCAGGAGGGTGAAACGGGATAACAATCTGGCAACCTTGTCACACCCTCACACAAGTCACCGTGTTGTCATTGAATAGTATGGAATTAAACCTTCAGAGTATATGTTTTGTGACTGGTACCAAGAGTTGACAGATCCCACACATGTGTCACTCGTTGAAATGCAATAATCAGCTGTATTCAAATAATGTCTAATAAAAATATAACCTAGAATGTATACTCGTGAGAAAAGAAAAATATGGCAAATTTGTAGTTTTTTTTTGCAGGGTTTAGGTTTGCTGGTAGCTTTAAGGCATATATTTGGGAATTTCTTAATCGCTGTGAATATAGTGTGGATGTTTGTTCAGTTCCTGAACAACGAAAAATATTCAACTTTATGGGTGTATGGATATCAAAAAACCTGAATGGTTTTGTGGAAATATCAATCTAAGGTGCCATAATGGTTCTGATGAATGGCAAGTAAATGAATGAATGTTTTAAAACGAGCAATATCTTTGGGTAGAGCCTGTCATCAAGTAGGTGCTTAATGGCTATCTGCAAGAGGTTTATAGGAAAGAACACCCAGTATCGCATATCAATTGAAGAAAATAATATAAACATGAATAAAAAATCAACAGTAGTAATTAAAACATGAATTTTATTCAAAAATTCAACATTTCTTTAAATTTTGACTGAATTATATGTAATTTCTTAATATTCGATGAGCTGGTGATGTTTCAATGACAAGCTGTCATCTCATACTTTGACAGTATTTTGTTTTCAACATTTCATAGCTATTGGTTGCTAAAATATGTTGATTGGAACTTGAAGCTCATTCGTTGTATTTGACGGTCTGTTACCCTATAGGTGAAGAATAACGGACTGTTGTTGGTGAAATTGGACTTGGGGAGAGGCAAAGAGGCACCCGGAAGACTATAGGAAAAACGAAACTAGTCAAATTATCTGTCTCGATAATAAAAATGGCTTAGCTAAGCCGTGAGTAAGCTGACCAAGCAAAACGCTTGACAATGAACCTACCCAAAATATCTTGTTGGGGAAGCCACCTCTCCAGCAGGACGTTGGACGGTAGATCCGACATATCATCAGCACTTTCGTATTTCCACAGCACCCTCTGGGGTAGATTTCTGAACACGACCATTAGCATCTTTCGCAAGTAAACAGGCATATTGGCTGCCTTCACCGATGAGCCCATGCTGAAGTAGATGAAACCTGCATCACCTGAACCTCTGATGAATTCTTCCAGGTGCTGGAAATAAGTAATCCTGTCACGATTACAAAATTATTGGTCAACAAGTAAGATATTTTGTAGATAGCTTTGAGTGAAGTTTCAGGTACAAATGCTGTTGTATAGCATAGTCACTACATTGTGGAATTTTTAAAAGCACTACTTGGAACAGCTTCTAGTTCAACTGATGATTGTAAGTGTGATATCAGTTGTAATGTTTTGAAGCCCAAATCTTTCAGAAAGTGAAGATCCAAAGCATTTTTTTTCATTGATGACCCACTAGGACAGCGTTTTTCAACAGTTTTGAAGATAGTTACCATGTAAACCAAAGAAAACATTCATACAAAGTATTTTACACCATCCCGAAAGATGAGAAAAGGCTGTGGCTATGTAGATATGAAATAATGTGGTTCGATAGGCTTCCAAGGAAGACTCAATGATCTGTAACAAATCCCCACGATTACGAGTAGTTTACTCATATTAGATAAATGTCATTTGTTTTCACTCACCTCGGGTAGCGGTTTTGCTTTCTTGCAGTGAATGCATGCTATTTCCGCAACATTAGGTAAAAATGGTCGGGGGTAAGTCACTGTAGCGTGACCGTTCTGTAAAATGAAGCTGACGTTCTTCGAAAGGTCGTACACGAGCGGAACATCGTCGCCAAAATGTTTTCTGACCACGTCTTGCACGAACCATCTGACCTGGAGTGAGAAGAAGATGCTATCGGTTTCTGAAGTTATTCATGGGTATAGCTTTGTGAGGCCATAGCTTAGTTCAAGATAATAATAATAATAATAGGATTCGTTTTTAGCTATCAGTATCAAGAATTGCATTTTTGTACTAAAATGAAAAAAAGCAAAAAAAAAACAGCAAAAGGAATCAGTGCGCAGCTTACGACTGATCATTTTACGAGCCCTATCATCATAGCGCATTAAAGTAGTACATGGTAATTGCAAATAACAATCATCACCAAAATCGAATGATAACAAACGATAAAATATAAAAAAACAAGGGAAACAATCTAAAATCATCTAGATCATTTATACAGACAACTCAAATAGAGTATACACATAATATCGCTCGACTAACTGGAGTCAAGGAGCTTTTTATATTTAAATTTCATAGTTGACATTGGAGCTTCTTTGATATATGTGGGAGCTTGGTTGTACAATCGACAAACATTAAAGAGAAAGACTTAGGCCCGTATCGTCAGTCGTCCCTACAATTGTAGGGCTCCTTTATGGCCTCCTTGATTGTCATAGTTTTCTACTTCTCCGTGTCAGAACTCTATTTTGAGGTTATGTCACAAACATCTATTTGCATCAAATTGTGCTTGCTTTTGAGTTATATCATGTTATATCAACCTGAAATTTCCTACAATTTAAAAAGAAAACATATCTTCACAATAGGAGAGCGCTGGCGCTGACGCGGGACAAGTGTAATCTAGAAATTTTGAAGGATAGAAAGGAGTATGACAATCAAGGAGGCCATAAACGCGCCCTACAATTGTAGGGACGACTGACGATACGGGCCTTAGTGAAGATAGCTGATTTATGTGATGGCTGTGGAATAAGGCCTCTAAGCCTAACATCAACATCATAAACATAAATATACTAAGTGACATATAAATCCGAACACCCAGTTTAACCCTTAACTGGTCCGGCGTCGTCTGAGAGACTACGCCGTAATAACAAATCCTGTTTACGCGCCACTGGAACCGCCTACAGACGCATCACTCCGTCTAATCCTTCCCTATTGGTCACTTGAAAATAGGCGTATTTCGGTAAATTTTGCTCATTTGTGTCCTAAGTTAGGAGCGATTATGTTTGTGCGGTAGTCTGTCAGACTACGCCGGACCGTTTGCGTTACTTTAGTACGTGGTGCACAGATACGAAGTTATGGCTGGGCCATCTAAACGGGTACGTTGGGGCGATCGGGATTATGAAGAAACTCTAGCTAGGTGGAATGACGAATTAACTGATGGTAGTGATATAGATGACGTGTCGGAAGACTATAATATTGAGTCAGAGCATGACACTAATTCTGAATTATCTGAATGTGAGGAGGACAATGGGAGTGATGAGTTGGACTCACCTGAAAGTGAAAAGAAATATATATATGGCAAAAATCGGTACAGGTGGTGCACTTCAGAAGTTCGTCCATCATCTAAGGTCCGAAGACACAATATTGTCATGAAGGTACCTGTACTGAAGTCAAAGGCAAGTATGCTTGGCGAGACAGCAGACCCCCTGGCTGTTTGGAGCTTACTTTTTAGTGATAATATTTTGGAACATATTACTCAGTTCACTAACAAAAAACTAAATTCAATGAGTGAAAAATATTCTGCTGTTTCAAAACATCACCTAAGGGAAACAGATATAACCGAGTTGAAAGCTTTTTTTGGATTACTTATCTACACAGCTGTATTCAATTCAAGTCATGAACATCTGGACCATCTATTTGCAACAGATGGAACAGGTAGGGACATATTTAGAGCAGTTCTCAGTAAGAAAAGATTTGCTGTCCTTTTAGCTGCTATAAGATTTGATAATCGGGACGATAGAGAGGAGCGCAAAAAGGATGACCCTGCTGCAGCTATATCCTTTGTATTCAACAGTTTCATAGAGAATTGTCAAAGTGTTTATGGATTAGGGCAATCTGCTACTGTAGACGAAATGCTGGTTAATTTCCGTGGGAGATGTCGCTTCAAGATGTACATGCCAAACAAGCCAGCAAAATATGGTCTCAAAATTCAGTGCTTGACAGATGCGCGTAATAGCTATTTATACAATGCTTACATCTACTGCGGAAAAGACTCGGATGGTTTTGGTCTCAGTGACGAAAATAAGAAACTTTTAAAACCTACGCAAGCAGTATTACGCCTAGCAACACCACTCTTCAACAGCAATCGCAACATTACAGCTGATAACTGGTATTCATCAATACAGTTAGTGGACGTCCTTCTAAAAAAAAATTAACATATGTAGGGACCCTAAAAAAAAATAAGGCCGAAATACCACAGACTTTCCTACCCAATCGCAAAAGAGCTGCAGGATCAACACTCTATGGATTTAGGGAGGAATGTACAATAATTTCCCACGTTGGGAAGGTTGGAAAAGCCACAATTCTGATATCTTCCATGCACGACAGAGAATACACTGACCAAGTAGCTAACAAACCCGAAATAATCACTTATTATAACGAAAATAAAGGAGGAGTCGATTCCATTGACGAAAAATGTTCTAAAAGTACATCCAGTCGTCGTAGTCAAAGATGGCCATTGACAATATTTTTTCGTATCTTGGATATTTCCGTGGTAAATTCCTATATTCTCCATCAGTGTTATAAAAACAATCCTAAAATAACAGAAAAAAGCGATTTCGGAAAACAGTTAGCTATGCAGTTGGTGGAAGATCATATGAAACGACGCATGACAATGATGAATATACCACGGGAAATTCGAACTATGATTAGAAGGATACTTAGAGTCCCGGAAGAACAAGAAACTAATGATGGAGGAAATCTTGTCCTTCAAAAACGTAGGATTTGTCATATATGTCCTAGCAACAAACGGAGGATGACCAAATATCTATGTATTTATTGCAAAAAACCAGTATGCTTGACTTGCACGAATCCCCTCTGCAAAAACTGTACCGCAAATCTATAAACTTACGGCCTTGCTGGAATGAAAAATACCTTCAACATTGCATATCTGCATCTGTCTTATGGTTATATATTGCCTTATAAACGAATTCTTGGAAAAAAATATCAGCTCATTTAAACTTCTCTTACTGATATGATTATTTAGGAAATAATAAGTTTTTAGTTGTAAAATTATGTACCTTTTTTTTTCTTTTATTTATATGTCCTCAATTCAATGCCCAATCACTTGTATTTTGACGAAGTATATATCATTTATGTTCAAGCTATCGACAGTTTTTGAATAAATAATTACATTCTTTTTTTTGTGTTTTATTTTTGCGTTTAAAACGTCGTCGTCTCACAGACTACGCCGGACCAGTTATGTCACTAGTCGAGCACCGGACCAGTTAAGGGTTAAATGGTTTTATTTTAATAAAATTTTGTATAAGTAGTTAATAAAGCATAATGAGTAAATGATAAAAATTTCAAAATGATTGCACTGCTTTAAAGCCCTTTGACCTTTAATAATGTGTGGATGCACCCTGATGTGCTACGCATTCTCCAACGCGCCTAGGCATGCTTCTGATCAGGTGGTCAATATCCTCCTGTGGTATCTCATTCCAGGCAACCACCAACGCCTCTCGAAGTGCTTCTAGAGTCTGAGGAGGACGTTGCAAATTGAGCAATCTCCTACCCATCATATCCCACACGTGCTCAATTGGGGATAAGTCGGGAGATCTTGGTGGCCATGGTAACAATGTGACATCATTATGTTGAAAGAAGTCTATTGTGACTCTTGCAACATGTGGTCGGGCATTATCTTGTTGGAAAGTTGTATCTGCCAGGGTGTCAAGATAGGGTAAAAGATGGGGTTCTAGAACTTCGTGGATATAACGCTGCGCGTTCATGTTACCTCTGATGAAGATTAAAGGTGACCTGGAACCATAAGCTATAGCACCCCAAACCATAACTCCAACAGTGTGATGAACATGTCTTTCAACAAAAAGCTGTGATTCCTCCTTTCACCACGTCGCCTTCTAACCCTGGCATGACCATCGTGCATGCCTAAACAAAATCGACACTCATCACTAAAGACAATACTGTTCCATTCCTGATCCCAGAGTGACCGTTGTCTGCACCACTCAAGGCGATTACGTCGGTGTTCTCGAGTTAAAGGGAGGACCCAGTGTGGCCGGTACGAAAACAAGCCAAAACTTCTCATTCGTCGGTAAATACTTCGCATGCCAATAGGTCTTCCGTGTTCTGCAAACCATTCATTTGCAATGGACCTGGTAGTGGAGAAACGGTCCCTTAAGGCCAATAATCTTAGGCGGCGATCTTCACGGTATGTTGTTCTACGGCGGCGTCCAGTGCGTCTTTGCGTACGGCCTTCTCGAAGCCATGCCTGACAACACCTAACCACAGTGTCTACACTTCTTTGCACTCTAACTGCAATTGCCCGAAAAGAAAGTCCAGCTTCCCGAAGTCCCACTATACGGCCCCTATCAAACTCACTAAGTTGACGAAATCGTACAGGTCTCCGTTCTCTAGGCATCGTAACCGATCGTAAAGGATGTCAAGAACCAAAATCCGCCAACGTTGATTCTTTACTGCGGCTGAAATATTCATTTTTAGAGCGTTAGTGAATTAAAAAAAAAGCAGTATAAAAACCGGAATGTCCAACTGACGCTATAGTAAGAAAAGCTAAAGGGCCAAGCCGTTTGAAAACAATAAATCATTTCTCTTGAGACCCTATAAGTTTGTCGTTGGAGAGGGGGGGTTGTTAATCTGAAAAAAATAGAAGTAGATGGCGCTAGCTGGGTTAGCAGTCATGTCTAAATAGCTTAGGGCTAGGTACCCTGCATTTGAGAAGAATATTGAAATTAAAATATTTCCTAACCTCAAATTCATTCATTAAATCTACCAACACTAGCACTATCTAGCAACAGCTGTCGTTACAGCAAACGCCAAGTGTGTTCTGATAGTTGCGACTTTCCTTTACATAACTTAGGGTTTTTGTAATAATAACCAAATTTTCTTACTAACACATAATAACCAAAACATTTAACTCCAAAAACAAAAATCTGCGATGCTACTGAGGCCCTGCCTCTAGCATATGATTATGCACAAAGCTGCTGCGTACATCAGTAGCCAAAACAAGAGCCACGTGCCATGAGCAATATGTCTACACATGTTTAGATTGTTTTCCTGGATACCTCCATCCTACGCAGTGCAGGTTTATTCATCTGGTACAAACGCCATTTGTAGGAATGTCAATGTTGGCACATTGGAAGACCTCAAATTGTTATAAATTGGGGGAAAGTTAACAAACATGCGTTTCTGACACCAAAAAATAGAGTAGATTTATAGGGAACATGTAACGGGACGGTAAAACTTAGTTTCTTCTACAAAATCGCGTTAAGTAGATTGACTCTGTACTTCCTACGTAACGCTGTCAGCAGTTCATAGAGAATTATGTTCAGCACAAGTTAACTCCTCTGACGCCTATATAATGAGTCCATGGTTTCGACCTATTTGATAGCTCTGCGAATTAGAAATTTCTCCCCAACCTCACCGACGTATTGACCATTTAGCAGCATCACTGAGTAACGGTAGTCAGCCATGAGCCAGTACCTCCGATGAGCGGTGAGCGGTTAGACGCGAGACCACCACACGTGTTATGTGTTATACTACAACCAAAACACTGGGATAAACCCTCCACTATCCCCTATAACCCCAGCTCCGACATTCAATGGCTAAAAATATATAAGTGGATCTAAATGTCAGAAAACGAAGATGCGATTCTTATTTCTCACTTTTGTTGTCTGTAACAACGCTCCCACTGATTTATCTTTCAAAAACTACAAAGCTGTTTCGTCACTGGCTTAGTAGTAGCTTTGTGTCATTTCATCAAATCCAAAGCAAGGATTAGCGGAGAGACAGACAGAACGACGGAAATGAGTGACACTATTTTTCATGTTACTTCCAATAAGCATAAATCTTATTTTGACCATTTTTCGCCACTGAAAAACAACTTTCAGGGCACCCTATACAGAGATCGCGCCTGTCTGGTCTAATTATGGTCGTACATTCCCAAACTCGAACTTTAGTAACGGTTCGGCTGTCTGCTGTTTGCTTTTGCTCCTCTTACTATGCTCCAAATTAACTCTAACACTTTACTATGAAGCAAATATAAATAAATAATAGGTCAACTTACCGTAACACTATGCAACAAGTTAGCCGCCATATACCACATGGTATTTCTAGTCCTCTGCAGAAGGTCCATGTCGTCCGTAAGGTCAATCGACAGGAAAGGGGTGAAGGAGTACGGCAAAGGGTTGCCGGCTAAGGACAGGCTGCCCGTGTAGAAACCTACAGTGTTGATGTACATGAAGGGCGATTTGAAGTAGTGTGCGAAGCCAAGGGCGCATTCTGGAAACGCTCCGTCCAGGATCAGAAGGTCGAACTTCGTGCTGTCGTGGAGAAGGGATTTTGTTTCGGTGTCGGACAGAAGTGCATCACATGACTGTAAATTTTTTTAAATTAGTCAATTGGCTACAGTATAGTTTCATAGTGAACAGTACCAATATCCCCCTTTCGTCCTTTCAATTCACTTTAAAACTGTACAAATAATAACAAAATTCCGATCACCAAAGAAAGCACATACCACACAATTAAAATTTGATTCCAATAAAAAGTACTTGACAAGATCCTGCTAGGTGCCTTAGCAGCCTGAACTCACATATTTATTTATTTCTAAATTAGATTTAGTAATACAATCTATTTATTAGCTTATGCTGCAATTGACACACACTCTCTCCCACAACCCCCAACGTCCAACCTTTAACCCCTGCAAACATTTTTCTGAAAATGATCAGGATCTCTTGAAGATTCAAAAAACAAAGCGATTTTAATTCTTTGTTTGTGGTGGTCTTTTTCTGCGTGGCGACTGGACTAATTTTTGAAAAGTATAGAGCCTAATCGCTCTTGGCGTATTAGTACCATTGTGTGAAATTTCATCAAAATTCGAGCAGTACTTCCCAGGTTATAGATTAGCGGACAGACAGGCTCACAGTGGCGTATGAACTAAGAAGTAAGGTTCTTAATGTCACATTTATTACCTTATGTCTTTCAATGGTGCTGCGGACATACATAAATAACTACATTGCTTCTATTGCTTTAACCCGATTTGATTGCTTTGTCCAAACACAAAATTAATTAAGTTTTTTCTGATATAATCCAGGAATTATTACGAAGGTCTTGTTACAAATTAAGCCTTACGGGGGCCATCTATTAGCGTACTTATTCTACTTCAAAACAGTTTCTAAACTCAACTGCATCTCGGAATTCTCAGGCAGTCTGTGAGTTCTATTTTCAAGTCATGTATCCAAGACGTAGATTTATTTATGTTGCCTAATAATTTATTCTCAGGACGTTGCATTCGCCACTCTTTCGTGGCTTCACGTTTGAAAGAAGTAATTGCTCCGGGGAATAGTGGCCGCCGTGATTTTAGACACTCCGAGGCACGATTGTTTGCTGCAAAGTGAACAGATACCAGCAGTTATGCTACTAACGCGGAGTGGTCCGATTATCGTGGAAAACAGTAATGAAATAATTCTTGTACCCCGACCCCTTCCCGATTTTTGAGATCAAGGATTTCGTTTCTGCCATTGCTAGAAATGTATTTTTCATATAAAACTGATATGCCTACCTAAATATTTCGAAAACTAGGCATCCTAGAAAAAAGTTTCAAATACAAGTTGTAAGGTTCCGAGGGGGCAAAATAATGGTGACCATGACCCTGACCGCGACCGTCAAGGTCATTTTCAGATCAAGCGAATATTTTAAAATGTAACTCCCACTTTTTACACCGGAATTGGAAAAGCTAAGGAATCTTTGAGTACAAATATAACCTTACCGTGACCTTCAAGGTCGAATCAACATATTGAAAACAAGTTGTCCTAGCAAAAAGGTTCGACAGCAAAGTTGTAAGCTTTGTAGAGGCCGCCCAAAGGTTACCTTGACTAGGCTGGGCATAATAAATCCAAATACATTCCTGTTCAGTGCCGTTTTTGTATTTATTTCAGTCCAGTTACGAATATTTCTCAACCAGGATTTTTGCCTCCTTCTACATAGAATCCCGTTTACCCCAAATTTCGCATTTTATGATCAGCTTAAGCAATCTTACGTCTTTTACTTGTGGCTAACAGTTTTCGATTTTGTTTTCGGTTGCTTCATTCTAAACGAGACCTGTCTATGGTATTTTCAAAACACTTCCTAAGAGCCACATCTCAAAGGTTTCTTTCCTCAAGAGAGCAATATTTAATGTCCAGGCTTCTATGCCATGTAACAAAATAGAATGTATATAACACTTAACCATCCGGCATTGTGTTTGTACAGTTTTGTTATACCATTGATCAGGTAATACACACTACCCGAAGACACAGAACACAAAGATGAATGTTAAAATCGACTTTGAAAAGGGATACTTGACGTGAATCGTGTGTAGGTACAGAAATTATCGCAACTTGACAAGATCTGTTCTCACTAGCACTGTTCTTGAGCGTACTTCCAACTCAAAATTGATATCTTGTCGTGTGTGACACTTGAGGACTCTGTTTTGTCCACCAGTTCAATAACTTCAGTCATTACTTTGATTCGTGTCTTAATTATGCCCCTCTTACAGAGGACTGCTGTTACTGTTTCCTTTATATTTGACGTACGATCTTCCAGTTCTTGCGTGGCACATGCCCTGTTTAACTTTCCAACTTGTTTGCTGAACAGTGTTATTGACTTCAACTAATTTTTTCTGTAGCCTGTTAATTCCAATAAAAATCAACTTTTACAATTTTAATACAATACGCAAGCAGGGCGCCTTCAGCTTCGCCGTCACCAGCCTTCTTTAAAGAAAAGTATGGTTTTGTGAAGGTTGCGAGTACCACATGAGAATTATGAGTATGAAATGTTTTCGATTCAGTCACCCAAGTATTCGAGATATGTAAGCTTTGATTTTCAGTGCCAGCTACAATTTTGCGCTCCCAGCAATTATTGTAATTGTTGAGAGAATGAAGCAATCATTGCCAATCCTCCAGCGAATTAGTAGGTGAATTATTGAGAACAGTAAAATATTCTATTCCGTATACCTATATACCATTTTCAATATACGTTTTGACGTCTATTGAGGCAAGTTACTGATGACATCTATTGAAATCTGTTGTGTTGGTAATATTGAATAAGGTGAGCCCCAGGGCTATATCTAGAAATGGGGGACGGTTGAACATAATCAAAGACTATTCATTTCATATTATTATTACCTAACTTGAAATATAGCCATAGCCACTAACACCCATATTGCTTGTATCGTTTTTCCCTTCTACGTAGGAACTTTTCTAAATAAATGGGTTGTTGGAAAGTATGAATCCGTACATACGGGCCCGCAGGAATTTTTTCAGTGGGGCCTATCAAAGGCAAGAGTTAAGTTTTTGTGAAAATGTACCTGCCCTCAAAACTTTTTGAAGAGAGAGGGATAGCAAATTTTCTCAGGACGAGGGAAGTAGGGATCAAATCCTAAAAATCCTCAAAATTGTCCACAACGTCATGTCCAACCAAATTCCCAGGGAAAGAAGGGTAGGCCCACCAAAAAAAAATCGATTCCGCGAATCTGGCGTTGACAGGTCTGTCAAAATTGTTTGTCACTTGTCGATATGGGGTGTTTTGAATATTACAAGATATTCAGCTGTTGCTTGCTCTCACGTTTAACGTAGGTAATGAAGCATGGAAAAAATACCATACGTGTATGGTTTATCTGAAGTCACTTGAAATAGCATAAAAACATGGTCGGCGCGTCCTTTATAATTTCATGACGTATCATAGGCGTGCGGTTATTTATTTAGAACGATAATAATAATGTTTTTATATCACAATAAATGGATTTTACTATCTTCTTATTTTTTTGATTTGTGATAAAAAATACTTGTATTGGGAGTTTAATTTATGTTGACTGAAAGTTAAGAAATGGAAAAATTACAGAAGTCCAACGTTTGACATAGGCAAATATTTACATAGCAGGTAGGTATATAAAAAGGTATATAAAGACTTACATTATAGGTATTTAAAACAAGAGTTTCAAGAGAAACTAGCAGACCCTCTATCGATGATCGCTTAACGACATCGATAGAATGTGCGAGGTAAAGGGAACCAACCCGGCGTTCCCAGAGACTGAAACACATGAGGAGAGGTTGTAGCAGACCGCAGGTCACGCACAACACATGGCCTACCGAGACGCTGATGAGTCGGGCCACGCGGAGGTTTAGGGTTTAGTGAGTATTAGGTGATCTCCTCAAGACCCTGGAGCCCCACACACGCCGTAGCTCGTGCTATGGTATGGTGCGTAAATGCATTCCCCCTCGTTAAAAAAAAAAAAAATATTTATATATCATCCTCGCCTTCGGAGCTGTCGCTAGAGTCATCTTGTAGAGGAATTACAACGGGATTTACAGGAGGCAAAACACAATATTCATTTTCTTTTTCAATAATATGCCTAGAACACTGCTTCCATAGGTCTGTGGCAGCAATATGAGATACTGCATCTCTTATTGTGGCCAATAGCGATTCACTTAATTGAGGGGTCTGATTATGTTTTCTTACTTTTTTTTAAAGCAGCCCAGACCAACTCAATCGGGTTAAAAATGCAGTAATAGGGAGGTAGACGTAATACTTCATGGCCATTTTGCTGAAGCAGATTGTCAACAACATACTCTTTTTCAAATTTTTGTCTTTCAATAAGATCCAATAATATGGTTTTGGTTGATTTTTGTGGTATTTCCATTTCCTTATCCTTCATAAAATCAATAATGTTTTGTTTTTTTGTGCCTGTATTCGGAATTTTGTTTTTCTGTTGGGAATGGTATGGCGCATTGTCCATAATAATCACTGAATTTGGGGAAATGTTTGGTATTAACTGCTGCTCTATCCACTTTTCAAATAAGTCGGAGGTCATGTCCTCATGATAGTCGGCACATGATTCTTTGATATTTTTGGCAGATAACAGCAAGGCATTAGGTATAAATCCATTTTCACTGCCAGCATGGAGAATAATGATTCGTTTTCCACGGTTGCATGGTGCATTTAAAATGCACTTGTTGCTGTCGTCAACCCAGCCGTACTGCACCACATCATGGGTATCATACCACGTTTCATCCAGGTAAATCAGATTTCTTTTCTGCTCTCTATAGATTTTAACTTTGTGCAAAAATTCTTGGCGCAATTCAACGATTCGAGACGACTCCATAATCACCATTCTTTTATCTAATTTTTTGTATTGAAAACCATACAGTTTTACTATACAGTGCAGTGAGTCTAAGCATTTGTAATTATAAAAATCTTCAGGATGATCTTTTAATTTATCCCGTATCATTTCTAACGTGGGCACCAAATTTTCTTTATAAAATCCGTATATTATACGACGAATATCTTCCTGAAAACCCACGTCTATTCTTTTTAATTTTTGCCCTATGCGCTTTCTGTGGAAGGAATGGTTGACTACATCTCCCCTTTTTATAACCCGATAAATGGTAGACCGACTGATTTTTGTCAGGATACAAATTCTGTTTAAAATTTGATTTTACGAGGAATCTGGATTTTCGTTTTTCAGACAATCATACATATTTAGGATTACTCTTTGGGTCTGTTCCTCTAAATCTTTATGAAAGAATTCTGCCTGCACAGGTTCATCAACCATCTCCTCGTGGCTTGGAGCATTTTCCCAAGGTCTCCAAAGAGCCATATTTAGGACACACAAGAACAATCAACACAACAATTAAATCAACAAGTAAACTGAGTATTCAAAAGTCAAAAACACACAAACTAATAAAATCAATGAAAAAACACGGACAGACTAAAGAAAACACGTTTATTCACCGCTACACGGCACTGGCTAAACTGTTTCAATTTTCAGTAGCCACCTGCACTTGTTCAGAGCTCTGAAATACACGCTTTCTCATTGGCTATGTCCACGCATAGGCGTGCTTTACGCCACGTGGACCGGTGAAACTGCGTTTGATCTCTTATACGGGGGGATATTTGCTGCGAAATTTGGTGATTTTTGCAACAACAGAGCGTGTTAAATATAGATATATAAAACGCACCCGGTATTTCACAGTGTTTCAAGTGACTTCAGATAAAGTATACATAGGTCATCCGTTTATCGTCTGCTTATAATCGCATTGATTTAAATAAGTCCATGAGGAAAGCTGCAATATTCTTATTTTAACATCTATTATCTTAGAAGGTTCTGTTCAGAATTAAGGACAATACACAGCTTTGTTGTGGATAAGCATGTTTTGAGCTAAGGTTATAACCAGTGATTCTTAACGGATGGCGTCACGACATTTGTATGTTGCCGTCATATCCATTTGAAGAAAATTCTGCTTTAGGCTACACATTCTTGCAAAAATAGACCAACAGTTATGATGACGCCACACCTGTCGTATGTCATAACTGTGAATGATCTCAGATTGCAGTGCTTTTAAGTTTACATACGCGTTTATACTGTACATTCTTAGTCTCTGTACCAGATGGCTTATCCCAGCTAAGGCATTAACCTGTTGTTCTTGCTGAAAGATTGCAGAAATTGATAAGGTCGATACAATCTGGTTCATAAACTTGCTCTCCAATCAGGAAAAATAGCAGAAAATTTGGGTTTCTGGACCACCAAGAAATACGACAGAGTAAAAGGCTGTGATATATCACACCGCTGCCAGAGAATAAAACCTCAAATATCTTGTCATAAATAGAAATGACGCCACTTTACGCTCCACTTGAAGCAACTACTAATTATTCATATCAATTATTGTTAGATAGAACAACAACATTACAATGGCCCTTCTTCTATAAATATTTTTCATCTTTAGTGAATAGGTCACACTGCCACATATGAGTAGTTTTCCAAACGTGATACTACCGACGTCCATGTCGCAAGCAGTTTCCTGATATGTCTGAATGACAGTCCGCTCCAGTAAAAGTGACAAGTGTCGCCCACTCAAAGGAGTACCAAGTACTCCCCATGCTACTATGCAGAAAATTGCATAAACCTCAGTATAGTATAGGTCAGACATGAAAAGTAGACAGATGGGTTTTTACATGTTCTCTACTCAGATGGCCGTTATGATCCTGAATGTGACCCTCGGAGCTCCTGCTAAATGCGGAAGGGCCTATCCTGTTTTCTCTTTTGCTTAGTCTCATTTAGGCATAATTTGTGAAGCTTCTACCATCACCTTATCAGACCCAGCTCCATTGAAGCTCCCGGCAAATTGAAGGAAACGTATATTTTCGAGCTTTTCCAATCCTTTGTTCTATAACTAGCTGATTTTATTGACTCACCTCGTGTGCATATCTGAGCATATCCAAAGGATGGACAGGGTCTTCACCTCGCATCCTCGCTCCCACTAGGTCCCAATTGGTGAAGTTCTTCACATAGAAGACCAGACCAGCAGGTGTGATTTCCTCCAATCCGGAAATGGAGAAATCTGCGGGGAAGGCGTTGAGGAAGGTGATGTTGTGACCCCTTGGGATCAGGCCTCGGGCCAGTTCCCAAAATGGAATCTTGTGGGACTTGGTGCCACCCATCGTTATCATCAAGATGTTGGCGCAGGTACATGGGTTCGATATCACAGCCAGCAACGTTGTCGCTATTGATAAGCGTACGGTAAACATTTCTGGAAGGAAGAAAATCTGTAAGTTGTTTGAACGCATCTTTTTCTTTGTTGGAATAGTCACTCTCACATGGAGACAGCAAGGGTGTGGGGTATTTAAATCGCAGTGAGTTTTTGGGTGTAATACGTACTCAGTAAGAGTACTCATACGCCCAACTTGTAAGGTGCATCTCTCAACGATTGTCGAGAAAAAAAAAACCATATAGTTTTTTTCTAGAAAATAAAATTCTTATAATTTGATAATACGTGATGACCCCTTTTTCTAAAGCATCTACATTAACGAACAGGTAATTAAACACTTTTTGATAATTGAATACATGAAATTCAAAGAAAACACATACCAAATACAAAGTTTCTCAATTGTTAAATATTATCATTCATTTTTAGTATATTACCAAATACATGTTATAGATACGACATAATATTTATAGCGTTTATAAAAAAGGGTCATCATGTATTATCATATTAAAAAGACTTTTTTCTTGAAAAAATTATTCCAATTTCATCTTTACAATGGTTGAGGGGTCTAACAACTTAAGCTAGTGAGTATTTTCAGTGGGTACCTATGACACCCAAGAACTCACCATGATTATACGCGAAAAAAAACTTGTAGGAGTATGGTAATTGACTGTTAATATTCAAGGGAACGATTTTGAGTCCAGTTTGTGGAGAAAACTTCTAAAAAAGGTATGTCCACAACGTCCCAACTTTTGAGATACAGGGTGGTAGTGCTTTAAAAAATAAATCACTTCATTTATTAAGAACTGCAATACTACTTTAAAAATTTCAATGAAATGTGGCATACTGTATATTAAGAGGCATTTTTTAATGTGCTGCAATTTTCACAATGTTTATTGAAACCAGGCATTTTTTCTTTCACTTACTAAAAATGAGAGATATCGTCACCACCGCACCCACCACCTGATTTGAAATTGTAATTTCGATTATATTTGTTTTGTTGCTCCCAAATTAAAATCAAAATGGAGGAATTGCTATATTGTTGACAGTCAATAATCGATCGTTACCGTTTGTAGTGTTTCATTGTTTCTAAAAGACAAAGCATAAGTCATGAATGCTTAGTGGATTAATAAATGTAAATCTTTTATATTTTACAATATTCTGTATCCCAGTTTCACACATGCTGATACAAAATATTGTTTTATTTGTAGACACATTCAATACCGTGCGACCCCACTTCTTTACAGACAGTAGAATTTATTTACCTCCATGAAACGAAGTAGGTAATTAAATTGAGCTGGATACCTACATTGGAAACTATAGACCTGTATCAGCTTTTTCAAGTAAGTGGATGTTTCTCAATATTCCTATTTTTGTATGTTATTGGATTATATTGTTCAACAATCCTGCAAGGCAGTTTTAAGGATAAGTGCTCGTCGACTGAATAGATGGGAAAAACTTTGGAAAGATTGCCTCGTCTTTTTCGTGTAATATTAACATCATTTTCTCAACCAACGATGACTGTACTATCAGCGGATGCTCTAAAACGTAGCGCTCGTCGGCTTCAGACGACAACAAGGTTCCATGGTGTAATGGTTAGCACTCTGGACTTTGAATCCAGCGATCCGAGTTCAAATCTCGGTGGAACCTCGATTTTTTTTTAGTTTTTATTCTGTTATAATAGCTTGTACACAAACATGTACTATATGCGTCAAGATTTTTGGAAATATTCATACTTTTTATACATACGTGTAGTTATTTACGCACGTTTTTGCAGTCTAGACAAAATCGACCGCTTTTTCTTGTGATAATTCTAGAAACATTGACATGCGCTTTCACAACAAAATTTCCCTCATTATTTCGATCCTCATGACAAACAAAATACAGAAGTTTAAGGACGGATCATGAATGAAGCATGAGAGTCATTAAAATGGTACTGATATTCGATAATCTTGAAAGAAAATGCCGTCAACTTTTTGGAGAAGTAGAAGTGACTATTGTGATTTCTCTCATATTGATGTTTTATTCCACTGCTTCTCAAGCCCGGTCTTTCAGTCGCAAATTTAACCTTCAAGTCCAACTGATCTGTGATTGTTGGTGCAGCTCATGGATGCCCGCAGAATGGGGACAGGGGGCTGTGGACCCCCCTGGGAATCCGATTAGTCCTTAAAATTTGCATATTTGGCACGATTGTGTACGATTTTGAGGAATTTTAAGAACCCCACCCTGGGAAAAATTTGCTACCCCCTGCTCTCCGAAAAAAAACTTATAAAAAATTGAATCGAAACTTGCGCAAATGTACAGGGTGATGCATTTGAAATTTTTGAGAAATATTACAAATAAGATAAAAGCTGAGGTGTGTAAGATTTCTTCGATATAAAATTCAGCACTCCAAATTTCAAAATGGTGAACTGAGAGGTTGCCGAAGTGGTAGACGAATAACCTTATATCTCAGTAGCTAATTACCAAAACTTTTTAGTATGTTAAGTCAATTTTCTTCTTTTGAATTGGTTTATCCAAATATGCAATAAAATTTGAGGCATTCCAGTTGAAAAATCACAACTTTGATATGTAGGTAGAAATTGGGACACCCTGTATAACGGCCAATATTTTAAAAATGTGCCCTCAAATTTCATGTATAACATCCTATAAATAGATTTTCCCAAAATGTATTTGTTTATGAGTAATATTCCGTCCACACATGGATGGGCCACCTTGTACTGGTGCTTATAATCACTAGTTAATGAGATGTCGGATAAGGCGTCATTTTGAACACGATAGGCACTAAACAATAAACAGTGCAAATTGGAAAGTAAGCTACGCACTTTTCAAAATCCTTGGCCTGCAATCCAGTTCCAAATTCGATACTACTAAGCGTGTTGTGTACTCGGCCGTGAGTATCCTCAATCATAAACATTTGATGGCAGCTCTTGCTGAGGGCTACTAAATAGCCTTATCTTTGCAAATTACCTTAGGTTGGTGAGCAGCAACCATTTGCATTCAAAACTATATTAGTATCATGCTGATTATACATATATGGTGACTTTAGAGCAAAGCTACCGAGTTTACCTCTTCAGTTTACATTTTTTCATAGCCTAATATTCCTGGGCTATTTAGAATCGGAATTTTGAATGTGTGTGGTTGACCTATCCCTTTTTTCGTTTTTTTTTCAACTTCCTATTTAGAGCAGTACTGATTCTAAATCCTTTTCATCTGATAAATTTAGGGTATGTAAAGAGATAACTAAGAAACAATGATTTCTTTTTTTTGTCAAAAAATGCATTTCTAGTGCATTTTATTTTTTCTTCATTCGGAACTTCTTAACAAATATCAGTTCAGCTCTGAAATTGTGTCTGAATATTCCTTTTGAAGAATGAAACGAGTGATTACTTTTGTTCTTGTAACTTTTCCTTTTCGAAAAATCTTTGCTTTTCTTGAAAACTCAACTTGCTGCGAGACGAGGTTTCAAGAAAGTCAAATATTTTTCGGAAAGGAAAAGTGATAAGAACAAAAGTAATCACTCGTTTGATTCTTCCATAAAAGAGGAATATTCACACACAATATCAGAGCTGTACTTATATTTGTTAACAGTTCCCGATTGAAGAGAGAATGCCCAATGGAATGCACAAACAATGTATTTTTTGACAAAAAAAATTAAAACATTGTTTCATCTCTATACACACCATGAAATTATCAGATGAAAAGGATTTAGGACACTGCTGCAAACAGGAAGTTGAAAAGAAATCTACAAAAAGGGACATGCCACCTTAAAGAGACCTGGTACTGAGAAATAGGCATTTGATACACCTTGCTCTACCTACAGTTCATTTTTCGTATTTTTTACTATGAAAATGTAAGAAAAATCAATACTTGTCGTAATTCCCCATAATTCACCGCAATACTGTCAATTGTTTGTTATGCCTGAAATTTCCTGTTGTTTGAATACTGATATCTTTTACACACGGTATAACAATTGTCAGAAAAGCACAACAGCGATGTCGTGGAAAATATAACGTGTCCAAATTCGGTTATTTGGATTGGCACCAGATATTTTTTCGATTACTTTGGCAGTCAATATTATGATGGCATCTTTTCCAAGAAAATCAAGGCTTAAGTGTCTCAATAACAATCAATTTAACATCCCGCAAATGCTAATCATGTAAACAGTATGTACAAATTTGAACTTTCAGTATCTGTTCACGCCACACACGTAATTAGCTAAATCCATTATCCCAGGAGAATCGTTGCGTAAAGCCAATATACAAAGGAATTTCAGCTAAATTTAATGACATTGTTAAATACATAACGTTTCATAGATATGTACATTCGGGTGTATAGGAATTAGTTTATATAAACGCGTAGTTATGATTGTTATGTAACATCCATGAAATCTCTTTGACGACGAAGTTATCGTTGTGGAAAGTAATTGGTACTGCTTGACCCGACTGAACTCTGCAACTGAATTTCGAATCATTGAGCTCAAATTTGGTACCTATACACTGAAGTGGATTTACTGTGCGCGACGCCACTGGCAGAGCGAAAAATATTGTTTTCTGTGATGCCGACCACACAATATGAGATACGCCTGAACAAACGCGTGTTAGGTGTACCTGATACTACCAGGAGCACACACACACTCTTCATGTATTCCTGTCAAGTTTGTCAGCTAACATCATGGATTCTCCAGCAGATGATCTGCTCTTTCTCGCTTTATTTCTTGTAATTTTTACGAAACAACAGACGAAAGAAACGCAAACAAGGGTGTAAGGAATGGTTGAAGAGAAGAAATAGATTTACCCATATCAATCTCCTTAATGAATTAAGACGTGAACCATCCGATTATAACAATTTCCTGCGCATGAACGAATCAGTGTACAACGAGTTGCTGGCACTTGTATCTTCATTGACTAAGAAGAAAGATACACAAATCAGAGCAGCTATATCCCCACACCAAAGACTGACAGCTACTTTAAGGCGGCTAGGACGCAGTGAGTTTCAAGCCATTTACAAGGGTTCAGCTGCTTCAAAACTGACACTCCATTTTT